CCTCTGTCTGTGACGGAGCCCCTCAGACATGGCTACTCTAGTCACTAGCAGATTCCGACAGTGGTTGCTTTCGTAATCGCTTCCAACATAAAAGCTCCTTAACGGAAACCCGTCTTCTGGAATCTCTGCGTGACAGTTTCCGGCGAGGAGTGGGTGTTCTTACAGGAGGTCCTGAAACTTCCCCACTGTTTTCGCTGGAAGTGTCTCTGAGCCATCCCTCCAGCTCAGCTCCTCTCCCCTGCTGGTTCCCTCTTCAGCTGCTGCGTCTCTCCCAACCTGTGTGAGCCCTTTCACCTCCCTGTTGGTTCCCTCTTCAGCTGCTGCGTCTCTCCCAACCTGTGTGAGCCCTTTCACCTCCCTTCCGTCCGATGGCAGTTCCCTGACATCCACCTCCCCCTCCAGGGCCCCCTTCACCCCCTCTCGCCCCCTCCTCTACGGGCGGTGAGGAGGCAAAACCCGGAATGAACTTCCTTCATCTTCCGATGTCTCGAACACTTCTCTCAACCTGTTGCGGTTCCTGGTCTCGAAGTACACCTCCTCCTCAGAGTCCATCTCCCCTTCCCCTTCCGAGTCCGGGAATCCTTCCAACTCCTCCCCTTCATCAGTGGTCCCAAAGTATTCCCTCCGGAACCTCTCCACAGGCTGAGGTTTCCTTGGGAACCTTTGATGGAACGTTTCTATCAATACCTCGTCATTGATATCTTCAGCCATTACCCAAGTGTTTTCTGACTCTGGTTCTCCTTCCCACGCTACCAAATACTCCACCTGATCCCCCTTCCACCTGGCGTCGAGGATTTCTGCCACATGGCTGCTGCATTCTCTTTCTTCTACGACCGGTCCCCGAGGGCCAGCCCTTCTCGTCCCCCTTCGTACGGTGACAGTAACGACCTGTGAAATACTGGGTGCAGTTTCATGTGGTTGGGTAACCGGAGCCTGAAAGCCACTGGGTTGACCTGTTGAATGACCTCAAAGGGACCCAACCTCCTGGGTCTTAATTTCTTACAACCTCCTTTGAGCGGCAGCCCTTGGGTTGACAGCCACACCCTATCTCCCACCCTTATGGTTTCACCTTCCCTTCGGTTCTTGTCTGCCTGCCTCTTGTATTCTTCCTTCGCCCTTTCTAAGTTGAGTTGGAGCTGACGATGGATTGCTTCCATTTCTTCCACAAAATGCTCGGCTGCCGGGACGCTCCATCTCTCCCCCTCCCCCCAGGGAAAGCCCTGGGATGACACCCATAATTATCCAAGAAGGGGCTCATCCCTGTGGACACATTCTCGGCATTGTTGTAGGCAAATTCCGCCAGCGCCAACTTTTCTACCCAGTCATTCTCTCTGTCATTGACATAACACCTCAGGTATTGCTGGAGGACACCGTTTGCTCTTTCCGCCTGCCCGTTGGTTTCAGGGTGCCGGGCAGTCGAAAAATTGACCTCCACCTGCAGTAAGCTCATGAGCTTCCTCCAGAACCTGGAAGTAAATTGTTTTCCTCGGTCTGAGACCACCCTCAATGGCACCCCGTGCAACCTAAAAATGTTTTCTACAAATAACTTCGCTGTCTCTTCCGCCGTGACTGCATGCGAGCAAGCTACAAAGTGGCACATCTTTGTTAGTAGGTCTACCACCACCATGATGGCTGTTTTCCCTTTGGACTTCGGCAGATCAGTCATAAAATCTATCGACACTGCCTCCCAAGGTCGTTCTGGGGTTGGTAAGGGTTCTAATAGCCCCGCCGGCGCCCGCCTTTCCCCTTTGGCTCGCTGGCATTGCTCGCACCCTCTTACATACTCACGTACATCTTCCCTCACCTTAGGCCACCAAAATTCCCTGGTGACCAACCACATGGTTTTGTGTTGTCCAAAATGCCCCGCCGTAGGGCTGTCGTGCAACTGCTTGAGTACCCTCCCCCTTAACTCTCCTTCAGGGATATACAGTGCCCCTTTGTAATACAAAGCTCCATTTCTTTCCTCAAAACCCCTGGTTCCTCTCCATCACCCCTAAGACCTCTGAGCTTATTCTGGGCGTATTCATCATTCTCTGTTTCCTCTACCAGTTCTCTTTGTCCCACCAATGCCGCCCCACACACCCAGCGGTCTTCTGGAATGACATGTCTCTCTTCGGGTGCCCCTCCCCTCCAAATATTCAGGTTTGCGTGAGAGAGCGTCCGCCCTAATGTTCTCTGGGCCTGGCACGTAACTAATCTCAAAGTTAAATTTGGAGAACTCCTGGGCCCATCTCACTTGCCGTTGGTTGAGCACTCGTGCCGTCCTCCAATACTCTAGGTTCTTGTGGTCAGTGCACACTTGCACCTTATGTTGTGCGCCAATTAGCAGGTGCCTCCATCTCCGGAACGCCTCATGAATGGCTAGTAGTTCTCGGTCATACACCGTGTAGTTCCTCTCGGATTTGTTCAGCTTTCGCGACAAAAAGGCACACGGTCTCCACTCTAACCCCTTCTTGCCTGGCTGCAGAAGCACCGCCCCAATCGCTCTGTCTGATGCGTCAGTTTCCACTCTCATCGGTTTTTGTAAATCCACATGCAGGAGTTGTTGTTCCGAGGCGAAGGCCCCTTTTAGTTCCTCAAATGCTCGCTCCGCCTCCTCAGTCCACACGAACTTCTTCTTACTGCTGAGACAGTCCGTAATGGGCGCCGTCAGGTGGGCAAAGTTTCGGATGAACTTACGATAGAAGTTCCCAAATCCTAGGAACCTCTGCACATCCTTCTTTGTTTTGGGTGTTTTCCATTCCAGCACCGCCTGGACCTTGCCGGGATCCATGGCCAATCCTTTGTCTGACAGGCGATACCCCAGGAATTCCACCTCCTTGGTATGAAACTGACACTTCTCCAGTTTCACCCACAGCTGGTTGGCTTGCAGCCTGCTCAACACTTCTCTGACGTCTCTCACATGCTGCTCCTCATTCTCAGAATACACCAACACGTCGTCTAAAAGGCCACACAATTCTTGTAAAGCAAAGGCCCCAGGACGTGGTTCATAAACGATTGAAATGTTGCGGAGCCTGCTTGTAGGCCGAAGGGCATAACCAAATATTCAAATGCCCCTAAAGGGGTGAACATAGTGGTTTTCCATTCATCCCCCTTCCTTATTCGTACCAGGTTGTACGCCCCCCTTAGGTCCAGCTTTGTGAAAATCTTTCCCTTCCGCACCCTTGTCAAAATGTCGTCAATCCTGGGCATAGGGAAGGCTACTGGTTCTGACACTGCATTTAAGGCCCTGAAGTCACACACCAGCCTCGGCTTGTTCGTGTTTTTCTTATCCACAAAAACACTGGGCTGCCCCCACCGCCCTGGACTCTCTGATGAACCCTCTCTTCAGGTTCTTGTCAATGAACTCTCTTAACTCCTGCATCTCTCTGTCTGACATGGCGTACAGCTTGCCTACAGGGAGCTGTGCTCCAGGGAGTAAGTTGATTTGACAGTCAAAGGGTCTATGCGGGGGTAGTTGGTCAGCTTCCCTTTCGCTGAAGACGTCACGGAGATCTGCATATTGTCGTGGTACCTTCACGTTCTCTGTTACTTCAGTCCCTGCTAGGGTGGCTTGGACCCCTGCCAAACCCTTTCCCTCTTTGCAGTGTTCTAAGCAATGTGCTGAACCAAAAGAAACCACTCTCTGATGCCAGCCCACCAGCGGATCATGTAACGCTAGCCAGCTCATCCCCAATATAATGGGAGCTCCTCCCAAGGTGGCCACATTAAAAGCTATCAGTTCGGTGTGCCTTGCTACCTTCATTATCATTGGGACGGTCTGCAAGCTGACTTCTCCACCCAACAGCTCCCTGCCATCGATAGTGGTCACCTGCAGGGGGCTGCTTAAAGGGATTGTCTGTATCTGGTGTTCAGCTGCAAACTCTTTGCTCATGAAATTGCAGGAGCTGCCTGAGTCCAACAGCGCCTTTATCTTTAGAGGGTGTCCGTTTGGCAGCTCTAGCGTCACTTCTATCACTAGGGCGGGTTTAGGAGGTTCTGGCGTGGGCACTCTCACTGCTCTTTGGCCTGGCTGCTGTGCCCTGACAGTGGCAGCCAGGCGTTGGCTTTACTTGCTCCGGTATATTTTCCTCTCTTCCATCCACAGCTCCTACCATCCCTTGCCATTCTTTCCTCTGGGGGCAGACTCTGGCAAAGTGACCTGGCTGTTGGCAGAGATAGCATTTCCGGGCGCCTTTTCCCTCCTTCTTTGCCCCCTCACTGGGCTTTGAAACTGCGCGCGCGCGCTGTTCCGATTTCCATCGGCTCTGCCGGTGGGAAAGTTGGCTCTGGAATGTCTGGAATGCGGAACTCCTTCCAACGTTCCCCTTTCCCTTCCCGCCTCTCCAATGCTCTCGCCTCCTGGCGCGCTCCTATGGCCAGCGCTGATTTGGTCAGCTGGTCCATAGACTCCGCCCTGGGCGCCCGGGAAAGTTCGTCTTTCACAGCCGAAGAAAGCCCTTCTTCAAAGAGCATCTGAATGGGTTCCGCCGATAAGTCCCACCCCAATCTGTGAACAAGCATGGTGAACTCAGTCCAGTACTCACGGACAGATCGGCTCCCCTGTTTGCAACCCATTAACTGTCTGCGCACCACTCCCTTTTCAATATCGCTGGAAAACATCAGATCCATGGCGCGAAAGAACTTCATCGTGTCCTTTAAGACGTCACTATTAGCTGCCATCAGGGTCTAACCCAGTCTCTCGCCCCCTTTTCAAGATGCTCAATCACGAAAGCCACTCGTGATTCCTCGTCAGGGAATTCATCAAACTGCAGATTGAGGGCATATTGCATTTCTGTCCGAAAACCATGATAGTTTTTGGGCTCCCCCCCAAACTTCTGCACCAATCCTGGTACCTTTCTGGCAAACTGGGTGGCTTCCCCCTTTTGTCTGCATCCTGAGCCCTCCTCTCCTCAAGCCTCGCCGTCTGCATCGCTAGCTGGACCTCCAACATCTGGTACCTTTCTTCCAGGCTTGGACCCGCTCCAGCTCCTGCTTCTCCGGTTCCGGCTGGGTTGCTCATGATGCCTTCTCCTGCACAAGCTGCTTTCAAAGACTGTCGGAATGCTGTGATGGGATGATGAGCTGCTTGTGCGTAAAATCGTATCCCCTCAGAGTTTGTTCAAGTCCACAAACCTCTGTCTGTGACGGAGCCCCTCAGACATGGCTACTCTAGTCACTAGCAGATTCCGACAGTGGTTGCTTTCGTAATCGCTTCCAACATAAAAGCTCCTTAACGGAAACCCGTCTTCTGGAATCTCTGCGTGACAGTTTCCGGCGAGGAGTGGGTGTTCTTACAGGAGGTCCTGAAACTTCCCCACTGTTTTCGCTGGAAGTGTCTCTGAGCCATCCCTCCAGCTCAGCTCCTCTCCCCCTGCTGGTTCCCTCTTCAGCTGCTGCGTCTCTCCCAACCTGTGTGAGCCCTTTCACCTCCCTGTTGGTTCCCTCTTCAGCTGCTGCGTCTCTCCCAACCTGTGTGAGCCCTTTCACCTCCCTTCCGTCCGATGGCAGTTCCCTGACAGATGATGATTAAATTTTTATCCTGCCATTGCTCCCAAAAGTGCTCAGGGTGGCAAACAAGTGAGAAAACAATAAAAACAACTTCAAAAATATCCCAATACAGATTAATTACATTTTCAGTGGCACGGCAATACTGACTCATAAATGCTTCTGATATGTTTACCCTATTGTTAATTGGTAAGAATAGTACTGTCATTCAGAAATTGTCGAAGAACTATTTTTTATGAATTTAAGATATTGGTTGTTGGCACAGCTTGGATATGAACTTGGTTCTGTCTTTTTTGTTTTTTGATATTTTGCAATTTTCTGTGACATTGAAGATTATATTGGGGAGTACTGTTTTTGTTTGTTACCATATTGTGCATTTTGGGGATTTCATATTGCAAACTGCCCTGTGAGCCTCAAATGAAGGGCAGCATAGAAATTTAATAAATAATAATAATACAAATAATAATAATGATTAGGCTAACATTGTGTATTAATGGTTTTTCCCTTTTGGGTTATAGGGTTGCCATATTTCAAGAAGTGAAAACCAGGACAGCCCGAAAGTTGTTGAGCTTTCTATAATGAAAATGCAAAAAACAAAAAACACATTTTTTTTGGTTTACAGGACATCACTTCCACCTTTGAAATCCTAGTAGTGTCTGGGAAACTCCGGATGTATGGCAGCCCTAGCTATTAACCACTTTGAGCTTTCCTTGGGGTTACGGTCACATCCACACCAAATGTTTAAATCAGTATCATTCCACTTTTAATGGTCATGGCTTTCCCCAAGCAATCCTGGGAAATGTAGCTTGCTAAGGGTGCTGAGAGCTGTTCGGAAGCCCCTCACAAATCTACAACTCTATATCAGGAGTGGTGAACCTGAGGCCAAAAGCAGTTATCCAGGCTTCTCTATGTGGCCCTGGGCATCCTCTCCAGGCCACACCACCAGTCCTCTTTCACACCCTGGAAATGTGTCCTTGAGTTCTGGTAATGCCTCATTGTTTGCCTGCATTGAGGATATGGAGACCTGTGTGAAGGAGCTAAGCTACTATATACAAAGGTGACATTCACTCTGCTTGCTCCACCCACCTTTGCCTCTGGCCCCACCCACTGCTGGCCCCAGAAGATTGTCCGGATGGGAATCTGGCCCCCCAGGCTGAAAGGGGTTCCCCACTCTTGACATACATAGACGAAGCTGTATCAATACATAACAAACTACAATAGAGGATTCACTTCAAGTCACCATTGTGCTGCACTGCACATTAGCCCGACCATAAGGTGCCCTATGGGTTTGCAACAGTGTAGGGCATGGCCAAACTCACCGGAAAAAATATCTCTTATCTTTCTCTTCTTCAGAGCCGATAGACAGCTGGCAACCAGATCTCTTGGGCTTCTGCCAATACCAAAGCCAGTTTTTCTCCAACTCCATAATAGCAATCGCTCTCTGTGGATGCAATAAAGGAAGAATGTACATCTCACAATTACCTTCCCACCATCTTAGATCTATAGGGGAGATCTGTCTCTTTGCTCCATACACTTATTTGGCATTGGTCCATCTAGCAGTGGCTCTCTTGGGTTTTAGGAAGCAGAGATTTCCAGCCCCTGAACTGCTGTTCTGCTTGTAGACTTTGTTGGCCACTTTGGAACAGGATGCTGAACTAAATGGGCTTTTAATCTGATCTTGTTCCTTATGTGTGAATCCTTCGTCAGGCCTGAGCTAACAGACAGCTGTCAGAGTGGGATCGAGGGTTGGAGAGTGAGGAGCCAGGAATTTATGTATTTGTTGATTTTCAGCCATTGTATGCTGCACCCAATAGCTTTATTTTCCCAAAGCAATGAGCAATGCCCAGTGGTTTTGGACTTGCCTGCAGCTTCCAAACGCCTTCACTGTGTCCAGAGAGTTTGGTGACTGTCTCGCTCATCAGGGCAATCAGCATGTTCAGGAGGAGGATGTAAGTCATGATGACATAGAAGAGCAGGAGGAGCATCACAAAGTAATTGAACTTCAGGTTCTCGTGAAACTCCAACTCCCCCATCCCAATGGTGAACTTGAACAGCTCCAGGGAAGTTTGCAGGAGCCCGGCATACTTGACTTGGTCTTTGTCATCACTGTTGACGAGGGAAGACCCATTCTGGACTGGCTGGGGAGGCTCCCCGGTAAGTATGACAAGGGCTGAAATGATAAATCAGAATATTCAAACCAAGAGGCCCTTAGAGACCTTGAAAATATCTCTTGTTTGTACCAGAATCCAGTCCCAAAATACAGGTAGAATTCTGGTTGCTGCCACCCATTCCAGCGCTTCCTGCTGCGACAAGTAGAGACTCACCTGTTGAAAAGCCAAAGAGGAAGATCAAATAGACCATGAGGAAATGGAAGACATCCCGCAGAATAGCCTGGAACACAGAGCAGGATATAAGTGAATCAAGGGACCACAGCATGGTGTAGTGGATAAGAGTATAGAAATTAAGAATGGGAAGAGACCCAGGTTCAGATCTTTGCCCCGGCATGAAATTCAAGTGGATGAACTTGGGCCTAAGAGCAGCGCCAGCCTCACAACTGAGGTGGCATGATTCCTACTCAGGAGAAGGAGAAGGACTGTATTGAAACCAGACTTTGCTTTGCAAATATGCCAGCAGTTTTTATTGGATTGGTGTTCTACCAACCTTGTGTATCATGACAATGTAGATCCCGGTCTGCTGAAATCCTCGCATGTAATACAGCAGGTTTATCCAGCCGAGCAGGAGGGAGGAAACCATCCAAGGTACGTAATCTTCCATCCCTGCAAGGTACATCACTGCCGAAACCAGTAGGGTCACTGACTGCAACAGCCTGTGAGAAAATGAGGGAGATGCAGAGATGATCCCCGCTTAGAGGTTTCCTTTACAAATAAGGCATGCAAAATCTGTTTGATATACCTTGCAGAATTCCACAAGGAAGCCAAAGAAGGCACCTTTAAGGCATAGAAGAGTCTCCTTGGCCTGCTAACACACAAAAGCTAAGCCACGTGCCCCAGCTAAGCATGAATGAGTGAGAAAAGGGAAAATTGCAGCCTCTTCACTCCTCCCTCGATCAAGAGCTAAGCCATGGCTTGGAGAATGCACTACGTCCAAAGCTGGGCTTGTGATTTGCACCCCCCACCGGAAAAACCATGAGAGATGAAGCAAGAACAAACCACATTTAATGCTTGACTGCAAAAAATAAAAAACTCAAAGTGGTTTACGAAATGCAGGAAGCAATGAAATAATCAGTAAAAAGGTTGAAAACAACTATTTAAAATACTAATTAATAAATAATAAAATTCTCCTAGGATGCACACTTCTGTAGAGAAGTGCAGATTTGGAAGGAAGGCTGTACTGCAGGACTCAATTCATATTCTTTCAGAAAGTGCAAATTGTTAAATACTGAAAATATTGAAATGTCTTGAAATACGAGCTGAATCCATCAAAATTATTGTACATGACAGCAGGCTGTGGTGGGAGAAATGGGGGGGGGAGAGATTTTTGTTGTGGATGTTTTTGTGAGCTTATACAAAACAAGGCAGGTATGGAAAGCAGTGCTACCCCCTATAAAATGATGGATCCATCAAGGATTCTGTGTAGATTAGCCAAAGCGTCACTTGATTCTGGGCTTCCTTTCTCCTCCGCAAATGAAACAGGGAGAACTTTTGAATTGTAAACCACCTCCACCCATAATGGCCTCTTGCCCACATGCCCCTCCCCCCCAACATACAGGAAAATCTCGATGTAGCCATCCTGAAGCAGACTTTTCAGTGACAGGCGCCTTCTCCACAGGTAAATAGTCTAAAAAGCAAATTGACAGGAACACTCTTGTCAATACAGCAGCAATAGTGCAGTGGCAAATTCAGACGTGCAAGATCCCTTCGCAATAGTCACAACTAAGTCTACACAACCTTCTAAAATTATACAATGTTAATTAGTGATGCATTGCAATGATCAGTGCAGATACCCACGTGTCGCCTTTCAGCCAGGTGTACTGTTTTCTATGTATATACACAGGCATACTGTGTATATACACCCTTTCATACTGATGGAGCAACCCTAGGACTCTGGAGACAGGAGTCCTTCTGAGACCCTGCTGCAGAAATACAGTGGTACCTCAGGTTACATATGCTTCAGGTTACATATGCTTCAGGTTACAGACTCCGCTAACCCAGAAATAGGGCTTCAGGATGAGAACAGAAATCGGGCTCCTGCGACGTAGCAGCAGCAGGAGGCCCCATTAGCTAAAGTGGTGCTTCAGGTTAAGAACAGTTTCAGGTTAAGTACGGACCTCTGGAACGGATTAAGTACTTAACCTGAGGTACCACTGTAATAAGGTGTATTTGCCCCTCCCCCTATGATCATAGCTGTCAACGTTTCCCTTTTTTAAGGAAAATTCCCTTATTCCGAATAGGATTCCTCGCAAGAAAAGGGAAAAGTTGACAACTATGCCCTTGACCCTAGACCACTACTCTTCTGTACAGCAGGTTGAACCATCTGGTGGTGGTACAAAAAGAAGTCACTGAGCAGTAAATGGGTAAGCAGCTGAGTGGGTATTTATTTACAAGCTTACTCGCCAGCCCCTCTAGCATGGAGATGAACAACTTATATATATATATATGTTTAAAGAGTGTTTTAAAGATGATTTGACCAGAAGGATCACTGCCCTTGATATGTGCTTTCACTCATAGAATCATAGAATCATAGAGTTGGAATAGACCACAAGGGCCATCGAGTCCAACCCCCTGCCAAGCAGGAAGATCTCATCCCAGGTTCACCTCTGGGCAATAAAATCCTGCAAAACCTAGTGACTAATCTGTGTCTCCTAAGGATGCAGAATGTTGGAAAGATTCTAGAAAGACAAAAGGAAGGATTTGTTCACACAGCTCAGAGTTCAACTGGCCACCAATTTGGGTGGCTTTAAAAGAGGATTAGATCAATTAACGGGGGAGGGAATTATCCGTGACTACTAGTCACAATGGCTGTGTCCTCCTTCCTCTGTTGCAGGCAGTGTAGTGTAGTGGTTAAGAGCGGTAGTCTCGTAATCTGGGGAACCGGGTTTGCTTCCCTGCTCCTCCACATGCAGCTGCTGGGTGACCTTGAGCCAGTCACACTTCTCTGAAGTCTCCCAGCCCCACTCACCACACAGAGTGTTTGTTGTGGGGGAGGAAGGGAAAGGAGAATGTTAGCCACTTTGAGACTCCTTAAAGGGAGTGAAAGGCGGGATATCAAATCCAAACTCTTCTTCTTCTTCTTCAGTGTGCTTCTGAAATCCAGTTATTGGGAATCTCAGGTTGGCTCTTGCACTCAGGACCCAACTGCAGGCTTCCTACTGGGGAATCTGGTTGATTAAAAAGGCTCCTCCTTCACAATGTATTAAACCATCCTAATGGTTCACCTCTTTCTATCCTCACCCCAGATTTTCAACTGATTCAACTGCAGCCTTGTATTTCAGCACTGGGCAGGCAGCCAGAGAAAAGGAATTGCATGTATGCAACTGAGCTGTTGCATTATGGAGTCATGGTTTATAAGCCAACAACAAACCAAAGCTATACATTGTGTTTACTTGGCAGAAAAATCAGTCTGTTGTGGTCGGCTCATATGTCCAAACTAGCTATAGTTTGGCTCAACAAACCATGGTTATGTGCAAACTGGGGTAGTGTATATATTTTGTTAATTCTTTTAAAATGAAATATTTGATGCTCTTCATTACTGCAGGCAGTCCTATTTTCTTCCAGCTTTCTGTAGCCAACCTAAGATGCAAAACAAAAAACAAAACACACACACACACACACATCCCAAACAGCAGCAGGAAGGGCAGGAAGAGTATGTTGTACCTGAGCAAAAAGGAGATACACGCCTCCGATTAAGACAATGACCTGGCCAATGAGCCACAATACGTCTCCAGCAGCATTTGACACTGGAAAAGGAGGCTAGGATGATACAAGAAAAAAGAAAGGGGACGTACATAAGTAATTGAGGAGGATAAAAGCAGTGAGAATCAGCTGATTGTCAGGGCTTGCAAAGTGCTGCACCGGACTCTGCTGGCACTGACCAGCTGGTTGGCAGTGCCTACTAGTTCCTTTTTGACCAGATTTGACTTGGACAGATCTGGCAGTTTCAGCTTCTCTCGGTTTCTCATTTATTCCAGTCTTTATTCTAGTTCTCCACATTTCTGCATCTGCTTATGATTTATTTATTTTTAATCTCATCAAAATGAATTTCATTTTTTTAAAGACATCATGAAAATTTATCCATGTGAATCTCTGCTGGCAATTTTTGCCTCAAATGCAGATTTTGGCACACCAACCGTCCCTAACATAACAAACTTTTGTATGTCATCTTCCCCTGATATATCCATAATAATGCACACATGCATCTTTTGTACACGTTGCTTGGCTGCAGAACTGCAGTGAAAGATTCGGAGAAGTGTGGATTTCAAAGGATGACTGCATTTCAGTTCAGAAAGTGGAAATTAAGTACCGGTAGGTTTGCCTTTCAGCGCAAACTGAATTACGTCTCTCTGCCACCCTTGCCCTACATCATGTATGGGCAGGTAGGTGCGGCTTGGCCCAAAAGGGCCTTGTAGAATAAACAGGGAGCTTCCACACTTCTGCCCTAGAGAGCCACCCTCCTCCTCTCTCTGCCTCCCTCTCTGTATCCCCCAAGCCCCAAAGCTGCTGTTACCTTCCCCTCCAGAGGCCGGTGATAAGCAACAGCTGAGAACACGGACATGAACAGCACATAGGAGAAAAAACTGATGTAAAATCTCATGGCAGCAAAGGAGTCCCATTTGCTTTGAAGAAGCTTGTTTATAGGTTCCAGGACCACCATCTTGTACCGCTTCTGTATGTAGGAGAAAGAAAGAAAGAAAGAAAGAAAGAAAGAAAGAAAGAAAGAAAGAAAGAAAATAATTCATTGATTCAGCCCCCGTCATCCCTCGTTATTAGCCATGCTGAGGCTGCTGGCAGTTGGCACCCAAAAACATCTGGAGGGCCACAGGGTACCCTAGCCCTGCTCCAAGTTGCACAAAACCACAGCTTCTTCAGCCTGCAAACTGGTTGGCTGAATAAACTGTGGTTTTGCGCAACGAAGAGGCCTATACTGGTGTGTGTTTCTTTACTTAAAGGTATTCAACTGCTTATTCATCTAAAATGTTCTAAGCCATGTACAACAGTGCAAATCAGCATAAGGATGCCAAAATAATGCCATCAAAACAGAGATAAATAAACCTACTGGTACATTGTTCATTCTTATAGACAGGACAGGAAAAACATGCAAATCTTTACAAGAAGTCAGTAGTGCATAATTGATTGTGCTTCAGTTATGGCACTGAGAAGGGCAACAGCAGAAAATGTTGGAGCTTGTGTCCATTTGTGGGTCACTGTCCTGTGATATTCTGTAGGGCATGGTGCTATGGATAACATTTTCCAGGCTAATCCCGTATTTTATATTACAGCTTTTTATGGGGAGAGGCCATCGATCAGGGTAACCTATTTCATTTCCCCAAAATAAGTATCTACAAAGGCACCAAATCAAGACTCTCTAAGGCAAGAGTAGCCCTCCTGAATTAGGTTAATGGTCCATCTAGTTTTACACAGCGACCAACCAGGTGCTTATGGGAAGACCACAAAAAAAATTCTTGTGGAGACTTCTTCAAAGAATAAATCAAGAACATAAGGGGCCTGTGTAAACTTTTTTTAAAAAAAATGACGGGTGCAGAGCACTGGAAAGAAAACAAAGATGGCACCAAGAAAATCTCCTGAAGAGAGAAGCCTAGCTGCAGAGAGAACTGAAGGATCTCCCTTAGGGATTATTTTAAAGCAGACAAGTCGCCTTCATTGATCATCTCACCGGAGTATCGCTGCTGTAGGCAAGAATGTCCAACACAGAGTTCTCCTCATAGCTGTCAATGGAGGTCAGGTCGTAGAGAGAGATGTGGACAGGCCCGTAGGTCCATTCAGTGAACTTCCGCGAAAGGTGACGGTACTGCGGGTCTTTGATTTCGCGGTGAATAATGTTTTTGAAGATCTAGGAAGGACAGAAAAGGGGGAGGAAATTTCTTTGAGTTTTGCCTTCCAACATTTATAAATAGACAGCATCTGAGGCCCTTCTTTGTGTGCTCCCTCGATGAGAGATCTGGAGGGTGGCTACATGAAAATGGGCCTTTTCTTTGGTGGCTCCCCATTTGTAGAATGCTCTCCTCAGGTGGGCCTGCCTGGCAGCTTCATTACACACCTTTAACCACTCGGTGAAAACATTTCTCTTCAACCAGGCCTTTGGCTGATTAAACAATCTATGGCCTTTTAAATGTGCCAGAGGTTTTTGTTTTTTCTGTTGTTATATTATTTATTTTGTATATTTGTATATTTTTTATATTGTAAACCACCCTGTGATCTTCACATGAATGGTGGTGTAACAACAACAACAACAACACAGACCAACAACTCCTCAGTGTTCTACTGGCACGTCTCTTCCAGAGTGACCTTAGGAGCCCATCCTGAGTGGCTGACTCTGATTGGCTCCAGTCAGCACAAAGGGTGGGAATACGTCTTCTCAGTGGCTAAAAAGTTCCCATTTCATGCTGATTGGGCAGCTCTGGGATACTGAAGAAGAAGAAGACGACACCGGTACCCTGCTATAATGGGTATTTGACCCCCTGTGACCCCCAGACCAATACATCTCTGCCAGTAAGGGGTGTGGCTTAGAAAGAGTTCCAAGGGCTGGAAAAAGAGCCTTGAAGAACTGCACCTGCATCCTGGGCCTGGGCCTCACCATCCCTGGGACATGATATTCAAGTTTGTGCACTGTAATGGAGGTGTGAAATCATGTATCACCTGGTACAAATCTTCTTAAGTTGTCCTCTGCAAGTTGCCCTCTCAGTCTCAGCCTCCTACCTGGAGGTTGACAACACTGACCTATCTTGTGTGTCCTGAATCTCTGCTCTGTCCAGTATACCTGAAGGACTGTCTCCACCCCCATCGTTATGCCCAGACACTGAGGTCCAGCACCGAGGGCCTTCTGGCGGTTCCCTCGCTGCGAGAAGCAAAGCTACAGGGAATCAGGCAGAGGGCCTTCTCGGTAGTGGCACCCGCCCTGTGGAATGCCCTCCCACCAGATGTCAAAGAGAACCACAACTACCAGACTTTTAGAAGATATCTGAAGGCAGCCCTGTTTAGGGAAGTTTTTAATGTTTAATAGATTATTGTATATTAATAATCTTTTGGAAGCCGCCCAGAGCGGCTGGGGAAACCCAGCCAGATGGGCGGGGTGTAAATAATAAATTGTTATTATTATTTTTATGACATGAAGATGCTGCCTTCCAGATATTGTTGGACTTCCGTCTCCATATAGCCAGTGTAGCCAACAGCCAGGAGAATGATGGGAGCTGGAGTCCAATAACATCCTGGAAGGCCACAGGTTCCTAAGCTCAGAAATACAATTTATGATAAGCTCCCAACTGACTTACCTCTATCTTTCCAGTCTTGACGGCCAGGGTCAAAGGATTCAAGCCTTCCGTGTTGATTAATTCCTCCAGTTTCTGGCTCAGGTTGAGCGTAGCACTGTGCATCAGGATCTTGTTGTACATCCCGATCACCAGCTCCCTGTTCTTCTCATCCGCATCATCGGCCGCCATCACCAAGGCATGGAGGACTGTGTTGCCAAGGGAATCCCGCTCTGCCAGGTTGGCCTTCTGATGAGGGTTATCCAAGAGATACCTGATTACTTCTGGCTGGTTGGTGCAAGCAGCTAAGGAGAGGGGAAGCTCACCTGGAGGAGGAAGGAGATAAACGGAAGCAAAGCTGGGAGAGGAATGGCTGCTTTTGGCACAAGTTACAAAAACTGAGCACCCACTTCAAGAATCTGTGACAGTGGACTTTAGGCACACAGTATCAACCTACCAAAGTAGAAGCAGGCCCCTTTCTCCTGCTGGTGGAAGAACTTTCCACAGGCCTTGGCATGGACGTCAGCGCCGTTCTCCACCAGGAGCTTGATCAGATCTAGATTCCTCTCCTCAATGGCAATGTGGAGTGCTGTGTGGCCTAGCAGAACAAAAATGGCATGAAAGAAAATCATTAAAGAAGTCAAACGTAGAAAACAAGCATGTTCTTCTACCCCTGAGTGGATGAGTTCTTTTTTTAATGCTGTCTCCCCACCCCAAGGTCCTTACCTTTATAGAAGCTATCCTTACAAGCTACGTTGATCAGAGGCCTTGGGTTCTTGGTCTCCTTGTCTATCTTCAGCAGCAAAGGGATGGTGGGGTTTGCCCCATCTTTTAAATTCAGCAAGGCCTTCATCAAGCAGGTCTTGCCCGTTTCTCCATCTGGAAGAGAAGGGAATTCCATCCTTTGTTTGGAGAAGTGCATTTCTTTTTTTCTAACAAGGACAGCGTAAAGGGCCATTCAAGTCTATCAAATGCTTTAAGAATATCCAAGGAAAGGGGAGCAGGAGGTGTATCTTATAATGTCTTCTGAGAAGAGCTGGATCCTAGGCTAAGGATTCTGTTCCAAAGTATTCTAGAGGGCGAGAGGACCCCTGAATCTTGGAAATTGTCTCAAGTTTCTGTCATATTGAAACACAGCTGAACTGTGTTCCTATAGGTCAAAAGCACTAGTTGAGCAAAATGAAAATATTTAATATACGATCTAGGAACAGAGATAAATAATTTCCTCACAAAATAGGTACATAAAGATCAAGCAGACTTCATGCTGGGGTGCCATATAAGCAACTCCATCCATTTCAAATATTCAGGAAAGAACATAGATGCTTTAAATTTGCATATGTATTGTGAATTAAGCAAGCTTGCATTTGTGAATCAAATGGAACTTCTCTGTCATTTCTCCTCTTGCCCATTATGCGCTCCCTGATCTTTTTCACCAGAAATACCAGGTATTGAACCAGGGACCTTCTGCAATCAAAGCAGACAACTGTACCTGTAACTGTGCTATGGGCCCTTATGATTTCCTCTGCTACAGATTTCCCCAACCTGTGGGGTTGAAAACCCAAGCAGCTTTGAATCCTGTGTAAGGTCCAACATTCGGCTGACAGTAAATAGATGGGTCAAGATAGCAAATAAATTTGGATTTGTGGCTTGCCATACCAAAAATGATGGGAACCACCAATCTACTCTATAGTTTGGGAAATTGTCTTTTCTCTATGTGCTTGGACCCCCCCCCCTTAAAATACCGTAGCCAACTTTTGTATGTTGTTCCCTGAGACCAAAGAGCAGGTTTTCGTCTATGTTCAGATACTGTTGAACACCATTTTGAATCAGGTGTAACAGAATGCACATTTCAAAACTGCACTGATTTTAACCAATTTTTGCATGATGGTTCATGAGATCAAAGAGCAGGTTTTGGCCTAAGTCTGGATACAATTGGATCAAGGTGGAAGACTAACAATTCAAAACTGCACTGATTTTAACCACTTCTTTTTTTTTTACTTCTTTTTTTTTACAATTCCGAAAAAGCGCCAGTTGTGAATGTTAGTTGGTTAAAAACAACACAACTTCCCTGAGAAAATAATGTGATTTAGTACAGTGGTACCTCAGCTTAAGTATTTGATACGTTCCGGAGGTCCGTACTTAACCTGAAGCACCACTTTAGCTAATGGGGCCTCCCGCTGCTGCCGCACCACCGGAGCACAATTTCTGTTCTCATCCTGAAGCAAAGTTCTTAACCCAAGGTACTATTTCTGGGTTAGCGGGGTTTGTAACCTGAAGCGTATGTAACCTGAAGCGTACATAACCCGAGGTACCACTGTAAATCACATTTCTCCACTCCAAACATCACTATCTGTCCTCTGCACTCTGATGGTCCTCATCAATCTTGCAAATAGTTCTGTGAAGCTTCAGAAGCTTGCCTATTCTTACACCAGGAAGAAGTTTTTAAAACAAAAACCCTAGCTCTCGGGCTCGTGCCTACCTGTGTACTCAGAGTTGGTAAGAAATTTGCCGGTTTTTCGCAAATAGTCCCCCAGTCCTTCCAGCTCCTCAGGGTTCCCCCTTACAATAGCACCAAAGAGGCGGCTCTTGTTAAAAGTGTTCTCTTTACTGTGGGGGGAGAAAATCAGAATGAACAAAGACCACAATCTGCAGTGTAAATTTAAAGCAGTATTGTACTACTTTAAACAGTCATGGCTTCCCCCAAAGAATCCTGTCATTTGTTAAGGATGTATTATTAGGATACCCTAGTTCCCTTCGCAGGGTTACATTTTCCAGAGTTTTCTTAGAAGAGGAGCTAATTGCTAAAGCTCTTGGTGGGTTGTAGCTTTATTAAGCGTCTCCTGATTCTCTTTAGCAAATGATAGCTGTTAAGGTGGTGTTATAATGCTTCATAGTGCAAAGGTAACCTACATCCCTCTTTAGGCAGAATATAGTCCAGGAAGGACCATACCCCAGTGGTAGAGGCTCCTGCTCTGGATGCAGAAGGTCCCAAGTTAAATCCATGGAAACATCTCCAAGCATAGCTGGGAGTGACCCTGAAATTCCAAAGAGCCTCTGTAGACCAGTGGTGGTGAGGCAAATGGTGGTGTCAAGAGATGAACTTCTAGGCCTTATAGACAAACGGACAAATCACTTGTTCCAGAAGGCATTCACCAAAGAGCTCTTGAGGCGTTCAAATATGAAATTGCTGATCTTCTAACAAAAATCCGTAATGTCAGCCTCCATATCTGAGCACTGGAAAGTGGCCAATGTAACACCCATTTTTTTAAAGAAATGGACCTCTGGGAATTAACACAGGGAAAATGGTGGAAAGCATGATTAAAGATAGAATGACCAAGCATATCCAGTAGATGATTCTGAAGAAGACATAAGCAAGGCTTCCACAAAGGTAAGTCCTGTCTAATTAACCTTTCAGAGCTCTTGAAGAGTGTCAACAAAGATATGGCTAGGAGCTCAGCGGCCAGCAGGACCAATAGTCAGCCATGATGGGAGTTACTGTCCACCAGCTTCCAGAGGCCCACAGATGTTCGCCATCCCTGCAGTAGATGGGTTGACTCCTGAAGGCAGCTGCTTACCTCAGATTGGGAGGAATCTTTATCCTAATCTTTGGAGATGGTGGACGTTCCGTCTCATAGGAGGTTTCCATGGGTCGCGGCTCTCCTTTACCTCCAACTGCGTTCTTCTCCCTTGCCTCCACATTGTCCAAGGTGCCATCATCTATCTCCAGTATTGGTAAGTTATGCATCACGCCACTGAAAGTGCTGGCAAGAGAATAGAGCACCACAAGAAGGTTTATTTGATTTACAGCAAATAGATTGAATAGATTCTAGCTCTCGGGATTACAAAGAAAAGTGCGTTACAAAAAGGTCTGGCACATTCAGAGGTCCAGGAGCATGGAACTGCGCATAACAGAAGATGTATATATGGAACCTTAAATACCTTAAAAACCATCTCCATCTGCACAAACTCGCCTTAAGCATTAAGATCCTCACTGTATGCTATGAGCCTGAAACTCCCTGGTTAAAATCTGCCATTCACATGCCAAGGGCGCTGTGAAAGCCCCTGTTATGTACTGAGTTGAATAGGATCCAAAATGCATCAGTCTGATTGGTCCTAGAACAATAGGATCCAGAATGCAGCAGTCTGATTGGTCCGCAGGAGCCACCCAATCCAAGTCCTGGTGGAAGTTAAACCGCAACCTGATTGGCCTACAGGAGAATCCCGGAATTAGCCAATCATGTGCAGCCCATTGTGTAAATAATGTATATAAAGCAGACATTGTGGGGGAACTTCCATTCCTTCCTTGCTACTATGAGCTGAATAAAGAGCATGAAATCCACACTCAACTCCGAGTATATTTCAGCCCCAATCTCCAGTAACTTGTGCGCACTGCAATGAAATGTTGCGGTGTGTCCTTACCTCCTCACAGGAATGCTCATTTTCAGGGTTCAAGCCAGCCATTGTCTCAAAGAAGGATATTCCATTGCCCACCATCCACAACCTGAGTTTTCTCTTTTTCTTTTCCAACTGATATTGAACACCCATGGTTACTGAGAATGCTCAGTCCTTGACTGTTGGGGTGAGGGACTTCCCCTTAAGTGTGTGGGGTTTTTTAATGGACTTCTGCAACCCTTGGGTTAGTGGAAATTAGATGTTGGGAAGTGTGATTTAGGCAGATTCACCTTTAAGGCCAAATCTGCACTATACATTGAAATCGCAACGATGCATATAAAGTGCATTGCCTATACATTACTACACATTAAAAGCACTATGATACCAGTCTGAACAGCTGTGGTTTTCCCCAAAGAGTCCTGGGAACTACAGTTCGTTAAGGATGCCAAGAATCGTTAAAGGTAAAGGGACCCCTGACCATTAGGTTCAGTCGTGGCCGACTCTGGGGTTGCGGCACTCATCTCGCTTTATTGGCCGAGGGAGCCAGCGTACAGCTTCCGGGTCATGTGGCCAGCATGACAAAGCCGCTTCTGGCGAACCAGAGCAGCGCACGGAAACGGCATCTACCTTCCCGCCGGAGCGGTACCTATTTATCTACTTGCACTTTGACATGCTTTTGAACTGCTAGGTTGGCAGGAGCAGGGACCGAGCAACGGGAGCTCACCCCGTCGCGGGGATTCAAACTGCCGACCTTCTGATCAGCAAGTCCTAGGCTCTGTGGTTTAACCCACAGTGCCACCCGTGTTAGGAGATGCCTATTCCTCTCATAGTGCTACGATTCCCAGAGTGGCTTAACAATCAATCCGTCTTCCCAGGGAACTTTGGGAACTGAAGCTCTTTGAGGAGAATAGGGGTCTCGCAACAACTCCCAGTCACTCCTAATAAACTACACTTCCCAGAATTCTTTGGGAGAAGCCATGACTGCTTAAAGTGGTCTGGCGCTGCTTTAAATGTAGAGGAAGCCTAAAGGCAAACTGACTCTTGATTTCTCCCCCATTCCAAATGAGACGGATTGTTCTTTTTTTGTTTGGCAGCCCTGTGAACTGCGTAATAGCATTTTGATTCTGAAGTGCTTCGTCTTTTTGCTGAGCAATGCTTTGAGAGCCATCTGCAACGACAAGCTTCCGACACACTCAGACAGAAACAAGGAAGAGGATGCGGCTGAGGGCGTTGCCTCCTGAGATGCAGGACCTAATGGAGTTACAAGACAACGGCAGCATTCATTATCAAGAGTGCCTCATGTCACATGCCTGCTGAAAGGGTGTGAGGCTTCAGATATAATTGCAGCGAACAGGGAAAACGAGGGGGGGCTAGGAGCCGCACAATCTGATGTTGTGATGACCCCCGGACTTTAAAAAGAGGGTTAAACAAATTCATCAAGGATAAGACTATCAGTGTCTACTAGTAGCCACAATGGCTATATTCTCCTTCCACTGTTGGAGACTTCTCTGAATACCAGTTCCTGGGAACTGCAAGGAGGGAGAGAGTTGCTGTTACACTCAAGTCCCACTTATGGGATTCCCACTGGGGGCAGCTGGTCGTCCACTGTGGGAACAGGATCCTGGCCTGATGCAACAGCTGGACTTATCTGATGTTCTTAACCTCTTTCAAGCACTCCAGGGCTCAACTGTGGAACCCGAGAGGCCAAAAAGAGCTTTTTTACAACTATGTGCCTCATCATCATCACCACTGAACCGTACCTGGAGCTTTAGGAAGAAAAGAGGTACTGCATGACAGGCATAAATCTGACACATTCAGCGTAAACATGCACACACAGAGATACCGTTGCTTCACCTCTAGGCCAATTTTCCACCTGAAACTCAATGTTTTCTGTAATCTCTTTTCTAAAGAAAGGGGAAAAATCAGCCAGAAATATATGCCACTCCTGATTTCAAAGGTCACACCCTAATCTCAGACATGTGGGGGTGGGCATACGGCTTGGATTACTCCATGGCATGGGAAAGGCGTTCTGCACACGCTCTGAAACACTCTCATTTTTTGCCTGAGAATAGCCAGACTTATGCTTGGAATTTTAAAATGATCTCATAGCATGATGAGGGGTGGGTGGAAGGAGAACATTTTTCAGTCGCCACAGTCCACCTTCTGGAGACCACCTTGCAGTGGTGGGTGTGGCCCAGCGTAAAAGTAAGCAGAGCAACAGATACAAATCTTCTCTTTGCAAAGGAAGCTGCATGTTTCCCCCAATAGAAAAGTCAGAAGCTTTTGCATGCATATACCTCTATCCAGGCAACTAAGAGGCATTATGATAGTTCAAGGAGGGCGTGGCCTGGGGAGGCTCCTGGGGGCCACATTGAAAGACACGGGGGGGCCACATTCACATCCCTGAGATTCCCCATCCCTGCCACAGACTGGGGACTTTCCCTGGATTAAAATAAGCTCTGCATGTTTAGTTATAGGCGAGGCTTGTTGGGGAGGGGAAAGGAGAAGGAAATAATGGTTTATAATGTACTTACTCCACAAAGAGGTTCCACCCGGTCTCAGTGCACAGGTCTCCTTTATCCTGCTGAGCAAACGATGCCCCGCAAATGCCAGCAATATTTCAAATGTCAGGCTTTTTGGATTCACAACCCCTCCGTTGTTGGGCTGCAGATGCTGCTTCTTTTGTTTAAAAAGAATTAAAAGGAAAGAAAAGCAACCTTGGCTTTCCTCACTTGCACACCAGCAAAAGATCCATTTTCCCCCCGGCACAGCATTTCTTCCACCCAACCCGATGCAGAACCTGCTGCGTTCTGAAACCCCGTAGCTACTTGCAGACGGTTATGTCGGAGGCAATCTAGAGGAAGTGGTTATTATCGACTGCCTGTTCCCATAAAAAGAATGACAATTGCATTTAGAAGACTGATGGGTGTGGGAATCGTTCCACGTTTCAGAGATGCCGGAATATTGCTAATATCTGTCTGCTTGCCTCCTGCCAAGGCGGAGAAACAGAGTCACGCAAGGCCCCCCTTGAGAATAAGATTTCCTCCTTTTTTGTTAGTTCCCCTTTTTTTTTTTGCTTGTGGTTTCACCACTCGTGCACATCACAAGCTATCTGGAAATGCCACCCTTTGGGCGGTAAGGCACCAGGCACAGCTACACTCACTGCCTGACCTACTTATTGAGAAAGTAAGTGTGCTTTCCCTCATGCTGATAAATTGAGATGAAAACATGAAAAACACATCCCCTCTCCCCTAAGTCAACAGGCCCGGTCCTACTGTTGGGCAGAGTGAGGCAGATGGGGAGGGAGGAATGACTGACACATGGTGCATTGAGAAGAGGCGGGTTCCCACAAACAAGGGGCAGGGTTAATTATAAATAACTATAAATTTGCTGTTTTTCATTCCACGTATGAATCTCCTCCTGTGAAACAGCTCAAAGTGATTCAACGATTTAGAAACCTCCCACTGATAATGTTTTTAATGGAAATTTCAGGTTCAGACTGGTCTAAAAAATAAATAAATCTTCACTATGACAACTTGTTCAAACAGAAAAAGTCTTGTGTTCTCTGCATGCCACGCAGAAAATTTTACAATTTAAAGTGATTTTAAAAACACTTTGAAGAAACATCTCTGGGCAGGTAAGAGAGGCAGGTGAAGGTCACCTGATCTCCAACAGCTAAATTTAGCATCAAACAATAACTGTTTCCGGTTTGAAAAAAGGACTGTTGTAGCAACAGATCTCTAAGCGCCGCTTGACTCCTTGTGAGAAAAGCAGTTGAAATTCATGGCTGGTTCCTCAGGTGCTCTGATTTGGCTGCGGAAGGTGCGACTCCGCATTGAGAATTCACAGGTAGGACAGGTGGACTGGACTGTCTGCATCTGGGATCTGAGAGGGTCCAGCAACCCCAGAGACTGAAATGCAGGTTTCCTGACTTTGCAACAGGGTTGTTTTCAGTGACTGCCAACTATCACCATCGTCATCACCAATAATAAATAATGATAATTGATGTGGTTTTGTCTGAAATTTAGCTGCCGAAGCTGTTCTATAAAGGTAATTTCCCCTCTTGCATGTCAAGAGGGTGTTAAATACACTGGAGCAGGGCCAAGGGAAGAAACTGGCAACCCAGGTTGCTCCTGAATCTGCTTGCTTCCCAAACACCCTCATGCCAATCAGGCAGAAATCCAACTGGCAAAGCTATATCTAGATAGAGATAGAGATGTTGTTGTTTAGTCTATGGAAGCCGCCCAGAGTGGCTGGGGAAACCCAGCCAGATGGGCGGGGTATAAATAATAAATTATTATTATTATTATTATTAGTCGTGTCCGACTCTTCGTGACCCCCTGGACCAGAGCACGCCAGGCACTCCTGTCTTCCACTGCCTCCCGCAGTTTGGTCAAACTCATGCTGGTAGCTTCGAGAACACTGTCCCACCATCTTGTCCTCTGTTGTCCCCTTTTCCTTGTGCCCTCCATCTTTCCCAACATCAGGGTCTTTTCCAGGGAGTCTTCTCTTCTCATGAGGTGGCCAAAGTCTTGGAGCCTCAGCTTCAGGATCTGTCCTTCCAGTGAGCACTCAGGGCTGATTTCCTTCAGAATGGAGAGGTTTGATCTTCTTGCAGTCCATGGGACTCTCAAGAGTCTCCTCCAGCACCAGAATTCAAAAGCATCAGTTCTTCGGCGATCAGCCTTCTTTATGGTCCAGCTCTCACTTCCATACATCACTACTGGGAAAATCATAGCTTTAACTATACGGACCTTTGTTGGCAAGGTGATGTCTCTGCTTTTTAAGATGCTGTCTAGGTATGTCATAGAGATCTGAAAATGCTGTTTGACTCTTTCACCCTTTATCAGGAATGGGAAGATTTCATTCTGACGCTGTCTGATGCTGTCCAGCAGCAGATGGTTGAGAGCCACATCAATGCCTTGCAGGACCTCTCAGAGGCAGCGAAAGGTTTTGTCCTGGAGAAAGCAGTCAGTGCCATCCAAGGAGGTGAGAGTTTAGGAACCAGGCCTGATCAACAGTTCACTTCTACTGGATTTGCTGTGGGGAGGGAGGGGCTTAAGAAATGCCACACATGCAAGTGAAACCAGAGTTCTCTGATATCTGCTCAGCTTCTCCCAGGAGCAAGCTATTCAGACTAAGCAGCCAGTCCTAAGGGAGAACCAGTGTAGGGCTTCCAAGATCCCTATTAGCTGCTCAGGTCACCTGGTCCTCTTGGGCTAGAGGTCTGGCTATAGTTTCCCTTCCCTGCCACAATCAGCAGGAGACGCTATGGAGCAGCAAAGCTCTCAAGAGAGACCTGCGTTCAAATCCTCACTCGGTCAGGAAGCACACTGTGTAAACTTGAGTTGTCAATTTCAATTTCTCTCAGTTTCTGTTCTCTTTGCCAAATTTCCTTGTCAATTTGCAATTTTTTAGAAAAAGAGCCCACCCAATCTCTTTTTAGCACACATCTCTCCTAATAAACACATTTTTGTATGAACTTTTGCCTAATATACATTTTTTTTACAAGCAATACCCCCCAGTATAATGCATCTTGATATGACATTTCCACTAATATATGCATTTTTTTATGCATGTCCTGCTAATAATATGCATTCTGTGCACATTTGCTTGGTTGGAGGCCAACACTGAAAATTTGGAGAAGTGTGAATTTTGAAAGATGGCTGCTTTCGTTCCCTATACTATTTCCACAAGGTGCAAATCAGGTGTGTTAGAACCAAAATGTCAACCAAACCAAATTTCTTCCCTGTCCCTAGACACGGATCTGCCCCTCCACTTTGCCCCTCCTTGAAAAGGGGAGTTAAGAAAATGTTGTGAAATAATCCACTCGTTCTCTGATATTCTTTCAGGTGATGCTTATAAGGCCCTGATGTCGCAGGTTAGCGGCTGCTTAGAGGAACAGATTTATTGCCAGATCGCCCGGGAGATTCAGGATGGAGACAGGAGGGTGAAAAACAAGCCAGCCCTGCTGCTCAGTCACCTCAAGGATGGAGTGGTACGGAGCTTTGCTGCTTTGTATTCTCAGTTGGGGCAGTGTGGGGCTGACACCCACTAAGGCTGGTAGGGTGGAAGGTGTGGAGCCCAACAGTAGGTGGCGCCAGAGCCAATGACAGGAGAGCAAACTAATTCCCGTTTTGTCCCCATCCTCCTTCTCCCTGCTGACTTCTGCAAGGCGCAACAGTGAGACTAAGGAGGAAGAGGAAAAGGTTAGGCAGAGTCAGCCTCTGGACTGATGGAAGCAAGAGGACAGGGCAAGTGAGGTTGGCAAGGAAGTGCCCCTAAAGGACCCATCAGTCAGATCGTTGGTCCATCTAGCTCAGTATTACCTACACTGACTGGCAGCAGCTCTCCAGTGTTTCAGACGAGCCTTTCCCAGCCCTACCTGGCCAGGGATTGAACCTGGAGCCTTCTGCGTGCAAAACATTTGCTCTAACCAACTATGCTACGATATCCGGTGGTTCAGCTATTGTAGAAAAAGGAGCCTTAATTCAGCCACGTTCAATGAGCCAACTCCTTCCTTTCAGATGACCTTGCTGGAGGAACGGCCAGAGCTGCGAGGGAGGCTTTGTTCTCTTTTTAACCAGCCCTTACCTGCCGATCTGCGTCATCTCACCTGGAAGCTTTACCTCTCTAACACGAAGGGTATGACACGTATCAGTTCTCTAAAACAGGCAGGCAAACACCGAAGGCAAGACCTCCAGATGGTTTGGGCCATCACCAGTTTGTTTTACTCAGTTTTCCCTTCTGTGAAATGGGTTGCTTTCTTCTGCTTTTGGAGGGGCAAACAGTGGTTTGTTATTTGGAACTAAAACCCACCCTCCACCTGGTAAACAAGTATTTGGACAACTTACTTGGCCTTTGTGGTTAGCAAAGGTCTGGCAATAACATTGCTTCTGTCTGCATATCTGATAAATGGGAACCATTCCTGGTCAGAATGATGGCTTTTACTTTGGCCTCTGACACCCCTACTGTCTTGTGTTAGATGCTCAGAAAGAGGCAGGTCCCAAACTTTCCCCTTGCCATCCCATCAGAGATGGATCTTTGAGGTCTTTCCAATGGGAGGTGATCTCTAAGTGGGAAGCAGGAAGCAGCACGGCAGTGTGGCCCTTATGTATTGACATCTAGTGACAGATGGGCCAGAGCAGGATTTGGGTTCAGCGACTAACTGGCAATATCAGAAACGACATCGAAATTGATTTGCCAAAACCCGGTAAGCTTATCACATCCCCACCATAAATATATAATAATAAATAATAATAATTTTGTATTTATACCCTGCCCTCCCTGGTTCAGAAAACTGGGCTCAGGGCGGCTAACAACAAATTTTAAACACTTTATTGATGCAACAAAAAACAGCATAAAATACAGTATATAACGTGAATAACAATAAATTCAGAATTCAAAAATCAATTTAGGGGGGAAATCCATCCAATAAACATTAGATGATCACCAGGGCTAGCTGGCTAAATTAGTCCTATTTGGGCCGGAGAGGAGACCAGGGGAGAATTAGCTGTGGGATCCCAGAGCGGGTAATCTTCATAAAAAGGGGAGAGGGAGGGAAGGAAGGGGAATAAAAGATCAGGCTAAGTTCAAGTTGAAAGCCAGGCGGAATAGCTCTGTCTTACAGGCCCTGCAGAAGGAAGTTAAATCCTGCAGGGCCCTGGTCTCATGGGACAGAGCATTCCACCAGGTCGGAGCCATCACTGAGAAGGCCCTGGCCCTGGTGGAGAATCATCTGACTTCCTTGGGGCCCAGGACCTCTAAACTATGATTATTCATGGACCTTAAGGTCCTCTGCGGGGCAGACCAGGAGAGGCGGTCCCATAAATATGAGGGCCCTAAGCCACAAATATATGAGGGCAGACAGCACCATACTGTCACAATTGCATCTCTTTATTTGGTGGTCAGTTTAGCGAAAATGGAAATGAAATGAAATGCACCAACCATTGCCTTTCTTCTGTTCCTTTTCTCATTCCCAGCAAGGTTAGGGTATCTCTCCCATTTGGCAGCAAACAGAGCCACTTCCCAGAAGGACAGAGAGATCTCTCTGAGGTGCCAAGCCCTGCTGGATTCTGAGCCGATGTTCCAGTCCTTAAAAAACCACAAGGGTAAGAAGAAACCACCACAGGAGTGACATCAGGGCAAGGCCCATCCATGAGGCAGGGTGAGGCTGCCGCTTTGGGTGGCTGAACCCCAAGAGGCGGTGCCCCATGGACACTCTTGCCCACCCTGCTGCCACTGGCAAAGAAGTGGCGGAGGCTTCCAAGAAGATTTTGCGAGATTATGCCAGTATCTTGCAGGATCTCACAAGAACTTTGCCATCGCTTTGTGGGTACCGCCACACAAGCCAGGTATGGTGGGCTTCAGCAGCGGGGTGGCAAAATAGGACGGGCCTCTCCTGGGTCACACAAAAGTAGTAAGGAAGATTGGAGATGGAATGGGGGGAGGCGGACTCAATTCAGTTTGCATTTAAATGTGAATTTACCAGATTTGCACTTTCTGAAACAATGCATGAACCAAAACAGCCTCTGAAGCTGGAATGTCTCTGAATTTTACAATGCAGATGAGTAATGTGTATAAAGATGCATATAGTGGGGTGAAGTGTGCATATGAATGCATATAAATTGGCAAAAATACCATACAAAGCCACATTGTATTAAGGGAACTTAGTTTGGAAGAAGAAAAAGTGCGTGTTAGGAAATGTTTAAGAGAAATTCACTCTACAACACGGGGGAATTTTAATGAGGGTTTAAAACAACTAACTAACTGTAGGAATAATGGAGATGACAGGAGGTTGGATGCAGGTGAGCTGTGCAGAAGCCCGCTGGCAAGCATGCTCCAAGCAAGCTGCCGGCTAGCTCTGCTGAGGCTCCTTTTATTAGCAGAAGTCAACAATTGGAAACAGTAGCGAAACCACCCTGAACTTAACATATTTCCATCTAAGCACATTTTCAGCGTTAGCAATTACACGTGTCAGCAGGTGTTTCCCTCAAAGTTTCCCCCTGATACTTGATTACGTCTGCGTCCCTGATCATGCTCCAGCCAAACGATATGCCTAACAAACAAATTGTGAGAGGACAAAAGGTCAGGGGGGAAACCCTGTTTTCTAGCCAAGAAGGTCAGGGAAAGCAGGTGTAAACGCTCCTGGACCTACTGTTGCACGTCTGGTGTGAAGTTTGCCTTCGCAAAGCGGAGCATTACCTTCACAACTAACTAACTAGCTGATGTCGCAATGTGGAGAACTGAACCTAAGATTGGAAGAACGAGGAACTGACAGTGACTTATTTAGCCCAGAATATAAGAATATAAAGAATATAAGAATATAAGAATATAAGAATATAAATGAGTCCTTCTGGATCAGACCGGTGTCCCATGTATCCTGTTCTCACAGTGGCCATGCAGATGCCTGTTTTTGAGAAAAGCAAGTGTTCCTTCCCACATGCCTAAGTTGGGATGAAAGGAGGAAGCCAGTAGAGACCACAAACAAGACCATGTGGCATCAGCCCAAAGCCCTCGAGACAGAAAGGGTGGTCTATTTCTTTGCTTTCCCTGGCATTTCCAGTTAGCAGAAGCAACCTCTCAGTGTGGCTTCATATATCCATTAGACGCAGATATATATTGGGGATCTGTTGCAAGCATCTAGTCCTCATGGATGTGGAAGACTGCCCAAGTCCAACTTCACATAAGCATGAGTGTGGCTGTGTGTGTTGTTGTCACAACCAGGAAAAAAAAGAATGTGGTGATGGAGAGATTCAAGGGTTGGGCTTTCTTTCCAGGTTGCATTTCAGGGTCAGTGCTGAGAAGTGGTTCAATAAGAAGAGCCAGCTGAATCTGACCAATGGCCTACCTAGTCCAGTATTCTGTTCTCACAGTGGCCAACCAGATTCCCCAAAGAGAAACCCTCAAGCAAGTCCCAAGCACAAGACCTCTCTCTCTCGTCCCCTGTGGTTTTCAGCTACTGCTATTCAGAAGTATCACTGCCTCCAATTGTGGAGGCCAACCATAACCATTGTGGCAAATAGCCTTTGCCTCCATGAATTTGCCTAGCCTTCTTAAAACTATCTAGGTTGATGGTCATGCTGTGGCAATGAGTTCCATATGTTAACTGTGCACTGCTTTTCCAAAAACCTCTCCTTAGTTGCCACACAGTGCCTGCGGAATGTGCTTTCTTATTACCACAAGCTTCAGGGCACCTCCACACCTCTGCGAGACCAAGATTATTTTCTGCCCGTGCCTCTCTTGCAAGTTATTCTGGATTTGGGTTCTTCCACCAGCTCTGTGGAGTCTGTTTCTGCCCTCCTGGTTGAAGAATTTATGTCTCTCAAGAAGCTCCATCCTCAACTTGTTAGACTCTCCGTCTCCGTCCAGGTATCTCCACCTCTCCACCCATTCATATAGGGTTATAAAGAAAGGTAAAGAGACCCCTGACCATTAGGTCCAGTTGTGGCTGACTCTGGGGTTGCGGCACTCATCTCGCTTTATTGGCCAAGCCAGCATACAGCTTCCAGGTCATGTGGCCAGCATGACAAAGCCGCTTCTGGCGAACCAGAGCAGCGCACGGAAACGGCATCTACCTTCCCGCCGGAGTGGTACCTATTTATCTACTTGCACTTTGACGCGCTTTCGAACTGCTAGGTTGGCAGGAGCAGGGACCGAGCAATGGGAGCTCACCCCGTCGCGGGGATTCGAACCACCGACCTTCTGATCGTCAAGTTCTAGGCTCTGTGGTTTAACCCACAGCGCTGCCCGCGTCTCTTATATAGGGTTTTAGGACACCCCAATTCCTGCTGAGCAGTGCATAGGATTCCAGTGGCCTTGACCATCAACCAAGGTCTCCCCCTCCCCATAAACATCTGGAGGGCAGCAGATTAGGAAGCCTGTTCTATTAAATTAAATTTCATTTAGAACAGCTAATCCAGAATCCAAATGGCACCACTAGACTTTAAATAAGACTCTTTTGATTTACTATTTGTGGCAAATTTCTGTCTAGGATGCTGCCCGGGTCAGCATAGTGGAAGAAGTTGCCTCCCTGCTGGAGCAGAGAGACAGAGATCTGGCAAGGTTCCTGGAGAGCGTTTATGCACAACCAGGTAAGTCTGCTTTGGGGTGCCACCTCAGTAATCCTGTCACTATAGGGGCATTTCTCTTCCTAAACTTTGGGCGCATGGTCCCTGCGCAAGGTACTCCATTTCGTCCTCAGCAGCTACTGAGCATGTTGACTGGCAAGTCCTGGAGTCCTCACCTTCTTAGCGTTCCCCCTCTATTTTTGCTTTTCATCTGCAAATTTTGGGGTTTCCCTGAGCTGGCTTACTCTTCCCTTTTGAGTGTGGATGGTGGTTTCTTGGATGCCTAAGTAACGTCACTCACCTTTGAGCGCTGAAAATAAAAGGACCACCAATTCTGTATAAGGAAGCTTAACGTCTCTTGCACAAAACAAATGAAATACCATGAAAATCCCTGAAACGAGAAGTAATTGACTAAAAATATTATCTTGTGGAAATAAACTAAATAATAAAAATCCTAAAGTCCTACTTTCATGATGATCCTGCTGATATGAATGCCTTCAGCTCCAACTTCTGTAGAAGAGATGGACTACAATTCACACGGATCTCTGGGAAGAGATATTGGTGGCTAAACCACTCTGGGAATTGTAGCTGTGGGTGTGGAATACGAGTCTCCTAGCAACTCTCATCACCCATGACGAACTACAGTTCCCAGCATCATTTGGGGAAAGCCATGACATGAAAGTAGTAGAAAAAAGACAGTCACGGAAATGAGAAATTGCACAAAACAAATGAAATACCATGAAAATCCCTGAAACGAGAAGTAATCGACTAAAAATATTATCTTGTGGAAATAAACTAAATAATAAAAATCAAAAAGTTTAAGGAAAAAATTAGAAAAACCTAAAATTGAACAAAGCCTTAATAAAAAAAGTTTAAGGGGGGAAAAATAGAAAAACCTAAAATTGAACAAAGCCTTAACGGGATGCCGGCTACAAACCCCATCTCACTGAACTATTCAATTTCCTCAGAAGGAAATAGAAAAATCATAAATGATGAAAATTGAAAAAAATTCATAAGGCAACAGATTTCAGATGGTTTGATGGTTTGATGAAGCCTTTTTGATTAAGGCTTTGTTCAATTTTAGGTTTTTCTAATTTTTTCCCTTAAACTTTTTAATTTTTATTATTTAGTTTATTTCCACAAGATAATATTTCTAGCCGATTACTTCTCGTTTCAGGGATTTTCACGGTATATCTTTTGTTTTGTGCAATGACAATTGAAAGTGGCACCACCAAACTTGGATTTGATATTGAGAATTGTTCCGTAAGCTGCTTTGAGAGCCTCTTGGGACTACAAAGCGGGATGTAAGTGCTGTAAATAAATAATAATCATCATATACTTGTAGAATCCCACATCTTTGCTGTTTTCCAGAGGAAGACCCCAGAGACACCTTACTCAAGGGACTGAGCCACATGATCCAGCCGGCTATTGACACTCTGCTTGCTGGTGAGATGCACTTCTTGGCATACAAAAAAAAGATCAAAAAAAAATTGAACCTGGAGCTGAGACTGGGAATTGGGAGGTTGTTGTTGTTGTTTAGTCATGTCCGACTCTTTGTGACCCCCTGGACCAGAGCACGCCAGGCACTCCTGTCTTCCACTACCTCCCGCAGTTTGGTCAAACTCATGCTGGTCGCTTCGAGAACACTGTCCCACCATCTCATCCTCTGTCGTCCCCTTCTCCTTGTGCCCTCCATCTTTCCCAACATCAGGGTCTTTTCCAGGGAGTCTTCTCTTCTCATGAGGTGGCCAAAATCTTGGAGCCTCAGCTTCAGGATCTGGCCTTCCAGTGAGCACCCAGGGCTGATTTCCTTCAGAATGGAGAGGTTTGATCTTCTTGCAGTCCAGGGGACTCTCAGGAGTCTCCTCCAGCATCCATTCTTCTGCGATCAGCCTTCTTCATGGTCCAGCTCTCACTTCCATACATCACGACTGGGAAAACCAGAGCTTTTACTATAACGGACCTTTGTTGGCAAGGTGATGTCTCTGCTTTTTGAGATGCTGTCTAGGTTTGTCATTGCTTTTCTCCCAAGAAGCAGGCGTCGTTTAATTTCGTGACTGCTGTCATCATCTGCAGTGATCATGGAGCCCAAGAAAGTAAAATCTCTCACTGCCTCCATTTCTTCCTCTTCTATTGCCAGGAGGTGATGACCTGCAAAGCATAGTGATGGCCACCAGCTTGGGTGGCTTTAAAAGAGGACTAGGCAGTTCATGGAACAGGATAAGGCTGTCAATAGCTACTGTACTAGTCACAAGGCTGTGTGTTTCCTCCTCAATCAAAGGCGGTCATGCTTCTGAATACCAGTTTCTGGAAACTCCAGGAAGGAGAGTTGCTCTTGTGCTTGGGGCCCTGATTGGAGATTTCCTACTGGGGCATCTTCTTGTACACTGTGAAAACAGGATGGGTTGGTCCAGCAGAGCTCTTCTTTTGTATTTTGATTCTCTCGTTCCTCACCACAGCAAAACCCCTCATAGTGCACCTGCATGAGAGAGAGAGAGAGAGACGTAGGAAGCTACTGCCAGGCAATCTAGCCCAGTAATGTCTGCACTGACTGGCAGCAGCTCTCCAAGGGTGCAGAAGGAAGGCATTCTCAGTCCTACCTTGAGATGCCAGGGATTGAATTTGGGACCTTCTGCATGTTGGTTATTTCGCAGATTAGTCGGGCTGCAGAAGGCGTGCTGGGGAGACCACACATTCAAGAAACGCAAAAGTAACTTTTGCTTGGTTTAATAACAAATAACAAAAACTCCTTTTACACTGAATTTCATTATATCAATAAGTGTAACCCATCCACCAGGGTACAGTGGTACCTCAGGTTAAGTACTTAATTCGTTCTGGAGGTCCATTCTTAACCTGAAACTGTTCTTAACCTGAAGCACCACTTTAGCTAATGGGGCCTGCAGCTGCCGCCGGAGCACGATTTCTGTTCTCATCCTGAAGCAAAGTTCTTAACCCAAGGTACAGTGGTACCTCGCAAGACAAATGCCTCGCAAGACAAAAAACTCACTAGACGAAAGGGTTTTTTGTTTTTTGAGCTGCTTCGCAAGACGATTTTCCCTATGGGCTTGCTTCGCAAGACGGAAACGTCTTGCAAGTTTGTTTCCTGTTCTTAACACCGTTAATACAGTTGCGACTTGACTTCGAGGAGCAACTCCTAGAACGCGGTGTGGTAGCCTTTTTTTTGAGGTTTTTAAAGACTTTGGTGATTTTTGAAGCTTTTCCAAAACTTTCCCAACACCGTGCTTCGCAAGACGAAAAAAATCGCAAGACGACAAAACTTGCGGAACGAATTAATTTCGTCTTGCGAGGCACCACTGTACTATTCCTGGGTTAGTGGAGTCTGTAACCTGAAGCGTATGTAACCCGAGGTACCACTGTACTGAGAGAGCTACATGCTGCTCTTTATATACTATGCCCAACAGCTTAATTAACATAACAGCACCTGCTATACTGCTTCACAGCTGTAAAACTAGGTCATGTTATTTGCTCTGGCCCTTAAAGGCATACACATCTTGTGAAACAATAATGAAAACTAAAATTTAAAGAAACCATTCAACACTGCATACAAGCTGGACGCTCCACCACAAGCCACAGACCTTCCAAAGTGTTCGTTATGCCTCAGGGAAGCTAGTGAGATGCTCTTCCACTTTTGCTTTGTTTGCAGGCTACTTAAACATGGATACTCTTTTGTACATCTGGGACCAGATTATCCTGGGACTGGAGCGGCCGTCGTACAACTGTCTCCCTGTGTTCACCACCATTTTTGTCCTCCTGCTCCGTGGCCGGCTACTCACGTGTCAATCCGTATGCACAGCCTGATGAAATCTAATGCCACAACTGTTTTACAAAGCATTGTTAAAGTTGTCCAGTGGATCCCCTGATGGGGACCTTGTATAGAAATGAATTCTCTCCTCCACAAGAATTGAGTTTCAAAGCTTTGCTGCAGAACAGATTTAATAAGATAAACGTTACAAAATAACCAAGCAATGGGATTCAGTCCTTCATGCTGTTCAGTAAACGGTCCTCTCTCTGGTCCCAGGGGGAGATCCTAAGCTTGTTCATCACTGCAGAACTTCTCTGCAACCGCTGCTACTAGCTGTCACCAACAAGCACACACTGGCTTCTCACGTTTCCAATTCCAATATAAGGTAGTTTAGCTCATTGAAATGGAAAGATGCCAACCTTCTCTGACGCTTTTGCCAGAGTGAAACTTCTTGGCCACGGTAAACTTCCCTTTGTAGCATTTTAAATACAATGCATTTAAATACCACGTTTTATGTACATTAGACATGTAACTTCAACAAGTTCGGTATTGCATTAAATGCTGGAATAATATAGAATTGGTATGGGCAAGAATCAGGGGCGAATGGGGCTACAGCCTAAGATTATGGAACATTGTTCTAGTGGAGATCTGTCCATCTGTATGTGGGGGAAAGCTGTAGCTCAGGGGAAGAGTAATTGCCTTCATGCAGAAGACCCCAGTTCAATCCCTGATATCTCTAGGTATAGCTGCGAACAACTCTTGTTTGGAACCACAAATGCCTTTTTGGGGAGAACATTCTACAAGCAGGGAGCCACCACTGAAAAGGTCCTGTTCTCGTGTCACCACCCTCCAAAAATTCTAACATTCCTATGACTTTCTTACTTCGCCATCTTTGTATGTACAATCATACCTTGGTTTTCGAACAGCCTAGTTCTCGGATGTTTTGGCACCCGAACAATCAAAACCCAGAAGTGACTGTTCCAGTTTTCAAACATTATTTTGAAAGCTGAATGTCCGACGGGGTTTCCGCAGCTTCTGATTGGCTGCAGGAGCTTCCTGCAGCCAATCAGAAGCCGTGCTTTAGTTTTTGAACACTTTGGAAGTTGAATGGACTTGTGGAATGGATTCCATTCGACTTCCAAGGTCTGATTGTATTATCTGTTGTTTAGAAAGTTTCTTCTAAACTCTGCCATGGATTTAAATTTTGGCTTTTGTGTGGCTTTGTTTTTAAAATTGTTTTAACGGCTGCTGCTTTTTGGGGGTGGGGGAGCAAAAGCCCTTCTGTTTCTAAGAGGATTTTTGTTTGCCCTACCTTTGAGGACCACCTTTGGTGCCCCACCAGCCACCATTGAGCAATTTTACCCACCCACCTTCCCTGCCTTTTACTGCAGCCAGTGGAATTGAAAGCAACACTGAAAACCTGGGGACCGTCTCTGCTTGTGCAAGAGTTCCAAGACATGATGGGGAAACACTTCTTTGAAGATTTGTACAGCCAGTTGCTTGGCGGAAACAAGGAACCCACCCCGATCCATGATCCTACCCAAAGTAAGGCCTTGACGGGCGTCTTCTGCTCAGGCTCACTCCTTCCTCTCAGCCTCAAAACATTTACCTGTCAATCAATTAATCAATTTATTATTTTTATTTATTCAGTTTGTATACCGCCCTCGACCTGAGGATCACAGGGCGGTTTGCAACAGAAAAATACAAAATGAGAACACAATATACATAAGAAAGAAAGAAAGAAAGAAAGAAAGAAAGAAAGAAAGAAAGAAAGAAATAACAGTCAATAGAAGAAAAATAAATATCAATCAATAAGTATATTGTGCTAGCCAAAGGCCAAGACAATTACATTACAAATACCAAAATACAAACACAGCAGTAATACAGTAAATGTTAATGATATAGGAGAGAAAAATCAGATGTGACATCAGCTGACTCAAGATTAAAAGTTCCCAAAACAATTTATAGTAATATGATCTAACTTTCTCTTCCTAGTCTTTTTTTGCAGTCAGCCTGAACAAATACATTTTTCCCACCTTTGTCCCTCAGCAGTTGTAAGGCAAGGCAACAAATTGCAAAGCAAGATTTTTAAAATACAGAATAATAACATTTTTAAAAAGCAGCCAAATAAGAGCCATAATAAAAAGTATGCAAAGCAGTCAAGAGAGCAGACCTAAAGGCTTGGACTGGAGCAGAAGACACCCCTTTGTATCATCCAGAATGATCCCCCAAGCCTATCACAGTATTTTACATACTGCCTATTACATTCTGTCTCCAGGCAGAGCCAAAGATAAAAATATAAAACCGCAGTAAAATGGTAATTGTTCCATCATAGCAGTAAGCCACTGAAGCAGTATACAAGGTAAGAAGGAAGAATTAAAGCACACGTGCTCTCTCTAAAAAAAATAAAATCATCTCAGCAACTATTGTTTGCAAAGGTATCATTGGAGGTATCATTTACAGTGAAGCAGTATACAGTTTTGGTTAATAAATAAATCAAATTCTCCCCCACCCCAGCTCCAATCAAGCCATTTCTGCAGACACACAATTAATATTTCATAAAATGACTCGGTCACTCCAGGGAAAGTGCTTTTAAACTAAAATGCCTTTGGCAGGGGCCAAAACATCACAACTCTCTAATATGGGCTACGAATCCCTGCGACGGGGTGAGCTCCCGTTGCTCGGTCCCAGCTCCTGCCAACCTAGCAGTTTGAAAGCACGTCAAAGTGCAAGTAGATAAATAGGTACCGCTCCGGAGGGAAGGTAAACGGCGTTTCCGTGCGCTGCTCTGGTTCACTGTGCTGGTCACATGACCCGGAAGCTGTACGCCGGCTCCCTCGGCCAATAAAGCGAGATGAGTGCCGCAACCCCAGAGTCGGCCACAACTGGACCTAATGGTCAGGGGTCCCCTTTATCCTTTACCCTTACTGATTCCAGAGGGCTGGCGCTGCGACACTAACAAGCTTGGTTTCTAGGACCTGCTAAGCTTGGGCAGCTGTGGGGAGCATGCATTATCTCAGCATTGCCCAATCTCTTGAGATGTGCAGGTGCCGGAATGGGGTAAAGGGGGTGAGATGCATAAAAGACATCTGATAATCATCTCGAGGACACATGGCATGAAACTCTAGTGGCGGGGGGGGGGGAGAAGAGGGGAGAGAGCTTCCAGATTGCACAGGTACATTTTCAAAACATGCTGGAATTTTATCAGCTTTTGTGCCTGTCATTCCATGTGTCATTCAAAGGTATGGGGCAGGAGAGCCGATCATAGCTGTCAACCGTCCTTTATTTGGCGGGAAAGTCCCTTATCCCAGCGCCATGTCCCGCTGCTGTCCCTTATTGATGATGTCCCTTAAATTTCCCGGGTTTCAAAGGAAGCAGCTCCTCTCCCTCCCTCCCTGCCGGCCAGGGAGGCTCCAACTGTGTTGTTTGGCTGCGTTGTTCACCCAATAAGGAGTCTAAGAAAGACTGGGGGGTGGAGCTTGCATGCCTTGTGCTGATCAAAACGGCCGCATTGCCTGGGGACTCGCCTTTGCTCAGCGCTTCCCAGCGGAGAGGTGACGGTGGCTTTCCTTGCTGCATCCCCATTGCTGGGTTGCTGCGCTGTGGGAACCACCGCTTGAGGCTTTGTTTGGCTGCTGGCTGGGCTTTCTGCCTTTGGCTTGGAGGGGCTCAGAAGTTGAACATACCTGTGCTTGGAAAATCCCTTATTTTGGCTGCTGATCCCTTATTTTCGAGGCTGCTGGTCCCTTATTTTCAAATCTGTAAGTTGACAGCTATGTAGCCGATTAACATTCATTATTTCTCTTTCCCTCCCACTTTGAGCTTTTCCTCCGTGGCGCTACAGAGATTTCCAAGCGGTACCACCTCCAAGGACAAGGCCAGAAGACAGGAGGCAAGCAAGGTGCTTAAGGGGCGTCCTCTTGCTCCAGGGCCCCACGAAAGGCACAAGGGAAGGGGGTGCAGTTCAGTATCCTCAGGACCTCCAGGTGGGGTTGGAACGGTCCCCTGCCAGAACCCCTGGAGAGCTGCTTCCACTCAGTGTAGACAATACTGAGCTAAACTGACCAAGGGTCTGGCTCTCTTCCTATTTAAATCAGCCCACGGTTCAGAACCATGAGGACTGGGATTTTGTTGTTTTGCCTCACTTTGCCTAACTGTAGAGCTGACCAGCCCTGGCAAGGACCCAGAACGTACCTAGTGCTTTTTAATCCTTTTTTGCCAATAATAGTAGTAGTAATAATAATAATAATAATTTATTTATTTATACCCTGCCCATCTGGCTGGGTTTCCCCAGCCACTCTGGGTGGCTTTCAAGAGAATACTAAAATACAATAACCTATTAAACATTAAAAGCTTCCCTAAACAGGGCTGCCTTCAGATGTCTTCTAAATGTCTGGTCATTGTTTTTCTCTTTGACATCTGGTGGGAGGGCATTCCACAGGGCGGATGCCACCACCGAGAAGGCCCTCTGCCTGGTTCCCTATAACCTCACTTATCGCAGCGAGGGAACCGCCAGAAGGCCCTTGGCGCTGGATCTCAGTGTCCGGGCTGAACGATGGGGGTGGAGACGCTCCTTCAGGAATACTGGACCAAGGCCATTTAGGGCTTTAAAGGTCAACACCAGCACTCTGAGTTGTGCTCGGAAACGTGTGAATGCGCGCTTGTGTCATTCTGGTCCTCTCCCACTCCTTTGGAGCATCGGTGGCATTTTTGAGGCTCGCCTGAGGGCACGGAAAGACGGGGAGGGAGAATACGTACAGCAAACAGGGCACGTCCTGATTTTCAGAGAGGAGCCTCAGTTGCTGGAAGAGCAACGCCTTGAGAGGGCACAACAGGAACAGAGACTTCAAAGGTTCAGAATGGAAGAACAGAAGAGGTAAGACTTTTCCTGTCAGCAGCATTTGCAGCTACCCACATTCTCAGCTAATAAGAGTCCCCAGCATAGCATCAGTCGGCACCCAAAATACTTTTGCCCCATTCTTATTTTTAAATCGAGGGGTTGCTTTTTTAATTATTGGGGGAGGGCATTCCTTGGTTGAGATGTTGCCCGTTGTTGCTTTGTGGGATGGACTGCATTTCTATCTATGTTTTATTTGTTTGAAAATGCATATAAGTGCTTGGGGGGGTGTGGCAGGGAGCTCAGAGCACCCCAGTTTTTCACTTCTGTGAAATGGGCATATTGTAGTGTTTCTTAGATTTCCAAATGTGCCAGAAAAATTGAGCTGAGAGACGAGATGGTACTCTGCTAAGACTTTGCTCCTGGCTGTTTTAACCATTCCCCTACAGCGTAAGGGTCGGGAGAAATTGGGCACCCATATCTGATTTAATTTCCTGGGAGTTTCTCTGCAACATTTTTCTTTAATGGACTTGCAGGCAACAAGAGATGAGATTCCTGCAGCTTTTAGAGGAGAATAAGAGAAAATTTGAAATGCAGAAGGTCCATTTGGAAGATCAGCTGTCCCAGGTATTTCCTTCCAACCGTGGAATAAAGATTAAGAGAAACACAATCAATTTACGTAGACGGTTGGGGTGTCCTGGAGAAAGGGCGTGTGCCAACCCCACTGGCTTAACCATGGACTTTCTGGGTGGGCCACTCTGTTCATTACTCTCTCTTGTCCTCTCAGTTCCCCATCTGTAAATTGGGTTTATTAAGGGCACAGCCTCACACAATGAAACACGAATCTGCATAATAAACATAATTGCATTGTGCTGATTAAGCAGAGCTGTACCATTTGAGATTTCATAGCTGCACTCACTAGCATAGCTGGGGGCGGGCGGGGGGGGGTGTAATAAAAAATTTAAGGTCATATATATATATGATAAATGTTTATAAATGTACCAACCAAGCACAAACATAGATATGTGGACCACATGTCTGGAGCAGCACAGGAAGACCGTCCTGAAACCATTTTGACTCCCAAACTGACCAGATGTTTTCTCTGCAAGGAAGGAGGGGGTGAGGGAACCTTTCCATTGTCTCAGGAATTGGGAAATCACCATCTCAAAGGAACTGGCAGACTACCAGGAAAGGCAATCAGATAAGGCATTATCAGATAACCTGGCAGACAGGAAAAACAACAACATTCAAATTTCTGTTGTAGACCACCTTTTCTGTGATGTAGGTATGATGTTTGTGGGGGGTGGTCTTGGGTTACACCCCTTCTGTGATGTATGTATGATGTATGGAGGGGTGGTCTTGAGCTCCAGGGCAGGGAATTAAAAATGTCTATATTAGGGCAGGCACACCTTTGTCCTCCTCCATCCTCCTGCGTGTGACGGGAGCACCCTGTTGCAACAGTTTTAATAAAGATCAGGCTTACTAGCTGCTTTGCTTCTCAATATTCTCTGGTTGGCCTCTGTTATTTTCTCCTACCAATAGGGAACCCATGCAAGGACTCTATATGGGCTCTTGGATACCCCATAAGGGGAAAAGGGCAGATTTTGTTTACAACACGTGCACTGGGCGGCCACTTACCACAGGGTGTGTGCTGCAGCGCACCCGTGTCTCTCCTGGGAGTGTCGCAGTGGCTCAGGCACCTGCAGGCACCTGGGCTTGCGTCTGCTTGCCGCCTCCCCTTCAGCTGGAGGGTGGTTGAGGGGGAGGCGGGTGGGCTGAGCAGACTCCACGCAGACTCTGGCACCCGAGCGGCTAGCTATGCCACTGACTGCACTTGAGAAGAATAGACAATCAGGCCTAGGGTCTGGGGAGCTGGAGGACTGTAGTACTTTACCCTGCATTTGGATGTTGAAGAATGAGGAGAGCTAGGGACACTTGGCCTAGAGGCAGAGTAGGACTGTACCACTAGGCTGCTAGACTGGTGACTGGGAGCGGCCGCCGAAACCATATAACACCGGTCTTGAAAGACCTACACTGGCTCCCAGTACGTTTCAGAGCACAATTCAAAGTGTTGGTGCTGACCTTGAAAGCCTTAAACGGCCTCGGTCCAGTATACCTGAAGGAGCATCTCCACGCCCATCGTTCAGCCTGGACACTGAGGTCCAGTGCTGAGGGCCTTGTGGCAGTTCCCTCATTGCGAGAAGCCAAGTTACAGGGAACCAGGCAGAGGGCCTTCTCAGTGGTGGCGCCCACCCTGTGGAATGCCCTCCCACCAGATGTCAAAGAGAAAAACAACGACCAGACTTTTAGAAGACATCTGAAGGCAGCCCTGTTTAGGGAAGCTTTTAATGTTTAATAGACTATTTTATTTTAATATTCTGTTGGAAGCCACCCAGAGTGGCTGGGGAAACCCAGCCAGATGGGCAGGGTATAAATAATAAATTATTATTATTATTATTATTATTATTATTATCACTTTAGCCTGCATTTGGGCACTCAGGAGGCAGGAAAGTGAAGTACAGTAGAGTCAATGTACGACAGTACCAATTCAGCCTCCATTCGAGCACTCAGGAGGTATGAAATCTCTCTCTCCCCACCTCCAAAGTTTTAACAACTACAATTTGGCACCTTTCAGGAGAGACAGGTCCGCTACGAAATGCAAATGAAGGCAGAGGAGGAGATAAGCAGGCTGCAGGCTGAACTGCAGAGACTTGCTGTGGACAGGAAGATGGTAATATTTTCTTTTTCAAAATGAAGTTTTGTTTTAATGAGCTCACCCACTGCTAACTACTAATGCCCAGGGAACTTGTAGACGGAAGCAAGGCAGTCCACTGTGATGGAGATGGTTTGCCCAATAGCCTGGAGCTGGGAGTTTCTATACTGGAAAACATGCATCTGTTTTGACAATCTTGCTCACTGTCCCTGCCATGGCAAATGATCAAGTCAGGCTCTGGCTAGCAAGCCTGTCTATGTTCCGGCATCCTAGACTTCAGCATTTTGGACATCTGCATTTTAACTCCCGTGCCTTGGGTCTTAAAACAAACTTGGGTGCCCCAAGGAGATCCTGTCGCTTACGCAGATTTTAATACTGTCCTTCCATATTTTTCTTGCAGCCTTCACCTGACACCTATTCCGCTGGAAGGTAAGGTTCTGTCCAGGCATGCAAAGGTACACCCCGCAACTTAGAAACATAAAGTCAGAATGTGCCCACAGTGATCCCAAAGGGAAGGGGCAGCATAATTGTGTTGACTTTGGCAACAGGCCTGCTTCCCTTGCATCTGAGAACTGGTGCCTCCCCTTCACAAATGGGCAAAGGGATTTGTAAAAAGACTTACTGAGCACCTGATTTCCTGCTTTGCAGTCTCCTCGCCCCTGCACCTTCCCTGCAGTCCCAGACGCCATCTCAGACTTCCCTGCCTCATTCTTGCCTGTCAGACACAGGTTAGTGAAAAGCATTTGCGGGTATTAATCAGGTATTATTGAGATTTGCTATTTGATTCCAACACTCTCCCTAATTGCCTGTGATGAACAGGAATCACTTCCAGCCAAGCAGGCAGGGAAGCTTATTAAACTGACAGATAATTGGATGTGTGCTTTAGATGCTAATGTGCCACAAATGAACAGCATAGGCCTGCGAAAGCAAAGAGGCCTAGCAATTTTTTGTTCTTGTTGACCAGCATATAAACATTTGCAAATCTGAGACTGAAATAACTCTGGATACAGGCAACCCACTGGGCAAAAAAGCAGGATGTAAGGTTAAATAGAGTAATCATATCTCATAATTTGGCTTTTGCTTTTCAACGTTTCACAGTTGCTGCACATCAGAAACACAAAACCGCCGATGGAGACACCATTGCCTTCAAACTGCTGAAGCACATGATGGAGGCAGCCAGCTCAAGTAAGCAAAAGTTGTCTGTAATGCAAATGCTGGCATCTGTGGAACTCACTGCCGCTGGATGTCGCTAATACAGTGATACCTCAGGTTAAGAACTTAATTCGTTCTGGAGGTCCGTTCTTAACCTGAAACTGTTCTTAACCTGAGGTACCATTTTAGCTAATGGGGCCTCCCGCTGCCACTGCCCCGCGATTTCTGTTCTCATCCTGAAGCAAAGTTCTTAACCCGAGGTACTATTTCTGGGTTAGCAGAGTCTGTAACCTGAAGCGTCTGTAACCCAAGGTACCACTGTACAATGTATTTTTAAAATGAGCTCCTTCCGTCCCTCTCCCTCTCTTTCTCAAATGAAAACAGAAGTCAGGCTGAAAAGGATAAAAAGTAACATCCAGTAGCCAAAGCTGACTGAGACAAAACATGCAGCTGTGTGTAAACTTACTTTAAGTTAATGCAACTAAAATTGAACATTATCAAGAGACACATTCCCTGGACAAAAATGTGCCTAGGAGCAGGGACACACATACTGGTTTATAAAATAACAAACAACACAGTGCAGATTGTTGTTTTTCATCCTTTCTCGTTTTACTAAAACTTTATTCAGGGTCAAGTTTAAAGGCTTTGGGGATGGAGGCACTGGAAGCTGATCCACTGGGGCAAAAGGGGAACTGCCCCACCAACCTGTTGCCCCCACCTCCCTGCCTTCTTACAACCAGTCCAGGGGGTTGCCTTGCCTGCCTCCTCCTTAGTCTCAGTACTGTCCAATGTAGAACTGAGCAGGGAGGAAAACAGGGACAAAACTAGAATTAGTTGGCTCTGCCTGTCACTAGCGCTCGCTCTGTCTGCTTTGAGGCTCCTGACCCTCCTCCCACCAGCACTCGTGATGCTCCCTTCATTCTCTTTACCCAGAAACGTCTTAAGGGACATCACAGACCACAGGCAAGGAACACAAAATGTGTCTGCATGCATTGGGCAGCCTGAAGAGTGAGGCTATCGCCATTTTCATGGAAGATAAGCGACACCTTCTGGTCAGAGATGCAACTATTTCAGTACAATACTCCTTGGTGGAAGACTTTGAGATTCTTTGAGGGTTTATGCTTTGCAGAAGTGGATCCAAACTATTACCATTTTCCATCCCACTAACCTGCCTGGAATCCTACTGAGGTAGCATCAATCTGCCAGAAAGTTTCCAGTTTGTAATCTCCATGATCCAGGGTCACCGCGCAAATCTGCTACACCCGTATTGCCTAAGCCAGGGGTCAGCACACTTTTTCAGCAGGGGGCCGGTCCACTGTCCCTCAGACTTTGTGGGGGGCTGGAATATATTTGGGGGGGGGATGAAAAAATTCCTATGCCCCACAAATAACCCAGAGATGCATTTTAAATAAAAGGACACCTTCTACTCATGTAAAAACATGCTGATTCCCAGACTGTCCGCAGGCCGGATTTAGAAGGCGATTGGGCCGGATCCAGCCCCTGGGCCTTAGTTTGCCTACCCATGGCCTAAGCCATCCAAGATTTCACCTGGTGGCTGGGAGTTCTGTTTCATTTTGCGTGGCGTGTGTGTGTAGCTCTACCAATGCTCAAGGTCATCCTTTTGGAAAGGGTCAGGAAAAACCTCCATGGAGAACTGGGCTGTCATTGGCTTCTTAGTTGTGATAGCTAAATCAGACCTCCATGTTGAGAGGCACCCTTATCTCCTAATAGCAGATTTTAGGAATGAACCATAGGGGGCAGCCCTTGCTGTCACACCCCAATTGTAAGGTCTGGGTGGCATCTGGATGGAGATAGTGCGCTAGATTCAAGCTGCACCTCACCCACCAAGACTATCCCTGTATTCCATCTGAAATTGGAATGAGAAGCTGGACCCTACTAGTTACATTGCGACAGCCTGAGCCACAAACTAGTTAAGTGAGAGTGTCATAGATTTAAACAGGTTGCAACCTAGGTGTCTACTATCCAGAAAGTAATTGTGTTTCTTTTAGTTGTTAACGGTTCGAGCACCGAGGAAAGGGAACGCTTGGATGCAGCCACAAGGGAGCATATTCGGGACTACAATGAAGATGAGAAGAATGCAAAGGTATTTTGAAGCATTCTCTCATTGCCTGCCTTTTATATTTTTATGGTATATATATTTTTATAGCAACAGAAAGGAACAAAGTCCTGCTGGACCAGGCCGATAGCTCATCCAGCCCAGTGTCCTGTGGCCAAGTAGCCTGAGAACAAGGCCTAACAGTAACTCTCCACATTTGTGACTCCCCAGCAACTGGCATTCAGAGGCATTCTGCGCCTGAAAGGATAGATGGAACACAGCCATCAAAGCTAGTAGCCATTGGAAGCCTTAAACCTCCACAGATTTATCCCATCTTCCCAATGCATTATTAGGAGGGCCGAGATAGAAAAATTATTCCGAGATTTGTCATTTTTATAGGGATAAAAAGCATGACATACTAGGGGCTGCCACCCCGCTTGCTAACCCCACATACCCCTTTGCCCTTCCCCCACACTGGACCAAACCTCCCTCCCTCTACGCTTCACCCCTGCCCCAAGTTCCACCCATTCTTAAAGGTGAGAGGCATTTCACAGCACCTCCCTCCCTCCATTAAACAGCTCGCCTGGGCTGGGCATGCCAGCTGGCTATTCCAGTACCTTATGTAACAATACATTGTGTATATAAAACTTTTTTATATATTAGGGACATGACACGAACCTGCTTCCCAGCCTGCCTTTACTAATCCAACTCCCCCTACTTTGCCCCACTGACCAGGTACCCTGGCCTAACTCCTTCCCACAGCCTTCTTTCCCTAAGGCCAGGTGTGGGGAATGCTTTTCAATGACACACACCAGGCAGGCAGAAAGTTGAGGACTGCAAAGCATTATGGATTGTTGTTGTTTAGTCGTGTCCAACTCTTCGTGACCCCCTGGACCAGAGCATGCCACGCATTATAGATAGTTACAAGATAAAAGCTGCTGTGAAGGCCACATAAAGCTTCCAGGCTTGTGGTGCCACACCTCTGCTTTTCACATTCTATACAAGCCACATAAGCACTTGCAACAAACAGCAACTGCTGCCACATTTCTGTTTCTTGTTGCCTCCATAGATTGAGATGTTTGGTTATGAAATCAGTGAAGATGAAATAAACAACATCCCAGAAGCCAGAAGGAAAGACGTGAGAAAGAAACTAGAGCAGGCACTCCGACGAGGGGCAGAAGCTCGTTACATGGCAGCCAGAGGAAGGGGTTTACCAGCTTTTATTACCCACATGGATGTGTTGTGATCGGTGTGCCCTTGTTACACAAGCAGAGCCTTTGGAATCCATAAACCTGGTTAATAATCTGCTACTGAGCATTGCTTTTATCAAGTGCATTGTGCTACAGGTACACCTCCCACTGAGCAAGTATTAGCCTCTTTGGCTACTGAAGGAAATGTCCTCAAAGTCACCTAGGGCACCAATGGAGAACCTAATTAGGCCAAGCCGTGTGCACACACCCCATTGATCTGATGGCATGCGAGACATCAGAGGTGGGACAAGGAGTTTGCAGGTGTAATAGAAAAGGCAAGCAGGTCACCTGACATAATTGTGAATCCTCCTGGGCCTCAATCTGGCACTGCAGAGAACCACTGAAGTAGACAGCCTTTATTTATAGAGCTGTGGGTACGCATTAAGTTACATTTGAGATAAGGCAGAGCTTGTGGTGTCCTAGTGATGTAGACTACAGTAGATTTTCACACACAAAGTTTGACAGAGTGCCCTCCATTGTGACAATTCCATACTAGACCCAAAATGGATTATTGAACCCTGAAATACCGTGTCAAGATGATGCTCTAGAAGTTTATGAATGGTTGGGTCTTTAACCACAGCAGGTATTACCTACCAGAGCAGCCAAATTTGTTTAGGATAGGAACTGCTGTATGGAGTGTTTTATTAGTGGAGCTATTTTTAAAGGACCTTATCAATTGCATTGTGCAAGCCCTTAATGCTAAATGGTACACTACATACCATTTTAGATCAAAGCCTCTGCAGTTACTTATCACTCAGTTCTTTCTGCATCTTTAAAGATGAAAACAAGCAACTTCCAATCATAAACAGAACATTTGAGTGGTACCAAAGTAAAGAAAAGCTGTGTCCCTAGCTTTGTCCTTGCCAGCATTGTAGAAAGCTCAAGCCACTAAGGTGACTAAAATATAATTGCCAGAAGTCATGGCAGTTGTAGGAGCTACAGTTTAATCAGTTTGAGCACTCTAGACTCCCAAGTTTCATATTCTGTATTCTAAGCTTACACCCGTTTTAACATGGCAAAAAGTCTGGTGCTGTGACTTCCATCATTGCAGTTATACCTCATGACATGTTTGGTATCAGTTTATTTAGGATTAAGTTGGAGAATCCATGTCAACTTGCACTTAATTTTGGTATCTCTTGCTATGTTACCTTTGATTTCTTTCCCAGAACCTTGCAGTTACGCACAACACCTACAGTGTAAAAAAACTGGGAGAAAAGTATTCTTGAACACCATACTTAATCATTCATGAGAACTACAAAGTAATGTGCAACAAAAACTTTTATTTAGCATTTACACCAACAGTCCAGCAGTTACTTAAACTTTTATTTACCTTACAATATTAAGACATTAAACAGCTACAGTGCAAACAAATGCTATTGGCAACTTGCAAATAAAGAGTTCCGTTAACACCTAAAAGCCACCTCTCAGACGCAGCACAAGGTGGAGGGTGGATTCCTTCTGGATGTTGTAGTCGGAGAGGGTGCGGCCATCTTCCAGCTGCTTGCCAGCAAAGATCAGCCTCTGCTGGTCAGGGGGAATGCCTTCTTTGTCCTGGATCTTAGCTTTCACGTTCTCGATGGTGTCACTGGGCTCCACTTCCAGGGTGATGGTCTTGCCAGTCAGAGTCTTGACAAAGATCTGCATACCTCCCCTCAGACGCAGCACAAGATGGAGGGTGGATTCCTTCTGGATGTTGTAGTCAGAAAGCGTGCGGCCATCTTCCAGCTGCTTTCCGGCAAAGATCAGCCTCTGCTGGTCAGGGGGAATGCCTTCTTTGTCCTGGATCTTAGCTTTCACGTTCTCAATGGTGTCACTGGGCTCCACTTCCAGAGTGATGGTCTTCCCAGTGAGTGTCTTGACGAAGATCTGCATACCTCCTCTCAGACGCAGCACAAGATGGAGGGTGGATTCTTTCTGGATGTTGTAGTCAGAGAGGGTGCGGCCATCTTCCAGCTGCTTTCCGGCGAAGATCAGCCTCTGCTGGTCAGGGGGAATGCCTTCTTTGTCCTGGATCTTAGCTTTCACGTTCTCAATGGTGTCACTGGGCTCCACTTCCAGAGTAATGGTCTTGCCAGTCAGAGTCTTGACAAAGATCTGCATACCTCCCCTCAGACGCAGCACAAGATGGAGGGTGGATTCCTTCTGGATGTTGTAGTCAGAGAGGGTGCGGCCATCTTCCAGCTGTTTTCCGGCAAAGATCAGCCTCTGCTGGTCAGGGGGAATGCCTTCTTTGTCCTGGATTTTAGCTTTCACGTTCTCAATGGTGTCACTGGGCTCCACTTCCAGAGTGATGGTCTTCCCAGTGAGTGTCTTGACAAAGATCTGCATACCTCCTCTCAGACGCAGCACAAGATGGAGGGTAGATTCTTTCTGGATGTTGTAGTCAGAGAGGGTGCGGCCGTCTTCCAGCTGCTTTCCGGCGAAGATCAGCCTCTGCTGGTCAGGGGGAATGCCTTCTTTGTCCTGGATCTTAGCTTTCACGTTCTCGATGGTGTCACTGGGCTCCACCTCCAGGGTGATGGTCTTGCCAGTCAGAGTCTTGACAAAGATCTGCATACCTCCCCTCAGACGCAGCACAAGATGGAGGGTGGATTCTTTCTGGATGTTGTAGTCAGAAAGCGTGCGGCCATCTTCCAGCTGCTTTCCGGCGAAGATCAGCCTCTGCTGGTCAGGGGGAATGCCTTCTTTGTCCTGGATCTTAGCTTTCACGTTCTCGATGGTGTCACTGGGCTCCACCTCCAGGGTGATGGTCTTCCCAGTCAGAGTCTTGACAAAGATCTGCATACCTCCTCTCAGACGCAGCACAAGATGGAGGGTGGATTCCTTCTGGATGTTGTAGTCAGAAAGCGTGCGGCCATCTTCCAGCTGCTTTCCGGCAAAGATCAGCCTCTGCTGGTCAGGGGGAATGCCTTCTTTGTCCTGGATCTTAGCTTTCACGTTCTCAATGGTGTCACTGGGCTCCACTTCCAGAGTGATGGTCTTCCCAGTGAGTGTCTTGACGAAGATCTGCATACCTCCTCTCAGACGCAGCACAAGATGGAGGGTGGATTCTTTCTGGATGTTGTAGTCAGAGAGGGTGCGGCCATCTTCCAGCTGCTTTCCGGCGAAGATCAGCCTCTGCTGGTCAGGGGGAATGCCTTCTTTGTCCTGGATTTTAGCTTTCACATTCTCAATTGTGTCGCTGGGCTCCACCTCCAGGGTGATGGTCTTGCCAGTCAGAGTCTTGACAAAGATCTGCATTTTTTATCTGCAATAATAATACATTATGAATATCTCATTATACTTCAGCACCTTCCCATTTCAGCAATGCAGAAGTTATCCAATAACCAGAAACACTAAAAGTCTGTGACGTTTTAAACACCCATCAGAACCAATATGAGTATACTGTAAATTAAGTTTCCAACGTTTTTCATTTTGTATCAGCAATTATCAGAGATACAATGGAATTGTCTCCCATGCATCTACAAGCAGAAAAACGAGGTGAAACTGGCAAGCCTAGTCAAACTAAAAACTATTTGATATCCTCAAATACTACACACCAAGGTCAGAAGCAGGGGGGAAAACCCTCACTGCAAAACCACAGGAGGCAAAACCTGCAAGGAGCTCAGCTGGATGACCTTTTGAAGCCCCATTTTAACCAATTAAGTGATCTCACACTTATTCCCCACCCACTATGCTTTTGCTCATAAACATACATTCTACGCATGCGCTTTCCCAAGCCACCCCCCTTTTTTGCTTTAATACTTTACATCCCATTTGCCCTTATTAGAACTGACTCAAAGGCAGCTCATTGCTACAAACAATACCAGTATAACGCCAGCCCATCACATGCCAAATATTTTGTAATTATGACGCACTTTCCCGGAATGATTTGCATTGCACTTTTGGGGGGAAGGTGGGAGGGAGAACTACCCAGGACTCCTAAAATTAGCCCCGTAGGTTTCTGGCAACCGACTCTCCTCATCCCCGTTTTTAAAAAAATATAGTACCAAGTTTGCTTCTTTGTGCTTCATACACGGGTGCATTTTTACTATACAGTATTAAGTATGTGCGTCAGCTGAGGCTCCCGCTTATACGGTTCCCCACCCATTTAAAACGCGCGTCTCCCGACCGCCACGACACGGCTTTTGCCCGCTTCTTTGTGAGGACCTCCATTACAGCACAATAAAAATGAATTTATGGGGGGGAGGGGCTGGTCTCGGTTTATTCCTTTTTACCTCATCGGCGCAGAAAGCGCCGCGCTCGCCCTTCAGGCGCGCCTCCCGCCACGAAGCCACCCCATCTCCCCTCTGGCCAGGGCTGCGCAGGAAGACCCTCGCCGAGCCCCCCCGCCCCCCCCACGTCGCCGGGCAGCGCCTCGCCACAATGGAGGCCGGTGACGCCACACACCGGAGGCGCCGCCACGTCGCTCGAAAGGCGGCCTTCTTTCCCAACCACTCTCTCCGCCGTCTTACCAATGTGCTACGACCGATTCAACTAGGAAAAACGAATCCCGACCGTCGCTTCCGTTGACAAAACTCTCTCCAACCTCTCCTTTCGTCAATGACAGCGCCGAATATGTCCGCTTCGCTTCCGCCCTCTGGTATTTATAGACCTCTGTGACTTATCGCTCCTCCTTCTGAGCGGAGTTCTAGTCTCCTTCCGCTAAAAAAAATAGTCCGGCGATAAACGGTAATGAGAGCCACTTCTCCCTTCCCGGTATGTCCCCCGCTATTTGAAAGGAAGGAAAAATGAAAACGGAGAAAGACGTTGTGGTCTCCTTGTTACGACACGCGATAAAACGAGTTGTGCGAGCTGCGGAGGGATATACAAGAGCAGGTGAAGAGACTCTGCGCAATTTCGACCGGCCGTTGAAGAGAGGCGGGATTAAATCGGAGGCTCGGTGGCGATTGGTGCAAAGGGAGGAACCATGCGATCGCTGATTGGCTCTCGGGTAGGAAAGCTCTGGAAGGATCTGGAGAAAGGAAGGGAGGTGTTTTTCCTCCGTGTGTTTCTAATGAGTAAGTCTTCGCTGATTGGTGCAGGGTGAGGTCACCCTCGTTGCTAAGGCCCCTCCGCCTCAGCGGAGCAGATTTCGAGAAGTGGGGTGGGAGGAAAGTGAATGCGGGCTGTTGTGCGCATGCGGGAGAGGAAGGGGGGGGACGGCGAACGGAGGCTGGTGGGGGATGGGCATCTTCGTGGGTGGGGGAGGGGTCTCCTGAGGGGAAATTAATATTAAAACTGAAAAATCAAGATGATAAAACCAAAATACATATAAAGCACATAAAATACATATAAAACAATAGAGAAGAGAGAATGCTTTCATTCTCTCACAAATGGGGCCTCTCCTCTTTGAGGGAAAATTTGGCTCCCCCTCAGAAACCTTCACCATTTTAAAAGAATTGGTTATGTAATTAACTGAGGCGTTTTTTTCCTGTTCTTCAGTCCCAGAAGGAGAGGTGCCAATTATAACCTCGCTATGTTTGAAAATCTATTTGTTTCTTGTCATACAATTTTTTTTTTTTAAATTTCATATTTTCCCATTATGAGATAGTCTCCAAGCAGAATATTTGAGGGGGGAAAATAAATTAAAAACACTGCATGCATTATCATTGGTGAACAAAACTGGAAGGAACGGGGAAGCAGGGTCAAAAAAGGAAAATAAAAAAGCCCAGGGGGAAAAAAAGAATTGCCACTAACCAGCAAGTCAGATCTGTTGAACAAAATACTTGAATAGTATCACCAAAATATGCCCCGTAAGTCAAGCTTTGTAAAATGGAGCCACTCGTGCCCAGCAGAACTTCTCCCCTCATACATTTTAAAAGTGGGGGGTACATATTTCCATACTGAGTTATCCCCCAAAGTCTTCATAGAAAATGTTAAAAGGATAACCCATATTTATGTATTAAGCTATTTATCGTGTTGACCCATCTAGCCACATATGAGGTGCTTGTTCCTGGGAGACAATTCTGTTTGTCTCCTTGCTGCAAACCGTTCCATGTTTTTGTCACTGGAGTTGCTGGCATCAAAACAATAGTTGTGCAAAGTTGTCTTACTTATTATTACTATTATTATTAATTTATATCCTGCCCATCTGGCTGGGTTTCCCAGTCTTTACATAGGGAGTCTCCAGCAGTTGGTCTCAGAGTAGACCCATTGAAATCAATGGAGTGAATTTAGCCATGTCCGTCAATTTCAGTGGGTCTACTCTAAATATTGCTTACTTGGGTTCAACGCACCCCCCAAGTTATTATGTAGCGATCAAAACTGTGCTCAGCATTTGAAACTCAAGCTGGTGTTTTCTGTTTTTGGCTTTCGACAGGAAACAATGTTCCAGTCCCTGAAGCCGTTTCCTCTTCTGAGCTCACCTGAAATTAATACTTTGTTCTGCCAGATGGGAATCTCGCTGAGTACCTTGAAATGGGGTCACACAACCAGTTTCTCTCTTCTTCCACTGCCTAGGATTAGTAAGCAAGAGGCACCCTGAATTTTGCAACTTAATAGCATATGCATGTTATTTCCTATAGCACTTCCTGTAAAAAAAAAAGAAGAAGAAAAGAGGTATCCAGGAGAAAACAGAGTGGATACATATTTTAAGAGGATTGGATACAAAATAAGTTTGAAATGGCTGGCTTGTTGTGTTCATTATTTATTTGCTTTTAAAGCCTTTACAAAAAACCGACTTTCCTTGTACAAACCTACAGTTTAGCGGCTGACCTCAGATTAATAAAATGCAATAAAGAAACAAAGAAAAAGAAAAGCAATAGTAAAATGTTGTGAATACAGTGAGGGGGGGAAAGTATTTGATCCCCTGCTAAATTTGCCTGTTTGCCCTCTGATGAAGAAATGACCAGTCCATAATTTTAATGGTAGGTTTATTGTAGCTGTGAGAGACAGAATAACAACAGGAACCCCCCCCCCAGAAACCCAGAAGACAAAAGTTAAAGATTGATGTGCATTAGAATGAATGAAATAAATATTTGATCCCCTATCAACCAGCTAGATGTCAGGCTACCTGGTATTTTCACTGTATGTAATGAGCTGAGATTAGAAGCACCTGATGCAAGGAAAAGGTTTTACCTGTCATCCCAGTTTGTTACCTGTACAAAAGACACCTGTTGACAAAAGCAATCAATCCAGAAAAACAGAATGAATTTGCTGCAGCCCCTTCACAATTTCTGGGTTGCCCACAGTTTTTTAAAAAAAACCCACAATTTGCTTAAAATGTCTTGGTGAGTTAAAAAAAATTCACTTGCCCCCTCAAAAAGGGAATCAATAAAAATATATTCTTCAGCTTTTTATGAGCTCATTGAATCAGACAGATCTATGCTACTTGCATTGCTTCTTTGTCAAAGCATACTTCTGTGTAACATTGAGAGTCTCACAGATGTCAAGGATCTAATACATATTCCATTCTCTTTGAAGACCAAAGCAATGTGCAAATGGGGATAAATAAGCTTTTTCTTAATGCCTTGGAAATCTGTTTCCCACCCATCTAAAACAATTGCTGGACATCCAAGAAGAGGAAGAGTTCTGTGTTGCTCAGAAGCTTTCAGAATGCATTGCAAAACTGGTGGGGTGATGGTACTAATAAACACTATACTTTATTGACCAGATGTCCCCAGTTCCACAAATCTGTCCCCAGACAAATTCGTCCCCAGAAATGTCCCCAGATTTGCAACGCATCATATGGCGACTTCCAGAGAGGGAAAATGGTGGGCATCACGGCAGCAAGCAGCTCCTGAAGCCAGCCAGAGTCAACTGCGCTACCAGGCTGGCTCCGGGCTGCTGAGACTGTCGCTGCCACCGCCACCACCGAAGGGGAACCGGGGACGTCCGGCGGTACAGATCTCCTGCCCCCTCCCCCCTTTGGTTTGACTGATCGGGGGAGGCTCGGGAGTTGTGGGCGGCTGGCCATTGCCCAGTTTTTTTAAAACTCTGTGCATTTATGTTTCACAGGGTGTGAAATAAAATAATAATAATATTTATACCCCGCCCTCCCCAGCCAGGAACGGGCTCAGGGCAGCTAACACCAAATATAATTTACAGTGGTACCTCGGGTTACATATGCTTCAGGTTACATACGCTTCAGGTTACAGACTCCCCTAACCCAGAAATAGTGCTTCAGGTTAAGAACTTTGCTTCAGGATGAGAACAGAAATCATGCAGCAGCGGCGCAGCGGCAGCAGGAGGCCCCATTAGCTAAAGTGGTGCTTCAGGTTAAGAACAGTTTCAAGTTAAGAACGGACCTCCAGAACGAATTAAGTTCTTAACTTGAGGTACCACTGTACAATAAAACATAATCGGAAAAACAAACAGACAACAACAACAACAACAACAACAACAACAAACAAACAGTTAATTAAAATGCGGCTTAAGAAGGGCTTTGCACCTTGACTGGCAGAAAAACCGCACCCCTTGTGCCCGTCCTGGGCAATGGCCACCCGCCCGTGACTCCTGAGCCTCTCCCAATCTATCAAAACAAAGGGGGAAGGGGGCAGAAGATCAGGGAAGGCTCGGGAGTCACGGGTGGGCAGCGCGCTGTTGCCCAGTTTTTAAAAAAACTCTGTGCATTTATGTTTCACAGGGTGCAAAAGAAGGGCTTTGCACCTTTATACAATATGCATGTGCGCTTGGGCCCAGGGTCTTTTGCCTCACCATCCCCACTACTGACTCCCTGTTGCTACTCTACTTCCAAAAAAAAAAAAGTGTCCCCAGATTCATTGAAAAAAATCTGGTACCCATATGTTAATCTTGAGTCAGTTTGTGTTCCACAACATGTTTACGGGCATAGCTTGTGCCATATCATGGGGTAACTCCAGAATGTAGACCATTGACCCTGGAAAGCCTTTGAAACACGTTTCCTTTTAAATGCTATCCTGAGAATTCTGGGTGACTCTGTGCTTAACGAGTACCAGCTGATGGCAACATATCGATCGTTGCTGGGCTGGCAAAAACCACAAATAAATCCAGATCTTGTGACCTCCTTGATCCTTTCAGTGCATTTGGATTTCCCAGAAAAACTGAGGCCAGGCAAGAACTAGGTCACCAGGCAACATTATGAAAGCATCTATTATTTGGAAAGAGGGCTGTGTGTGTTTGCATAGATTTGTACACAAGTCACAAGGTGTATGATCAGGGTGCATGCAGAATCACCCACTGCTGATTTAGGAGAGTTTACACACACACACACACACACACACACACACACACACACACACACTATGTTGTGCTGTTGTTTTCCTAAGAAAAGGAATTAAAAGAGTGCTCAGGAAACAACCTGATTTCATTGTTTACTGTTCAGACAAACAAAGCTAGATTGAGGTGGCAGGGGGAGGAGTGTTTCAGGGATGCTTCTCAGCATAATCTGCCTGGTTTGTGTCTCTTGACTTCAAACAGGACAGATAACATTTGAACTGACATCACATGCATCATCCATGATAACCCAACTTGTATGGATCACAGAAATGCTCGTGTTCCCTTCAGCACAAATGACAACATCCTTGCTTTAGGTTATGTTGTTGTCTTCCTGATGACAGTTTTGCTCTCCTTGCAAAAAAAAATCTGTTACTTTTAAATGGTTTGTATCCAGTGTTAGTTAGCCATAGTCAGAGTAGACCCATTGAAATTAATTGACCTATTTCTGTGGGTCTCCTCTGAGTATGCCTAATGTTGGATACAACCCAATATTTTTGTCAATCTTCACCCAGGTTTGTATAAACTCTGCAAGGGTGGGTTAATTTCTAGAAGTGACTGGTAAATATTAACATTTTGCTAACATCACCATTTTTTATCCAGGCCCCTGGGCATAGCTCACAGGGCTGTGCATTTGTTTTCTAAGCAGCTGAAAGCTGAGTTCAGATGACCTAACAGCTTGGAAATGCTGCCTGCGAGACGAACTCTTTAACATGCTCAGACAAGTCCATCTGGGGCAGGTGTGAGTTACTGGCCCAAATGTCTGCTTCGTCAAATCAGAATTCCAGTGGTGAGCTATTTCCAGCAGAACACACATAGAGAGATTTCAGAGGGACTGAACAGAGCAGCTGACATCTGAAAATGAAATGATTTGTTGTTAAAGTGATTTGACTCCAAGCAGAAATTTGATTTGAACACTACAGGACGCTTCCATGAGATAAAAATGAGACTTGTGGCTTTGACCAACATATTGGGGGGCGGAGGGGGAATTTGACAATTATCTTGTTACACCGTGGTCTCCATAGGGCATGCTGAAGAGTTCTGTGAAGCCAAGAAGCTTGGATAGATGAGCCTTAGCCACCATCAATCCAACTGTTATAGGAATCCTAAGGTTATATATATATATAGTGCATAAATGTACAAGTATATAAACCACGTGTCTGAAATAGTACAGGAGAGCAATCCTGAAGCCATTTTGACTCTCCAGTGACCTCAAATATTCTTCTGCAGTGAGGAAGGAAATGAGAAAGTCTCCCCATTGTCTCTTTGCTCACAAATCCTGTTTTCAGGGCATATTTGTGTATGAATAGGGTGAGCCGGTGACCTGGATTCAGGAACTAAGTATTTAGCATCTCAAAGGGAATGGCCAGGCTGCCCAGGTGGAGTAATCAGTGACCATTGTCAGGTCTCCTGACAGACAGGATTTCTGTTGGAAACTGCCCCCTGTGATGTATTTCTGTTGGAGACCGCCTTCTTCTGTGATGTATGTATGATGTTTTGGAGTTACGGGGCATCTGGTTGACCACCCTGAAAACAAGATGTTGGAATAACTAGGCCTGCTTTGGACTGATCCAGCAGCCAAGCACTTCTCTGCTTCTGCTTTTCTTTAATTACCGGTATATGTTAAATTTATATACCACATTTTCCTCCAAGGAGCTCATGGCTTTGTGTGTGGTTCTTCCTGTCTCCAGTTTACTCTCACGCCAACAAGGTAAATTAGGCTGTAAAAGACAGTGGCTGGCCCAAGGTCACCCAGTGAGAGCTTAATGGCTGAGCAGGGATTTGAACCCTCGTCTCCAAGGTCATAGTCCAAGCACCGACAATTTTTGACTTGAGTAGTCATCATAAATCTAAGCAGGAAGTTGAACAGACCAGAGACCGTGCCTCCTCCCATCCTGCTTTCCTTCCTTCAGCAACCAGAATCTAATCGGATCAGGGCCCAGTATCCTCTACTGGGAACGGCTCCCTGTCAAAATGCAACAGAGAGTTACACAAGATTGCAGAGGGATCTTTTGCACAACCCCCCACAAGCGAGAGAGGCCTTTCGTGCTGCCTGAATGCCTATTTGGTATCGTTGCCCAGCCTGAATCACAAAACGGGCTGCTCTCCCAGAAACCTCGCTCTGCTGAGTCACTGCCACGCAAGCATGCCTGATTAAGATAGCGCCAGGCAGTGGGCAGGGGAGAACGGTACTTTTGTACCGAAGCACAGCTTATCCTTGGAAGTGAACTTTGAACAACACAAGATAACTGGAGAATGTTCCACAGCTTCTAGACTGTTCTTTCTTTTTGCCCTTTAATCCCCCCCCCCTTCCCCCTTCTTCAACTAATCAGAATATTATTCTATAGCCTCTGCCAACCTGGTGCCCCCCAGATGCCCCAGCCCAACTTCCATCAGCCGCAACCTAGAGATCCGTAGCAACTGGAAGCAGCTGGAATAAGAGGCCAAATATTATTTTTTTAATGATATTTATTAAAATTTCAAAAACAAAAAATTACATAGTTAAAGAGAAAAGAAACAAGGGAAAAAAGAAAAAGAAAAAGAAAAAGAAAAAACATACAAAATACAAAGTACAGAAAAAACAAAGATAAAAAACACTTAAAAACAAATCAGTCCTTCCGTATCTTACATTTCATTTCCTTACTTCCCTGACCTCCTCTCACCTCCCTTTTTTGTATTCCAGTTCAATTGGTTAATTCAGCAATTCCTTTCCCTCTTTGTTTTTGTCTTAGTCCTTTAAATTAATATAACTTTAGATTCTCACTTATTAGCAATCCATTTTTACATACACCTTTAAGACATTGCCGCTAAAACCACTTAACTTCATTCTGACATCATTCTAACATTCATTAATTTTGCAATATTTCTGTAAATAGTCTTTAAATTTCTTCCAATCTTCTTCAACTAATCAGAATATTATTCTATAGCCTCTGCCAACCTGGTGCCCCCCAGATGCCCCAGCCCAACTTCCATCAGCCGCAACCTGGAGATCTGTAGCAACTGGAAGCAGCTGGAATAAGAGGCCAAATAGAAGACACATTGTTAGGGTTAACTGCATGAATTAGCTAGGCATACAGCCCGTCAGCCCTATAAACTATATGTGCTCTCTGCTCAAAAATATCATGGAGCCTGAACTCTGCTGCATTTAAATGTCCTTCCATCAGCTGTTCTGGAGGGTTAGCCCAACCCCCCCACTGTCAACATTAAAGTCCCAGTGAATTTGAAGGTAGAACTGATAACAGATGTTCATACGTATTGCTCTGTTTAATGTGATATATACAATGGGGGGAGAGTTTTTTTTAATGTCATTTTATAATGTATAACAGAGAGAACAGCTATAAAAACATATGGAAATTCAAAGATAAAAACCGAAACTATAAAAAAGGCTCGAAAAATAAGTACAGTTATACGTGATTTAACAAAATTCAAAAGAAAAAAGTGAGCACAAATGCTGTCTTCGCATAAAGAATATTGGCAATATCTGAGGTATGCACCAGGAGTCAATGGGAAGCTATGTCTTGGCTGGCCTGAATGGCAATGAATCATGCTTCACATGGTTGAAAAACACGAGGTTGTCCACTAATATCATCAACCTTTGGGCTTTCCAGAGGAAGATTACCACTGTGGAGAGCAAAGTGCTGAGCTATTTATTAATCCAGGGCTCATTCTCTGATATTCTTTTTCTGGGACACCAAAGTTCAGTGTTTCTGCTCTGAGGTCTTCCTGTGTGAAACTGATGGGGGGGAAACAGGAATGTTTTAACATGAAACAAACCCTGTTGAGTTAAATGGGAAATAATTAAACCCCTTTCTTTGGTTTTAAACTGAATTTAACATTGTCTTTTTAAATTGCCATAACCTGCCTTGGGAACTTGGGCAAAGAGAATAATAATAATAATAATAATAATAATAATATCCTCATGTCTACTAGTCACATATGTATTGACAGCTATGTATTCCCCTTAAGTAAATCCTGTAATGGATAAATACCCTATAGTCTGCCTTTGGGTGTCCAGTAAAGGCAGCAAGAAAGGTCACAAGAAATAGATGAGGGAGAAGACAGAAGTATTGAGTTTTTAAATGAGGACTAGAATCTTGACACTGAAAAGTCATAATGGCAGGCACAGAATTACGATACTGAGGAAGAAAGAAATGAAGGGCTGGCTGGTGAACATGTTATCTCCAGTGACCTTTCCTTCCAATACTTGACAGGAAGGCAAACCAAACGAGTTTGACCAGCTGCAGCAGCTTAGTGGAGTGTTTCAGGCCTGCATCTCTCCTGAGCAGCTCTGGGTGTGAACTGGGGTTTGTGAATACACACAGAAGGCTTTCGGTTACAGGAAAAAATGAGTCAATGTGGAATTTAACTCTTGGGATGCATTCAGAATCAGAAAACCAGAAAGCACTTATTTCTGGCCCCCTTTCCACCTGCTAGGAAACCAAATCTGGGCTTGTGATTTCAAGACGCTTTGTATTTATTTATAATTTTAGAAGCAATTATTAGCAACTGAACAATCAGTGTGGTTCTATGGCCCTCTGGCAATGTACCCCTCAGGCCTTGTGTCAGCAGACTTCCAAGCAGCTCTGAGGATGTTTTCCTACATTAAGGTTATAAGAACTTGGCTGCTGGATCAGACCTGCTGGATCAGGCCAACGGATCATCAAGTCTGATCCAGTGGGCTCTTCTTATGTTCTGTTATGAGAATTATAATGTCAAAGATATGAATTAATTGTTCATAAATGTACCAAGCAAACACATACATAAGTATATAAACCACGTGTCTGAAATAGAACAGGAGAACAATCCTGAAGCCATTTTTACTCTCCAAATAGACCTCAAATATTTCTCAGCAAGGAGGAAGGAAATGGGAAAACCTCCCATTGTCTCTGTGCTCACAAATCCTGTCTTAAGGGCATATCTGTGTATGAATCGGGTGAGCCTGTGACCTGGGTTCAGGAACTGAGTATTTACCATCACAAAAGAATGACCAGACTGCCTAGGTAAATGCAATCAGCGACCATTATCAGGTATCTGGCAGACAGGATTTCTGCTGTAGACCACCCCTTCAGTGATATATGTATGATGTTTTGGAGGGTGGTCTTGAGCTACAGGGTGGCAACTTCAAAAGTCTATATAAGGGCTTTCACCATTGTTCAGGGTTCCTCCTCCCTCCTGCGTGTGGTGAGTGAGGACCCTGTTGCAACAGATCAATAAAGATCAGGCTTACTAGCTGCTTTGCTTCTCAATATTCTCTGGTAGGCCTCTGTTATTTTCTCCTACCGATAGGGAACCTACGTAAGGACTCTGTACGGGCTCTTGGATACCCCATAAGGGAAAAAGAGCAGTCCCCCCCCTCCTTATAACAGTTCTTAAGTGCAAAGTTGGCACCTCTGCTTCATCTGGAGGGCTGGAAATGCCCTCATTCAGCAGACGACATGCTCAGAGGCACACTTGCCTTTTTCACCGCTTGTCCCACACAAAACCGGTTCAAGGCTCGACGGAGCCCTACGCAAAAGCTCCTTTCAAATGACTTGCCAGGAACTTAACAATTATCAGCTTTGGGGTTCACAAGCTCCGGTTCCCATGATCAGCGGTGATCTCATCACCACCATTAAATGAGACACAGAATTGGCACCCACTAAGGGTGAGGACTTGCTTAAAGTAGGCATGGATTATTCGCTGTTTACTGCTGAGTCACCTCTGCATGCCTTGGCGTGAGGCTTCATTTATTTGTTTCCGGATTCATTGTAATTATATTCCGCATCTCCTCCATGGAGCTCAAGGCAGCAAGCAGGCACCTCCCCCTTTCCCTTTTATCCTCCCAGAAACCCTGCAAAGAAGGTCAAGGGTGAGAGATAGGGACTGGTACCCTGATGGGCTTCATGGCTGAGTGGGGATTTGAACCCGAATCTCCTCCATGTTCCAGCCTGAAACGCAAACCACTTATACCACACTGACTCTTCTTTCCCCCATAATCTTTTTTATTTGATTTTCAGAAATATAAACATACAACATAAAATAATACAAAATCCAAATATCGAGATTACTCTGAATCTCCTGACTTCCCCCCGCATCCCTTCCTTTTAATTCTGTTTTCAGCTGCATATCAGTACTTCTCCAATTTTTCCATCTTCCTAAATTATCTATAGAGGACGCGGGTGGCGCTGTGGGTTAAACCACAGAGCCTAGGACTTGACGATCGGAATGGTCGGCGGTTCAAATCCCTGCAACGGGGTGAGCTCCAATTGCTCGGTCCCTGCTCCTGCCAACCTAGCAGTTTGAAAGCACGCAGAGTAGATAAATAGGTACTGCTCCGGCAGGAAGGTAAATGGCGTTTCCGTGCGCTGCTCTGGTTTGCCAGGAGCGGCTGAGTCCTGCTGGCCACATGACCTGGAAGCTGTACACTGGCTCCCTCGGCCAATAAAGCGAGATGAGCGCCGCAACCCCAGAGTCGGCCACGACGGGACCTAATGGTCAGGGGTCCCTTTACCTTTACTTTTTAAAATATATTTTAAAATTTCCATTTTATCATGTATATTAAAAAGGGAGCAGATGAAAGTAAAAAAATGGAAAAACAGATCTGCGAAACAGGCACAAAGAATGAGCGCAGTTGCCCATGGATTAAAATAACAGAGCACAAGCACAGTAGAACATCAGCGTTATCCGAGTATAAAGTTTAGTTCCAGATTTAAAACTTTTGCCAGGAAGATGACGGTTCTGCTGTACATGTAAGAAAATAAGATCATATAAGAGGTGTCTGGAGGTTCTAATCCCTGTGCAAGAAGCGTCGACAGCTGGTGCTCGCATCAAAGGTATAGTTATTATTACAGGTCGATCCGCGTCTCAAGGCCTTTTGCGCTTTTTTGCTCCAGCCTTGGCATTTTGGAAAGGGCATCTCCGAAGGAGCCCCCACTTTTCCCCCTCCCCATAGTTCCTCCTCCACGTGGCTCCTCACCGGAGGCGCTGGCACAGCTCTGGAGCGCCCCCGGGCGGCCGAGGCGGCGAGCGCAAGAGGGGCGGCGCGGCGAGGAAAGGAGCTATGGGGAAGGCGAAGAGGACCCCGGCGGCTGCCGCGACGCGCAAAGGCCCCCAGTCCGGCGGCAGGAAAGCTCCCGCGCCGCCTCCTCCGGCCCCGATCCCCTCTTCCCCAAGGGATCGCGCCTCCTCCAAAGGCAAGGCGGCCCCGCCGGGCAAGGCGACCCCCGCCGCCCCCGCCGCCGCCCCGGAGGAGCTGTGCGCCCTGGCGCTGGGGGCGCAGAAGGAGCGCTGGCTGCAGTTCCAGAAGCGCCAGCGGGTGAGCTGCGAGGAGGCGGCCAGGCTTTTGCTGGACACCTTGTGAGTAAGGAGGAGGAGGCGAGGATGGAGGGGAGGGGGGCCCGATCCGGGACACGCCCCCGCCCACCTGTGCAACCTGCTTTCCCCTTTTGCTCCCGTGCATCGAAAGCTCCAATCGCCACCGCCGCCGTCCTTTTGGGGGAAGCGCCTTGTTTTTGCACCTGCTGGAGCGCCCAACCTTTTTTGGGGGGGGGGGGGCGTCTTCCTGCAAATGCAAGGTAGATGCCCCACCCTTCCAAACGAAGCCCCTCGCCCTTATAGAATCGTAGAGTTGGAAGAAGAGTGCTTTATTTTTCAGGATTTTATTTTTTTTAATGTAGGAGTGGGGATTCCCTGCTCGTCTAAGGCTGCTGCCCTAACACCACTTACCCGGGAGTAAGTCCAATGGAAGCTTAAGAAGCTGTCTTCCTAGAACATGGGTAGGCAAACTAAGGCCCGGGGGCCGGATCTGGCCCAATCACCTTCTCAATCCGGCCCACGGACGGTCCGGGAATCAGCGTGTTTTTACATGAGTAGAATGTGCCCTTTTATTTAAAATGCATCTCTGGGTTATTTGTGGGGCCTGTCTGGTTTTTTACACGAGTAGAATGTGTCCATCTGAATGTGGGGCATAGGAATTCATTCATCCCCCCCTCAAAATATAGTCTGGCCCCCCACAAGGTCTGAGGGACAGTGGACTGACCCCCTGCTGAAAAAGCTTGCTGACCCCTGTCCTAGAACCACGGAGTCCATACGGGAATTGAACCTGCAACCTTGGAGCTAAACCAACTGAGCTCTCCAGGCATACTTCTGCTGAATCAGCCCATTGATTGGCATTGTCTAAATTGATTGGCAGGTGCTGTCCAGGATTTCAGGCAGGACTTGCCTGGCAATTTTGCCAGTTTTGCCTGGCAATTGTAGGAACTCAACCTGGGACCTGACTCAGACCAAGGTGGCTTCTTGTGTTCCTGCTTCAACCGTTTATTCGGAACCATGAGGACTAGGATCTTACTTTGCTTTTATGGGAAGGGCCACAACTCTATGACAGAGCGCAAGGTTTGCATGCAGAAGGCCCCATATTCAACCCCAGGCAGCTCCTAATAGCGCTGGAAAGATGGACCAGGCCTGAGTTGGTATAAAGGAAGCTTTTTATGTTCTTAACAAGTTTGCTATCAGCCAATAGATGTGGAAGGCCTGACTTCAAATCCCTGTTCCATCAAGAAGCTCACCGGATGGCAGTGGCTCTGGAAATGTTGCTTATTGTTGGATTTATTTTCCACCTTTCCCTGCAAGGTGGTGTACATGGTTCTCCTTTTCTTCCTTTAATTCCCACAACACCCTGAGAGTTGGGTTAGGCTGAGAGGCAGTGTGACTGGCCCAAGGTCACGCCCAGTGAGCTTCATAGCCAAGTGGGGATTTGAACCCAGGTCTTTCCCGGGTCCTAGCATGACACTCTAACCATTACACCACCACCGGCTCTCTTTTCCTCCCCAGTGATAGATACAAAGTTCATGTTCTGCAATTTCACTGCTTCCAGAAATGGTAAATATCGTATTTTTCGCTCTATAAGACGCACCCGACCATAAGACGCACCTAGTTTTAGAGGAGGAGAACAGGGGAAAAAAATTCTCTCCCTCTCTGCTCAGCGCCTCTCTAGCAAAGCGGGAGGAGAAACGGAAGGGGCTCCGTTTCTCCTCCCGCTTCGCTGAAGGGGCTCTGCGCAGAGAGGGAAGGCTGCGCAGCGCCTCTCCAGCGAAGCAAAGCCAGGAGAGCAAGAGGGATCGGTGCGCACCGATCCCTCTTGCTCTCCTGGCTTCAACGAAAGCTGCGCAGCCTGCATTCACTGCATAAGACGCACACACATTTCCCCTTACTTTTTGGGAGGGGAAAAGTGCGTCTTATAGAGTGAAAAATACGGTAATTGGCCAGCAAGGCAAAGGTGCATTGATTCAGACCTCGAAGGACCAATAACAAACCTCTGTTCTTTCCCCTCTCTCTCCCTCTAGCGAGTACCAAGGGCTGGTGAAGCACACAGGGGGCTGCCACTGTGGGGCTGTACGCTTTGAGGTCTGGGCATCGGCCGACCTCCACGTCTTTGATTGCAAGTGAGTGTCATCCACGATCCCTCTCCACCGACCCTTTCCACTCTGAGGGGGGTTTACGGAAAGCGTTCAGAAAGCACACCAACACACAGCGAGTTCATGGGCATAGCAGCATGGTCAAACGCAAGAGCTGCTCTTTCAGAGAACTGTTCCTGGAATGTGTCGCTTCTGCCCACAGTCCCAATCTCATGCACTCACACGTCCAGAGTTTGTTTGGTTTCCCAGACATTTATACCTTGTGAAACAAATACCCCCCGGAGCGTGTTGAACCTCGTGCCCACGGGGAACTGATGCTCAAGAATTATGGTAGCGATCCTTCCCAAGCGTTTTTCAAAAATCTGTTTCACTAAAACAGAAAAAGAATGTAGAACTTGCAAAGTAGTAGCATAAATGGGTGCAAAAACCAAATTAAAAACAGGAGCTCAGGGAATTCAGAGAGATTAAAGCAGGATTCAATCTCAGGGAGTCAAAGTAATCCTGGCCAAAAAGGTAAGTTTGCAGAAAGCATCTGCAGCAGCTGATGGTTGTTGCATCATATATGGCAGCAGGAAGGGCATCCCATAATATTGAGGGCAACTGCAGAAAATGCCCCTTTTTGGGTCACTGGCCTATGATATTCTGTAGGGTGCAGTGCTGCAAATAGAATTTCTTCAGATGATCCTTTTTTGCTCTGCAGGCCAGGTCCTTATCAGGATCTACTTCTTGGGCCAAATTTGAGAGTTGGGTTGCCCACCTGTCCAAATTCCTTTTGCTTTGCAAGTCTCCCCATGCTCCCCCTTTAAGCCCCTGATCTTGAAGGCTTAAAAGGGAGCTCTGGGAGACTCACAAAGTGCTGTGAAAGTATCTCCCTCCTTTAGGCCCCCAGTCTCAGAGGCTTCAAAGGGAAGTGTGGGGAGACTTGGAAAAGGCTTTGCAAGTTTCCTCCCAAGGTTTGGGACAAAGAGGTAGGGAGGGAGACTTGCAAAGCCCTTTTTAAGTCTCTCTGTGCTCCGGTTCAAGCCTCTGGAAGCTCAAATAGGAGCACGTGAACTGTTTTAAGTGCTTTGCAAAAGCACCTTTGTGCACAACATACTTTAAAGGGCCTCTTTGCAAAGGGCTGTAAATCCCTGCTCAGCTGATGAGGGAATTAAATCCTGCTGTCTCGACAGTGTGATCTTGTTCCTTACTGGGACGTAAATCTAATGCAGAATTAAACCCTGCCCTCCCACTCGTCAGCTGACCCCTCCTGTACGGTCAGCAGAGGAGTGGGTGGGCGTGGCTTGATCCTGCAGGACTATTCGGGCGTGGGGGGCAGGTGGCCTTTCAGGTAACTTAGTCCTGACTTCTTTAATCTTTCTCTCCTGCCTTTTCCAGTTGCAGCATCTGTGTGAAGAAGCAAAACAAGCACTTCATCGTTCCTGCCTCGCACTTCAAGTTGCTGAAGGTAGGTTTGACAAGTTGGGGAGGGTGCGCCCGACAGCCACACAACATCCCCAGACTGCAAACACAGGCCTGGATTCACCCTTTCTCCTTATTCTGCCCATCTCCTTTCCCAATTGCAATGGTGATCATACCCTTGCTTTTTCCAGGCAGGACTTGACTTTGCCCTTTGGCCTCTCTGGCTGCAAAACAACTTGCACAGAAACTTGGCTGCCAATCTAGATAAAAGTTGACGCCTGGGCTCTTGCCTTTGGCAATGAAGGCAGCAAGCAGCTGCTGTTCCAGGCCTGGGGGAGCCTCTGGCTGCCCCCCAGATGTCCCAAGGCCCCAGCTCCCAGTGGAATGACGGGAGTTGGCAGCCCAGCAATATCTGAAGGACTGCTGGACTATTCTCAAAGCCAGAGTCTCTCCCTCCACCTGCAATGATGGGATCCTTTCTTTTATTTTATGATATCTCTGGCACTGCTTCCATTTGCAGAAATCTCAAAGGGGTTTTCAAGGGAACAAACACATATTAAAAGAGTTTAAATGAAGAGAAACGGAACGAAGGAAAACAAAAAGGCAAGAGTCAAGAGGAGGGGCTGGTCAGATCAGGTGCTGAAGAGGCTGGAGGAGTTGCCAGCTGATGACCCCAGAGAGCGACCCAGTGGGTGAAGGGGGGGGTTGAGGGCAGTCCAGAGCATGGGAGGAGCCACCCCAAAGCATGCCCTGCTTTCCTATAGCCACCAGGTGACGATCAGTAGGTCGCAGCTTCTATCAGCAAGCTCTCCTTCTGATGATCAGGTAAGCTGGTCCTGAGTCGTTCAGGAAATTGTATGCTAATGCATAAGGAGAGACCTGATGGACTCTGCTAGTCCAGCACAATCGTGGAGTTGGAAGGGACCCTGAGAGTCCACCCCTCTGCAATGCAGGACTCTCAGCTAAACTGACTGGGAGCGGCCGCCGGGACCACATAACACTGGTCCTGAGAGATCTGCATTGGCTCCCAGTACGTTTCCAAGCACAATTCAAAGTGTTGGTGCTGACCTTTAAAGCCCTAAACAGTCCAGTATACCTGAAGGAACATCTCCACCCCCATCGTTCTGCCCAGACACTGAGGTCCAGTGCCAAGGGCCTTCTGGTGGTTCCCTCATTGCGAGAAGTGAGGTTACAGGAACCAGACAGAGGGCCTTCTTGGTGGTGGCGCCCGCCCTGTGGAACGCCCTCCCATCAGATGTCAAGGAAATAAGCATCTATCTTATTTTTAAAAGACACCTGAAGGCCCTGTTTAGGGAAGTTTTTAATATTTAATGCTGTATTGTTTTTAACACTCGATTGGGAGCCGCCCAGAGTGGCTGGGGAAACTCAGCCAGATGGGCAGGGTATAAATAATAAATTATTATTATTATAAAGCATCCCTGGCAGAGAGCCATCTAACCTCTGCTCCAAAACCTCCAAGGAAGGGGAGTCCAGCACCTCCCGGGGGAGTCCGTTCCACTATCGAACGGGTCTTCCTGGCTGCTGAATTCTGCACCAGCTGTGGCTCCCTTGGCCAGCCTCAAGGGCAGGCTCACAAAGAGTGCGCTGCAGGGACCCGACCTTACAAGCTGGTTTGTGGAGCGCACTGCGCTCATTGGCGCAAAGCACCTTGTCTAGAAAGGCTTAAGTGTCATGCTGTTGTCGTCCTTTTCGCCAAGGGTGCAGACAGCCTCGCCACTTACACCTTCAACACCCACTGTGCCCAGCACACCTTCTGCAAGACATGCGGCGTCCAGAGCTTCTACACGCCCCGCTCCAACCCAGACGGCTACGGTAGGGAGTTGTCCACAGGGGGCCTGAGGCTTGAAGAGGGTGGCGGGGTGTGTGTGGCGGGAGTCTTCCTTGGTTTGCTGCTTTCTGTACAGCTTCCCCCTCCCGATGCAACTGATAGTGTTACATTGCAGCTTGGGGTTCCAGCTACCCTTTCCCAGTATACTCCATTCCAATTGCCCTCCTTCACTCCCAGACAAGTCAGCATTCTGTGGCTGCTGAAGACCCCCAGTCCCAATAAGGTGCTTTTAGGGGTGTTTCGAACCAGTGAGTTCTTTCCTTAAAGACTTCTGTACTCCTGCAAAACTTGAGGGCTCTCCCAAGCCTGACAGTATCTCCATCCTGCGTACGGATGGTGCCCTTTTGACTATGTAAGAAGCGGCGCTTGGAGAATTGAGCCTGCTGTCAGGTGGAGGACCTGTGGCCGTTGAAAGGTTGTTGTACTCCAACTCACATAATCTCTCTTGGTTGGCCATGATGGTTGTGGGCTGATGGGAGTCGGAGTCAGGGCCGGATTTAGGCCCTAAGCTACTGAAGGGATGCGGGTGGCGCTGTGGGTTAAACCACAGAGCCTAGGGCTTACCGATCAGAAGGTCGGCAGTTCGAATCCCTGCAACGTGGTGAGCTCCCGTTGCTCGGTCCCTGCTCCTGCCAACCTAGCAGTTCGAAAGCACGTCAAAGTGCAAGTAGATAAATAGGTACCGCTCCGGCGGGAAGGTAAACAGCATTTTCGGGAGCTGCTCTGGTTCGCCGTGCTGGCCACATGACCCGGAAGCTGTACGCCGGCTCCCTCGGCCAATAAAGCGAGATGAGCGCCGCAACCCCAGAGTCGGCCACGACTGGACCTAATGGTCAGGGGTCCCTTTACCTTTTACCTTTTAAGCTACTGAAGGTAATGTTACCCCTTTATATGTCCAGCTCTCCTTTGTCAACAACAAATTGTTGCTGCTTTTTGTGTTGAATATATGCTGTATGGTAATTTGTGGACCTAGGAGGTATCTAAAGCCATTTGCACATAACAAATAGGAGCCTAGACAACACAAAACACTGTTGCTGTATGTAGGCTTTATTTTATTTGTTTATTATCTTACATTTTGGAAATGTACATCCAGTTTTTTCCCCCTTTAAATTTTTTTGGGGGAGAGTGGGGCCCTAAGCTATAGCTTGTTTAGCTTATACGTAAATCCGGCCCGTAAATCGGAGTCTAGCAGCATCTGCAGAGCCACAGCTTCACCATACCTGGGACAAAAACACAAGAGTCCAGGGGACCTTCCCTAGGAGTCAGGGAGCCTTGCCTGATGAAGCTTCTCTCCCTCTCTCAGGAATAGCTCCGCACTGCCTGGACGAGGGGACAGTCAGCAGCGTCACCATAGAGGCGATCAACGGCAAGGAATGGGAGAAGGCTGTGAAAGGACACCCCACCATCAGGAGTATGTCCAAAGAGTGACCCAGCCCGTTCTGGAAGGGCAGAGGCCCCTGAGGCTGGTCATTCTCAGCACACACACCCCATAGCCCATCTGTCCTGGGTTGCTGAGAGATCGATCTCTGTTTCAAATACCTTTGGGAAATAAAACTTGTATTTTTGTAAAACAAACCACTCTCTGCTGCATACTCTCTGACCCGGAAGCTCAATGGAACAGAAGGGATCTTCAGGTTTGCTGCCGGCCAGTGTAGACAATACTGAGCTAAGCAAACTTAAATCCAAGGAAGCTTCCTACATTCTTTGGTGTGCCTTGTGGAAATACAGAGGAACCAGATGGTCTTGAAAGACCTACACTGGCTCCCAGTACGTTTCCGAGCACAATTCAAAGTGTTGGTGCTGACCTTTAAAGCCCTAAATGGCCTCGGTCCAGTAGACCTGAAGGAGCGTCTCCACCTCCATCGTTCTGCCCGGACACTGAGGTCCAGTGCCGAGGGCCTTCTGGCAGTTCCCTTGCTGCGAGAAGCCAAATTACAGGGAACCAGGCAGAGGGCCTTCTTGGTGGTGGCGCCCGCCCTGTGGAACGCACTCCCACCAGATGTCAAAGAGAACAACTACCAGACTTTTAGAAGACATCTGAAGGCAGCCCTGTTTAGGGAAGCTTTTAATGTTTAATAGGTTATTGTATTTTAGTGTTTTGTTGGAAGCCACCCAGAGTGGCTGGGGAAACCCAGCCAGATGGGCGGGGTATAAATAATAACATTATTATTATTATTATTATTATTATTATTATTATTACTGGACCTTGGGACTCCATAAGGCAAAGGTGGAGGCTGAAATCAGTGAGAGACTTGAGTCACATGCTGCGTGTGAGGAGGAGGAGGAGGAGGAGGAGGAGGAGGAGAAGAAGAAGAAGAAGAAGCAGCGGCGGCGGCGTTTGGATTTGATATCTCGCCTTTCACTCCCTTTAAGGAGTCTCAAAGCGGCTAACATTCTCCTTTCCCTTCCTCCCCCACAACAAACACTCTGTGGGGTGAGTGGGGCTGAGAGACTTCAGAGAAGTGTGACCAGCCCAAGGTCACCCAGCAGCTGCATGTGGAGGAGCGGAGACGCGAACCCGGTTCCCCAGATTACGAGTCTACCACTCTTAACCGCTACACCACACTGGCTCTCGATATAAATAAGGGAGCCTCTCAAATAATGTAGTGGCCTTTGTTGGGGGTGGGTGGGTTGAAGGCCAGGTCCTCAGTGTGGCTCCTGCAATCTTAGTGAGTTAAAATCATGTCTGCTTTATCACATTTTCAACTATTTATTTACAGACTGGCTAAACATTAGTTTGCATTCTTACCCCACCCTTCCTCAGGTGACACACCTGGTTCTCCTCCACATTTTCTCATCGCCACAACCTTGTGAGGTAGACTGGGCTGAGACACAGCAGATGGCCAGAGGCCACCCAGGGAGAGGGAAAGGCTCCTAGCTGAGTAGGGCGGCTAACACGAATCAAACCACAGTAAAAACAATAATGGGGGGAGGACAAAATTTAAAATACAGGTTAAAATGCAATTTAAAATGCAGCCTCATTTTAAAAGTAGCCGATAGATCAAGACCATAAGGGTCAGACCGAGTCCAAACCAAAGGCCAGGCGGAATAGCTCTGTCTTGCAGTGTCTGCAGAAAGATGTCAAGTCCCACAGGGCCCTGGTCTCTTGTGACAGAGCGTTCCACCAAGTCGGGGCCAGTGCTGAAAAGGCCCTGGCCCTAGTTGAAACCAATCTAACCTCTTTGCGACTTGGGACCTCCAAGGTGTTGTCATTTGTGGACCTTTAGGTCCTCCACAGGGCAGACCAGGAGAGGCGGTCCCATAGGTACATGGGTCCTAGGCCGCATTATACCACACCCGGCTCTATAAACACATTTTGGGGAACCTTCAGCCCTCCACAGGGCTGTTGCTTAGCCTCAGTTGTTGGGAATGATGGGAGCTGGGAGTCCAAAGACATCTAGAAAGCACTACATATCCCATCCTTGCTCCAAGAAGTTCAGCACGCAAAGGTGCTCCTACTTCATCCCCACGTGAGCCTGTAAGGTACGTCCAGCTGAGGATGGGTGACTGACCCAAGGACCATCCACCAAAGTTCAAGGCAAAGAGAGGTTTGGGCTGAGTCTTCCACGCACGCCGCTTGGGACTTTACTTACTTGCCTGGGGGAGGCTGCACTTTTCAGCAACTGTGTCCATTTATTGTTAAATTGCTTTGAAGTGCTTTTACAGGAAGTGGTGCATAAGTGGAATGATAAAAAGACACTCTTGAAAAAAGATGGCACATTTTAAACAGCTGCAAAGTGAAGTCATTCCAGGATAAATCCTCTCCTCTGTGCCCATCTCGTATAATCTATGTCGCCTTGTAAAGTTCCGTCTCGCTCACCTTCACAGAAACGGGCACAGATCAGCGCTTAGTTTCCCGGACATCCGTCATCTCAACCAGACTGCGTCAGTGGGATGGAAAGACCTTGCGCACTCAGTGAGAGTTTTAAGGAGGACCTCCCTCCTCCAGCCTCTCTCGCTCCTGCCAGCCTCCCAAGCATCCTGAGAGAAAGGGCCCTTCCCTGTCAGAGGCTGCGAAGCGAGTTGATCACCACGTAGCGCGAGAAGAACAGGTAGAGGCGTCGGAACCAGAGGAGCTGGCTGCGGTGGCACTGCATGGCTCTCTGGAAGGACAAGAGAACAACACCCTCTTTTCCATTGTGACTCGGGGTTAGGCCGACAGAGGAATCGGCGGGAAGCCTTGCGTGAAGCAGAACTTTCTCTTCCCTCGCCTGTTTGGTTGCTGCCCCTGTCCTGGTTCTGTGGAAAGCTTTCCCCAGTGAGGTCTGCCCAGCACCAACATTAAGATACTTCCGGCATCTGCTGGAAACCTCTTCTCCCAAGAATTTGACACAGTCCATTTCCTTTAGTTAAAAAGGGTTTCTGGTAGGAGAGGAGAGGAAAGATCTGCCCTGGAGAGTTGCTGCCAGTCAGAGGAGACAATACAGGCCTTGACAGGCAAATCGTCTGACCTCTTCTGTTTCACACACAGTCGTACCTTGGTTGTCAAACAGCTTAGTTCTCGAACGTTTTGGTCCTGAACGCCGCAAACCCGGAAGTGAATGTTCCAGTTTTTGAACGTTCTTTGGAACGCGAACGTCTGACGGGGCTTCCACGGCTTCCGATTGGCTACAGGAAGCTCCTGCAGCCAATCAGAAGTCGCGCCTTGGTTTTCAAACATTTTCAGAAGTAGAACAGACTTCTGGGATGGATTCCATTCGAGAAACAAGGTACGACTGTACTCTTGGGGTTGGGATTCTAATACAACCTTCATCTAAATCAGAGTGAGTAAGCTTTTTGCAACCCATTTCCCATAGATAATCTTACAGGGGCCACATGCGGGTGGTGTGGGGGCCAGAGGCAAAAAGTGGGCGGAGCCCTGGGTGTGATTTTGGCCTCTTGTGCAGTGGGCTACATTCTAGTCATTATTACGATTTATATCCCTCCTCTCCTAGCAAAGGAGCGCAGGGTGCTCAAAACCAGAGGTTTCGCTCTCTCTTTGTCTGTCTCATGCACACACACATACATGCACGTAATTATCTCAATCCAGCCGCTATCACAGCTCAAGACACATCCCAGGCAGGCCAAAGCACTAGAGGAGATCACAAAACAAGGGTGATGAGAGTCATGACCTGGGGAGAAAGCCAAGGGCTGGATAGAGAGGCCTGGAGGGCCACATCCATGGGCCTGAGGTTACCTACCACCTGCTCCAATGCTTCTGTCAGAAACAGCCCCACATGACCCAAATGAGGGTATGGGCTGACAAGAGCACTCAGAAGGGGGCAAAGCAAGTCTGGTGCATGGGGTGCCCTGGGGAGCACCCTAGGTCCAGATCTGACAGCTGTAGAGGGCCAGATATGGCCCCTGAGGTTCCCTGCCCTTCGTTTTGAACATGGTAGAACCAGTGTTTGCAGAAGGGACTGTGCAGATGGCTGGTTGTCTTGAAAAGCAGCAACTCTTGAGAACCTCAAGTTCATTTTCAAGGCTGCTGGGTGAGTGGGAAGATGATGATGATGATTGGAATTGGAATGGGCTGCACTAGGAACTCTGGACATCCTATGGCTCTCACCTTGGCTAAGTCTGCATCCTTTCTTGCCAACATAACCAGAACATCTGGGCTCTGAAGGTAACTGATGGGGGCATCTAGGATGGAGATATACTTGCGGAAAAGGTTCACCGTCTCCAGGGTGAGGACTTGGCAACCTGGGTGGGGGAAACAGAGAAAAAAGAGCTGGTGAGATCCAGCTTGCTTTCTGTGCTGTCTTACCTTTTACAGTGCAACCCAACACGTGTTTACTTGGCAGTAAGTTCAATGGTGTTCAGGTGGGGCTTCCGACCAGGTTAAGTGGGCGGGAGATTTTAGCCTTAGATGGGATAGTTGCAAGTGTGATAGTGAATAGTATTATTCCAATAGGTTTCTCTGGCACAGTGCTCTACTTGGAAGTAAGCCCGACTGAGTTCAGTTCCTTCCTTCCTAGGATTCACACTCTGCGTCAGGTGCAAGACCAAACACCACCGCAAAAATATGCAAAGCTACGATAACCAATAAAACCTATCAAGCTGAACTTGAGTCAGTGCTGCAGCAGCAAAAAAGGCCAATGCTATTCTGGGCTGCATCAACAGAAGTCTAGTGTCCAGATCATGGGTAGGCAAACTAAGGCCCGGGGGCCGGATCCAGCCCAATCGCCTTCTAAATCCGGCCCATGGACGGTCTGGGAATCAGCGTGTTTTTAACATGAGTATTTAACATGTGTGCTTTTATTTAAAATGCATCTCTGGGTTATTTGTGGGGCATTGGAATTTGTTCATTTCCCCCCCAAAAATATAGTCCGGCCCCCCACAAGGTCTGAGGGACAGTGGACCGGCCCTCTGCTGAAAAAGTTTGCTGACCCCTGCTCTAGGGGGACATTTACAGCCCTCCCTGAAGATGCTCTCCAAGTCAAGCCTTCGCCAAGCTCCAGGCGCACTGGACTACAACTCCCAGGACGGCTGGAGCTGATGGGAGCTGTAGTCCAAGGCAGCTGGAGGGCGCCAGGTCAGCAGAGGCTGCTCTAGGCTGCCAGCATCGCTGCTCCCTTGGGATGATGCGTCCCATGGCATGTCATAAGTGAACATTCCCAACAGATGGCGCTGTCTGACCCTGAACTAGCCAAATCTGACTGGGAGGTGATTTGCAAGCTCCAGGCATGGCGCTGCTTTTGCTAGGATGAAAAGGGACACCCCACCTGCTCCCCTCACCCTCATTTCCCCCAGAATACCCCTGTCTGTGGCTGCCAGGCCACCCATACTGGGGCGCTGTAAGATCTTCCCTTTGCTGCTGCGGCGTTCTCTGCAAATTATATGTCTTATAGCCTACTTGGCTGTAAAGAAAACCTCGAAGCGGATTACAAAAAGAATTTGTGAAACCCTCCCCCAACTGTTTGATACCTTCAGGAAAATAATTAAACTCAACAATAAGCTAAAAGCTGCATTAAAACAACGCCTAAACTTCGCCTAAACAATGACATTTTTGGCAGGTGGCGAAAGGGGACAGTGAAGGTGCCCGGTTGATATCAAAAGGCAGGGAGTTCCAAAGTGCAGGTGCTGCCACACTAAAAGGCCCATTTCTTACCAATGTGGATGGGCATTTTATGGCACTTGTAAGTGCACCCATTCTGCAGATCAAAGTATTGAGTGGGACTAGATTGGGTAAGGCGATCTTGCAGGTAAACTGGTCCCAAGCTGTTAAGGGCTTTATATACTAAGAGAAGCACCTTGAACTTGGCCTGGTGTAAACAACATTCAGGACTTAATAGCTCTGGGGCCAGGCTATCTGAAACACCCCCCCCCCAGGTTGCACCCAATGCTAATCCTGCTCAGAGCAGACACATTGAAACCAATGGATACGACTAACTTTGGTCCATTCATTCTAAGAGGTCTACTCTGATAAGAGCTGTGTGGCATCCCAGGTGAACTTCCCCTGGTCTCAAGACCAGCCTCAGAAGTCCAAGCCATGGTCTAGCCATCTGGGCATACTGCATTTTGGGGCACGAGGGACGGGGTCTTTTTCGGGCATGTGGTGGTGGCCCCACAAAGGGCTCCTCCTTGACTGGCTTCTAAGAAGGCCCTGGAATCTGTGTCAAGCTGTTTCTTAACACACGACTTGTGGCATTGTTTCAAAGTGACTGTTTCTTAATTACTCTCGTAACTTTTTGGGGGTGCTGCCTTAGCCCGTTAGGGACGCGGGTGGTGCTGTGGGTTAAACCTAGGACTTGCTGTTCAGAAGGTCGGCGGTTTGAATCCCTGCCATGGAGTGAGCTCCCGTTGCTCAGTCCCTGCTCCTGCCCACCTAGCAGTTTGAAAGCACATCCAAGTGCAAGTAGATAAATAGGTACCGCTCTGGCGGGAAGGTAAACGGCGTTTCTGTGCGCTGCTCTGGTTTGCCAGAAGCGGCTTAGTCCTGCTGGCCACATGACCCGGAAGCTGTCTGCCGGCTCCCTCGGCCAATAAAGCGAGATGAGCGCCGCAACCCCAGAGTCGGTCATGACTGGACCTAATGGTCAGGGGTCCCTTTACCTTTACCTTAGCCCTTTAGACACAGGGATGGGGACCCCAAGCCCCAAATGTAGCCCTGCAGCCCTTGCTATGTGGCCCTTGGGGCTCTCCCTAGACCATGCCCTGCTTCGCAACCTCCTTCAGTGTTTTCGCCTGACTTGGGAGTGTAAATGTGCCTCCTGCACAAAGGTCAGATTGAGATTCCTTGCTCCGCCCATGTTTACATCTGGCACCACCCACCACCGCCATGTGGCCCTCAGAAGGTTTGCTGGGAGGGAATTGTGGCCCTTGGGCTGAAAGAGACTTGTTACCACTGCTCTAAGATCCCAAATATGGGGTTGGGGAACTGCGTCAGACGTATCCTCTGGGACAGCAGGCGCTGCGTTAATACTTTGGATCAAATGCCCACTTTGCTGCCTTGCAAGTTAGATTTTTTTGGGGGGGTGAGTGACAGAAGCTGGAATTGCAGGGGGGCGGAATTGTTGAGAGAGAGAGGGAATATTTTTGCGTGCGTCCCTTCTGTTTGTGGAGCGAGCCGGGAAGCCAAAAAGCAAGAGGCGTCTCGGAAAATAGCAAGCGCTCCTCTCTGCAGCTCTCCACGGCTCAGGTGGATTTTGGGATTTGCAGGGAGGCACAGGAGCAGGTGGTTCCCGCGGACAGACGCGCTTTGGGTCGGCTGCCCTCCAGGCCCCGACGTCACTGCTGCCCCCCCCTCCAAGGCCCCCACTTAAGCCCTCCTAATGTGACAGCCTCTCATGGCTGCCAGATCAAATTAAGACCTGCCGGGAACGGCAGCTATATTTGGAATCAGCTTAGCCTAAAGCGGCCAGGCGGGCCTTCCCTGGGCCTTGGGCGATTGTGGGTCAGCGAAGAGGGTGACGTCAATCGGAGGAGTCGTGGGCGGCGGCCGCTGCCTCGGTGGCGGAGCAGCGCTGAGGGGAGCCCGTGGTTTGGGAGGGGATGCCGCTGGCGGTCAGGGTTCCCACCTGTCCCCACCTGTCCCCAGCAGCACTTTGCAGACAGGCGGCCGAATCTCACCCACCCCTAGCCAGCTCTGCTGTTGGGCGAGGTGGGCCAGGCCCCTTTGGACCGTGCCATTTGGAACGTCACTAAAGGGCAGCACATTTTTTCAATTATTTCATTAATAATCTATAATTGTACGGATTCTTCTCCTACTCGGCCCTGAAGCTCAGCTTAACCTACCTTGCAGGGTTGTTTGGGGGATTAAATGAGGAACTTTGTATCTGCCACCTTGGCAAAAAAATATGGGGTATAAATGCAATCAAATCAACCACTCAAAAATATTGCCTAAGCCATCCAGCACTATTGTATCCTGCAGCTGTGAGTTGCACAGTTATGTGTCGGGTGCGCTGTGTGTTTGTGTGCCCTTCTCTTTGCACCGGACGACTATGTGCAATCTGCAGTTGTACTGGATGGCTTTTTAAATAATGGCCAGGAAACATCCCCCAATAATAAATAAATAAGCAATGATAAACACCTTCTGGAAACTTCTTCTCGGAATGCAGGTGCCTGCAAAATACAAACAGAACAGGGGTGAGTAAACACCGCGTGGGGTTGAATCCAGCTACCTTTAACGGAATTGCAAAATCTCACTCATCAAGCAATGCAGCCCTCTTGGAGGACTAAAACTTTTAAAATCTGTCAGTGACACCGGTTTGTCAACAAATGGTTAATCTGACTGACCTACATTAATCAAACTTAAAAAAAACAAAAACTGTTGGGTTAGGGAGACTTTTTCAAGCCTGAGGGCCGACTTTTCTTCTGCGAAACCTTCCGAGGGCCACATGGCGCTGGTGGGCGGGGCCAGAGGCAAAAGTGGGCGGAGAAACCCCTGTAAATTTTTGTACAGTAGGTTGGTTTCTGTGCGCACCGTCCAGGCGAACAGGAGCCGTGATCAAAGTTCAAGGAAAACGAGCCAGGGGAAATGGTCTTGCGTGCAAAGCAGGGCCAGGGATCCTTCTCCTTTTGAAACCACCCCCAGCAGTAAAGACTGCTGGGCCAGGCAACGTGCAGCGGGCAAGCCTACCTCACAAGGCTGTTGTGAGGACGAAACACGAGGAAAACACACATGCCTAAATGTTTAGGGAAGCTTTTAATGTTTGATGTATTACGGTATTTTAATATTTTGTTGGAAGCTGCCAAGAGTGACTGGGGAAGCCAAGCCAGATGGGCGGGATATAAATAATAAATTATTATTATTATTATTATGCCCCAAACTCCGTCATAGAAGGGAGGGATACAAATGCCAGAGAAACCAGCCCTTCAGCTCTCCAGCTCTATAATCCAAAGCAGCTTCTTACAGACACAAACACACAGCATTCAATGAGATGAATTTTGGAAGATAAAAGAAAGCCCTTATTCATGCTTAGTTACACTGTGGAACTCCCTCCCACTGGAGCCAGTGATGGCCATCAATCTGGATGGCTTTAACAGAGGATGAGGCAAATTCAGGCAGGAGGAGAGGGCGATGGGTGGCTCCTAGGCTGCGCTCTACCCTCCACAGTTAGAGGCAGCGATGCTTCTGTGCGTCAACAAGCATCAACGTCTGGAAACCGCAGGAGGGGAGAGGGGGTCCCGCTTGCAGGTTTCCTATAGTGGCTTCTGGCTGGCCACTGTGAGAATAGGATGCTGGAATCCCAGGTGGTCCCCACTTGGTCTCATCCAGCTCTTCCCATGTTCTTCTGCTCCACGGAAAGCCAGTAGGGGGCAGCAGTGCCCTCACAGCTGCTCTTTCCAGCTTGCCTTTTGCAAGTTACACCATTGTCCCTTGCAGCCAAAAAGGGTGGGGTGTGATTAGGCAGGCGGGGGGGGGGGAGAGACCCAGAGAGTTACCGAACTCTGTGCAATAATGGAAAGAAATCCTTATTGCAGTGGTTCAGAATGGTGTGTCACCGGGTGAGGAGGGAAGCCAGGGGTGGATAGGGGCTTCTTGCTTAACTGGATAGTTAGCCTTGGTGAAGACCTGACGTTTTCATCCCCAAAAAAGTTTTTGATTTGAGTTTCCACTGAAATGAGGCTGTGTTTTAATGTTTAATGTTGTATTTCAATCTTGTTTTTAAGTTGTATTTCAATCAATCGTTTTAATTCGGGTGTTAGCCGCCCTGAGCATGGTCTTGGCTGGGGAGGGCAGGGTATAAATAAAATTTATTATCATTATTACTATTATTATTATTATTATTATTATTATTATTATTGCAACCCACCCTAGGACCTTACGCTGGAGGGTGGGTGAGAAATCTCTTATAAATGAAATAAACAGCACTTGGGTTGCATAAAAAGTTGTAATTTCTAATGTGGCTCTTACGGAAAAGGGATTTTTTTTGCAGCGGGGGTTGCCAACGCAGCTCCTTGCCCTAGGTACGCCTCTATGGCTGTGTATAAGGCAGCTCTGAAGTCCCTACGAACTGAGAACCATGAGGTCTAGAATCTTGTTTTATTTCTCAGGGTTGGGAAACATTCGTGGAGCGACCGCTTTGCATGCAGAAGGTCCCAGGGGTTGGGGACGTCCGCTGTATGAAACTCTGGAGAGGCGCTGCCGGTCAGTGTCGACTACACTGGGCTAGACCTGGCAACCTGGCCTGTAAGGCAGCACCGTAGGTTCTTGTGCCAGCTAATTCAGAGAGGCTGCCTGGCGGAGGAGCCGCAGGGCAGGATCACAGCTGCTTCCCAGCCAGAGAGTGAGCGTGGCGGGGGGAATGCAGAGACCCTTCCCCACTGCGATCATCCTGTCCTTTTAAGACTATAGATGGGAATGGACTGAGCTGGGCAGCTTTTGCAGACATAGACGAGAGAGGGGGGTGGGGGGGAGAGAGAGGGAGAGAGTTTCAGTCCTTTTCCACTCCCCCCCATCCCTCGTCCTCACAGTCCCTGAAAGACAAGAGTGGCGAGGGCTGGAGCCGGGCCAAAGAGGGGAGAGGTTGCAGGCAGCTTAGCTCTGCGGCGTTGCCATTTTGGGAATGTTTGTTTTTAGAGTTCGGCCTCGGCTGCGGCTGGCGTGGGGTGTGTGTGTGTGTGTGTGTGTGTGTGTGTGTGGAGAGTGAAGCTGGGGCAGCCTTTCCTGATCCAGGGAATGCTATACACAGGGAACTTTCACAGACACACACTCTCCCCTCCCCTCTCTTCTTCTCTGTATATCTTCCTATAGAAATAAGAATGTATGGCGTCGTCACGTATTGCAGCATGCAGAAGAATGGCAGGCTGGCCCTGGAAGGCTGGACACACAGATACAGTGGTACCTCGGGTTACATACACTTCAGGTTACATACGCTTCAGGTTACATACTCCGCTAACCCAGAAACAGTACTTCAGGTTAAGAACTTTGCTTCAGGATGAGAACAGAAATCATGCTCCGGCAGCGCAGCGGCAGCAGGAGGCCCCATTAGCTAAAGTGGTGCTTCAGGTTAAGAACAGTTTCAGGTTAAGTACAGACCTCCGGAACGAATTAAGTACTTAACCTGAGGTACCACTGTATACATTTCCTCTCCCTGGGGCTTTCTTCCCCAGCCAGAACTCACCAGAGCTCAGTTCCTGAACCTCTCAGGTGGGCGCCATTGCCATTATAACAGAACAAGGGAATTCAGTGTGAGTTCCGGCACCTATTTTCTAGAAAAATAGCACTTCCTATCCTGCTCCTTTCCCAATCCCTCATGGTTAGGCAGAGAAGACATAATAAATAATAATAATAATAATAATAATAATAATAATAATAATAATAATAAATAATTTGTTATTTATACCCCGCACATCTGGCTGGGTTTCCCCAGCCGCTCTGGGCGGCTTCCAACAGAATATTAAAATACAATAACCTATTAAACATTAAAAGCTTCCCTAAACAGGGCTGCCTTCAGATGTCTTCTAAAAGTCTGGTGGTTGTTTTTCTCTTTGACATCTGGTGGGAGGGCGTTCCACAGGGCGGGTGCCACTACCGAGAAGGCCCTCTGCCTGGTTCCCTGTAACTTGGCTTCTTGCAGCGAGGGAACCGCCAGAAAGCCCTCAGTGCTGGACCTCAGGGTCCGGGCTGAACGATGGGGGTGGACATCTCTCTCTCACACTCTATCTGTATCTATCTATCTATCTATCTATGCAAAGCAGATGTTCTGCCACTGATCTGTGGCTTTCCCCCTAGAAAGCAGGTTTCTAGTCCAGGTGGTAATTAGTAGAGAGGTAATATAAATAGGAAACTGCCTCAAAACAAATCAGATCCCTGGTCCACCTAGCTCACTATTGTCTACCGTGGCTCGCTGTGGCTCTGTGGGGTGTCAGACCAGGAGGGACACAGCCCATGGAATGAATTGGATTATTGCCAGCTGCTGAGACTGTCCAAGGTCTTGGGTAGATGGGATGCGGGGAGTGTCCTAAGTGTCCCCAAAATGCACCACCCTTGCTTGCCGAATGATGGGAGGACTGTACCTGACAGCGGTGTAAAGGGATTTGTGGTTCAGGTGACCGCTCACTCCTCTGGCGTCAAAGGTCACTACCTGTGCGGGGAGGGAAGAGAAAAGGAGAGTAAGGAAGGAAGGATTTATACAGTCCAATACTTTAAAATATATTTATATATTTAAAATTAGAGCATTTTAAACCCACCCTTCAGTCAAAAACGGCTCCCAGAGCAGCTTACATACAGTCAACTGATACTAGACATTCCTTATATACAAGCTTGCAGTCTAAAAGACATGGCAGAAGAGGAAAGGGCAATGGGGAGGGCAGAGGACGAGAAAAGAAGCCGCAAACTCAGGCACAGATTTGTCACGTGAAAAATTAGTTCTTATTCTACCCCACCAGCTGTTTTGGAAACAGTTCAAGGACTGGAGAGCCACCCTGATAGAGATGGTCTTTGTGGTGGATTGGGTCCAGTTTCCTTTTTCTCCCACTGAGGCAGACAGATAATAAAATAAAGACAGGGCAGGGAGTGTTTGGATGCTATATGCCCTGAAGGATCCGATTTCAGGGTGTCAGGAGATGCTATTTCGAGGTCTTTGGACCCTGATTCCCATTCAGTTTATTGAAAGGTATATAACCTGTGTTGGAGGTGAAAGCCCTGCAAAACAGCACATACAATAGGATAAAAGAAAGAGCTTCTTCACACAGCATGCCGTTAAACTATGGAACTCACTGCCACAGGATATAATGACGGCCAGCAACATGGATGGCTTTAAAAGAGGTTTAGATGAATTCATGAACTCTATGAGAGGTGGTTAGTAGCCACAATGGCCAGGTTGCCTCTCCATGGTCAGAGGACAGCCTTCCTCCGAATACCAGCTGCTGGGAATTGCAAGTGAAGAGAGTTGTTCTTGAACTCAGGCCCTCTTTGGGGGCTTTCCCTTGGGGGCATCAGGTTGGCCACTGCGAGAATGGGATGCTGGAACAGATCCTCCCAGCCGCTTCTTACATTCTAAGTTCCAACCAGAGCAGGCCCACAGAAAGTAATGGTTTTTATTGACGTTTTCTCAAGCGTGCAACAAACAGAACATACACAACGCATCGTGACTGTGAACTTAGGTCCTGGAGAACTTGTAGACACGTAGGAAAAAGAAAGGAATTGAAGCAACCTGATGATGCAATATATATATATATATATTTATTTTATTTTTACCCCGCCCTCCCCAGCCAAGACCAGGCTCAGGGCGGCTAACATAGGGATAATAACAATTGATTAAAATACAACTGAAAAACGGGATTAAAATACTACTTAAAATGCAGCCTCATTTCAGTGGAAGCCCAGATCAAAAACTGTTTGGGGGGAGAAAATGTCAAATCTTCACCAAGGCCAGCTATCCAGACTGGTCCTACGTGGGCCAGAAAAAAGGCAGGAAATAGGAATTCCATCACAGAAGGAGGAAGGAAAGAGGGGAAGGGGATCAAGATGATTCCAAGCCAAAGGCCAGGCAGAACAACTCTGTCTTACAGGCCCTGCGGAAAGAAATCAGATCCTGCAGGGCCCTGGTCTCATGAGACACAGCGTTCCACCAGGCCGGGGCCAGTGCTGAAAAGGCCCTGCCTCTGGTTGAGGATAATCTGACTTCCTTAGGGCCCAGGACCTCTAGGGTGTTGCTATTTATGGACCTTAAGGTCCTCCGCGGGGCATACCGGGAGAGGTGGTCCCGTAGGTACGAGGGTCCTAGGCTGCAAAGGGCTTTGAAGAAGAAGAAGAAGAAGAAGAAGAAGAAGAAGAAGAGTTTGGATTTGATATCCTGCCTTTCACTCCCTTTAAGGAGTCTCAAAGTGGCTAACATTCTCCTTTCCCTTCCTCCCCCACAACAAACACTCTGTGGGGTGAGTGGGGCTGAGAGACTTCAAAGAAGTGTGACTGGCCCAAGGTCACCCAGCAGCTGCATGTGGAGGAGCGGAGACGCGAACCCGGTTCACCAGATTACGAGTCCACCACTCTTAACCACTACACCACACTGGCTCTTAAAACACATAAAGAGAGAAATCTAGAAGACCAAAAGTGGTGATTGATAAGTTTTAAAGCTAAAGGCCAAAAGTGTTTAGATATTCAACGGACGGTGGAGATCTGGAGGGAAAGAACTGCAAAACAAATTCAGTAACTGAGAAGGTTATGGATTTAGCCCCTCTAAGTCGTCTGTTACATTCTGGGAGTTTTCCCGCTACCCTCAAGTTCTTAAAACACAGATGTGGAAAAGGGACAAACTTGAGGAAATTTGCCCTGGTGCGTTATGTGTCAGAGGGGGGCGGCCAAGGGCGCTGGACCACTCCTTGGCTGGCAGGGGCAGACATGGCACACTTCACAGAATCACAGAACTACGAAGTTGGAAGGGACCACGAGGGTCATCAAGTCCAACCCCTCGCAGTGCAGGAATATTTCTTTGCCCAGAGCGGGACTCGAACCCAGGACCCTCAGATGAATCACCTTGCGCTCTGCCGACTGAGCTATCCCAGCTCCTGCAAAGGAAAGGAAGAAGAAGAAGAAGAGCACCTCCCTCCTTCCTTGCTGGTCCGGTTTGACTCCCTGGGTGATGAGGAGCAGCTTTGCCCTGGCGCAGGCACCTCCCCGCTTGCACAAGAAGAGACATGGCCGCCCAGAGAGTAGGGGAAAGGGCAGAGAGGGAGGATCAAAGGCTTTGCTGCCCGGCCTTCCCTACCGGCTAGGTCTCCACCCTGCTGCCAGGAAGGGCTTCACACAAACAGACACACTGCTCTCCAAAGAGGCAGGGGAACAGGCAGAGCACCCCAAGAAAAGCCCAGGAGGAGAGGTGCGGCCGGCTTTTGAGAGGGCCCTTTCCTGCGCTTGCCTGGCACAAACCCAATCTCAGCACAGCCGCCGCCTCAGTGCCTCACCCCCACGGTCGAGGGTTTTAAAAAATATATATATATATTTTGTTGATCTATTTATGCATTTAATTAATGTAACATAATTATTACAAAATATAAGCAAAATATTGCAAATACATAAATATTTCAGATAAGGACACACACACACGTATATATAAAGAACAAAAGAGAAAAATAGAGAGAAAAAAGAAGAAGGAACGTTGGAAGAATTTCTTCCAAATTTATTCTACAAATATCTCAATCGTTGAGCTATTTATGATGTTGATAGCTTGCCCGGCCTTTTCAAATGGGAGGCCAAGGGCGGCAGACGTCAAAACGATGCCATCTGCTATGGCCTCCTCTGGAGATATCACCACCAAACTCTCAAGGTGAGGGGGGTGGTCTCTGCCAATGCTTGGGCGCCATTTTGATTCAACATGGCGGACCAAACTGAGGATTGGGCTTCGCCCACTTTCTGGTGGGGTAGGTCCAAACTCACAAATGAAGCGACCCCGTTTTTGTTTTTATTTTAAATATTCAGAATTCCAACGAGCATCGGGGTTTAGATACTGGGAGAAGCCTTGTGGCAGGAGCAAAATGGTCTGCGGGACTCCAGCCTCCAAAAAGCGAGGGAGCAGGCCGAATAAAACAAATTTGGTTGGCTTCCCTCATAACACAAAACTTGTGGGGAATCCAGTGAAGCTGACAGTCAGGAGACGCAGGGCAGATGAAAGAAAGGACTTGTTCGTGGGGTGCATTGTTGATCTGTGGAACTCTGGCCGGCCCCTGTGAGAACAGAGTATTGGACCATTCGGCCACTGAGCTGATGCAACAGCCTCTTCGTATGTTCTTACTTTTAAAACCTTCTGAACGGTCTCATTCAGCATGAGGCAACTTCCTTTGTCCAACCGAAAACACCCATTAATCTGCTTCTGGCTTGGAATGTGTAAAATCTGAGATTTCCTCTGCCTTTGCATTACCTGGTGTTGCGCTTGAACGAAGGAAGGCCATGCGGTTCCCCAGGCAAGGCTTGGGGCCTCTGAGAGACCTACACTGGCTCCCAGTATGTTTCCGAGCACAATTCAAAGTGTTGGTGCTGACCTTTAAAGCCCTAAACGGCCTCGGTCCAGTATACCTGAAGGAGCATCTCCACCCCCATCGTTCTGCCCGGACACTGAGGTCCAGCGCTGAGGGCTTTCTGGCGGTTCCCTCCCTGCGAGAAGAGAGGTTACAGGGAACCAGGCAGAGGGCCTTCTCGGTAGTGGCACCTGCCCTGTGGAATGCCCTCCCGCCAGATGTCAAAGGGAAAAACTACTAGACTTTTAGAAGACATCTGTTTAGGGAAGCTTTTAATGTTTAATAGGTTATTGTATTTTAGTGTTTTGTTGGAAGCCGCCCAGAGTGGCTGGGGAAACCCAGCCAGATGGGCGGGGTATAAATAAATTATTATTATTATTATTATTATTATTATTATTATTATTATTATTATTAGAGAAAATGAGTAACTATGACCCCACTGGAGTGAGGAGGAGAAAGGCAGACAAGGTAATGCTGTGCAGATTCCTCTTCTCATCTCAGAACCTGCTGGGGCTGTAAGATGCTCTCGCTATTAGCAGATGGCGGAGGAATTCAGTCAACAAGAGATTTCCCTGATCTGCGAGACTTATCATGCAAGGGACTCTTAAGGAATCTCCCCCTCCAGCTCACCGCAAGCTATTTCCACCTCAGCTGACCTCACCTCCATCCTCTGTCCTGAGAGGGCTGGATAAGCAGCGTTTACGCTTGTGAATTCTGCTCAGGTCGGCGCGTGGATCGGGCCGCAGAGTGCACCCACCCAGCTTGTCAGTTTCGCAGCTGAAATCGAGAGCAGTTGCCCACCCTTGTTTTTGGCTGGGGGTTCCTCAGAGCGAAGGGAGCAGCTCCACCCCCTGGAAGCTGCAGAGATCTCTATGGCACGCACTTCAATACACTTTGGCATCAACTAATGCACTGCAGAAACTTCCGCACAGTGTGTCAAGCCAGGACTGTGTGGTAACGGTGCCAGCGGAGGAATGGAGGTCTTCCTTTATTTATTTAATGAAATTTACATACTGCTTGATTGTAGGAAAACTTCTAAGTGGTTTACAAAAACATACAGTGGTACCTTGGGTTAAGTACTTAATTCATTCCAGAGGTCCTTCTTAACCTGAAACTATTCTTAACCTGAAGCACCACTTTAGCTAATGGGGCCTCCTGCTGCTGCCGCGACGCCAGAGCATGATTTCTGTTCTCATCCTGAAGCAAAGTTCTTAACCCGAGGTACTATTTCTAGGTTAGCGGAGTCTGTAACCTGAAGCGTATGTAACCCGAGGTACCACTGTAAATTGAAACATGAAAACTCCTGATGATAAAAAAAAACCAGTTAAAAACAGGTATCTAAAAAACTTCAAAAGACTATTACAATCCACAGTAGCCAAAAGGAAATAAAACACACAATGACTTCTACACATTTGGATAGAGAAAAAATATTTCAAAGAGGCACCAAAAAGCGTGCAGCAAAGACACCTGCCTGAGGTCAGTATCAGGGAATGCTGGTTCTACGATGAGACAGGAGGGAGCTGTGGCCCGTGAGATCTTGTGACTCCAACTCCCACCATCCCTGAACTTGGGCCCTGCTGACTCATGGGAGTTAGAGTCCAGGAACATCTGGAGGGTCACAGGTTCCCCCATCCCTGACCTACAAGGAGGCATCTCTCTGTCTCATGTACACACAAAAATTGTCCAGTAGCACCTTGTTGTTGTTTAGTCGTTTAGTCGTTTAGTCGTGTCTGACTCTTCGTGACCCCCTGGACCAGAGCACGCCAGGCACTCTTGTCTTCCAGTGCCTCCCGCAGTTTGGTCAAACTCATGCTGGTAGCTTCGAAAACACTGTCCAACCATCTTGTCCTCTGTCGTCCCCTTCTCCTTGTGCCCTCAATCTTTCCCAACATCAGGGTCTTTTCCAGGGAGTCTTCTCTTTTCATGAGGTGGCAAAAGTATTGGAGCTTCAGCTTCACGATCTGTCCTTCCAGTGAGCACTCAGGGCTGATTTCCTTCAGAATGGAGAGGTTTGATCTTCTTGCAGTCCATGGGACTCTCAAGAGTCTCCTCCAGCACCAGAATTCAAAAGCATCAATTCTTCGGCGATCAGCCTTCTTTATGGTCCAGCTCTCACTTCCATAAGTAGCACCTTTCACTTCCTCTAAGTAGCACCTTAGAGACCAACTAAGTTTGTTCTGGGTATAAGCTTTCGTGTGCATCTGAGTATCTGAAGAAGTGTACATGCACACGAAAGCTTATACCCAGAACAAACTTAGTTGGTCTCTAAGGTGCTACTGGACAATTTTTTAATTTATTTTGACTGCGTCAGACCAACACGGCTACCTACCTGAATCTCATGTACACAGTAGGACAATACTGGCTCTAAGATTGGGGAGGAGGGACCTGTGGCCCTCCAGATGTTACTGGGCTTCAACACCCACCATGGTCCTAGACCACTGGCCGGGCTTAGCGCTGGGAGTTTGAACCTGACAACATCTGGAGTGACCTGCAAGTGACACCCCCCATCCATATCCGAAAGGAAGACTCAAGGCTACATCTTACCAGGTTGATCTGGTTGGTCTTGACATGCTTAAGGATCAGAGCGGAGAGCAGCTGAGTGTCCCACTCGACAGATGGGTGGTCTGGAAGATCCCTACAAAGAAGAAGAATAAACACAATAATAATAATAATAAACATAGTCATCATCATCATCCAGAATGCAGCAGCTAGACTGGTGACTGGGAGCGGCCGCCGAGACCATATAACACCAGTCTTGAAAGACCTACACTGGCTCCCAGCACGTTTCCGAGCACAATTCAAAGTGTTGGTGCTGACCTTTAAAGCCCTAAACGGCCTCGGTTTACCTGAAGGAGCGTCTCCACCTCCATCGTTCTGCCCGGACACTGAGGTCCAGCACCAAGGGTCTACTGGCGGTTCCCTCGCTGCGAGAAGCCAAGTTACAGGGAATCAGGCAGAGGGCCTTCTTGGTGATGGCACCTGCCCTGCGGAACGCCCTCCCACCAGATGTCAAAGAGAACAACTACTACCAGACTCTTAGAAGACATCTGAAGGCAGCCCTGTTTAGGGAAGCTTTTAATGTTTGATGTATTACAGTATTTTAATATTTTGTTGGAAGCTGCCCAGAGTGGCTGGGGAAACCCAGCCAAATGGGCGGGAAATAAATAAATAAATAAATAATTCCACTCTTCATCCTATAAGAACCCAGGGCAGGTTACAGAAATTAAAACACAATACTACGCATAGTTTAAGACAACCTACAATCACAGAAGTGAGGCATACCCTCCAACAGTCCTCTGATAATAATAATAATAATAATAATAATAATAATAATAATAATGATAATTTATCATTTATACCCCACCCATTTGGCTGGGTTTCCCCAGCCACTCTGGGCGGCTTTCAACAGAATATTAAAATAAAATAATCCATTAAACATTAAACTGGGCTGTGTCTTTTGGGGCCATGAGCTCAGGGAAGCCAGCTGACTCCCACAAGAGCACAGCACCGCTATAAGTGCCATTGCTGCTGCAAGCACCGGCTCATCCTCCTCCCCAAATTCGGCAACGGCACAGGAGGGGAGAAATGGGACATTCCGGGATCAAATCAGAAGCTGGGATGGCTTCTGCAATTCCAGGAATGCCGTAGGAAAACCGGGGCACTTGTAGGGTATGATTAAGGTGGGTATGAAAAACATACATCTCAGGTGCCAAAGGCTGGGATACAGAGATGTGTCCGCAGCATCCTCCAGAAGCTGTATAATGAAGGTGCCAGACACACCTGTGCGGGGAGGGAGTCTCACAGCTTAGGAGCCACTACCGAGAAGGCCCTATTCCAGGCCGTTGCCACCCCAGCTTCTGAGGGCGAAGGAACAAGCAAGAGGGCACCCTCTGCTGATCTTAGCAACTGAGGGGGTTGGTAGGGCCTAACAGAGATGCCATACCCTGCAAGTGTCCCAGAAAAAACGGGAAACCCCATTTTTCATTGTGAGATAACAGCGGCCATTTCAGTTGCCAGGATTTTGTGGCACAATTCCCCTCCCCCCAAAAAAGTGGTGTGGTTTTTTTTTGGGGGGGGAGAAACTGCAACGTAAAATCACGTGAGATCGCGGCAACCCAAATGGCCGCCATACTCTTGCAATAAAAAGCGGGGAGATGGCGTCTCTGATTTTGGCTTCAAATCGCTGGAGGGTATGTCTGGCAGGCCGGATTTGGCCCAGAAGCCTGAGGTTCCTGCCCTCTTCTCTAAGGCAGCCCTGGCAGGGCCTCTAATATGCTGCTGGGCAGGTTTTGACTCGATGCAACAGATGAAGGTCACTCAAGTTCAGTGGAAACAGACAGCTGGAGGCGGTGGGCCGACATCCCTGGGAGCGCGGCGATGTGTTGACGGCGAGCCAGAACGGCCGTCAAAGAGCAAGGGCTGCAATAACTCACCTGAGTGATTTGGGGAAGGGGCAGAAAGTGGGTTAATCACGTTGATAAAGTTATAGCTGGTTAGCCTGCGAAATGCCCTTTGGTGAAAACGTAGTCTCCACAGGATCCTATCTTTTCTCAAAACAGGGGGTGGAGAACCACAGGACCGGGGCTTGAATGCGGCCCTCTGAACCTCTCTATTTGGCCCCTGACTCTCCTCAGAACGCTCCAAACCCCTTCCCCAGCCACAGGACAGCGATGGCCTTCACGTTGGATGGGTTTAAAAGAGGATTAGATAAATTCGTGGAGGAGGAGGCTATCAATGGCGACTTGTAGCCAAGATGGCTACAGCTGGCTGGTTAGAGCGTCGTGTTGAGAATGCCAAGGTTGCAGGTTTGATGCCCGCATGGGACAGCTGCATATACCTGATTTGCAGGGGGTTGGACTAGATGACCCTCAGGGCCCCTTCCTACTCTACAGTCAAACCTTGGTTGTTGAACGTGATCTGTTCCGGAAGAGCGTTCGACTTCTGAAACGTTCAGCAACCGAGGCGCGGCTTCCGATTGGTTACAAGAGCTCCTTGCACCCAAGTGGAAGTTGTGTAGGATGTCCAGGTTCCAAAAAATATTTAAAAACCGGAGAATTTACTTCCGGGTTTGTGGCGCTCAGGAGCCGAAAGGTTCGAAAATGGAGCCATTCGAGAACCAAGGTTTGACTGTACAGTCGTACCTTGGGTTACAGACGCTTCAGGTTACAGATGCTTCAGGTTACAGACTCCGCTAACCCAGAAATAGTACCTCAGGTTAAGAACTTTGCTTCAGGATGAGAACAGAAATCGCAGTGTGGCACCAGCGGGAGGCCCCATTAGCTAAAGTGGTGCTTCAGGTTAAGAACAGTTTCAGGTTAAGAACGGACCTCCAGAACGAATTAAGTTCTTAACCTGAGGTACCACTGAACTATTGTATGATTCTCTCTCCATTGTTGGAGATGGATAATACAGGGGAAACAGCACAAGTGTTTAGTAAAAGCACACACACACACACACACACACATATGGGCCTGGGCCTGATCCAAGGCATGCTTTGAATGTCCCAGCTGTGCAGCCAGCCTGAACCAGATTTAACTTCTCCGGTCCTCGCGAGGGATTCAGCACCGGCTGGGTTAGCTCAGCTGTTTGGGTGCTCAAGGTCACAGGAAGCAGGGAGATGAGGGAGCAAGAGGGATGTGATGTTCCCTAAAGCCAGTGGATACCTTCTCCCCCCTTCTGACACACACATCCACTGCCCTGCCCCTGCTTCTCGTCCTCCCCTGAAAGAACTGAGAAGGACCCCTTTCCAAAAACCCAGAGAGCTGCTGCCAGTCAGTGTGGACAATATAGAGCTCGAGGCACTGGTGCATCTTGGTGCAAAGAGCTTTTTCCCTTGGGGGAAAGGATCTGGCTCAGCGGTAGACCACCTGCGTGGCCTGAGGAAGGCCCCAATCCCTGGCAGCATCTCAGTCCAACAGGTAGGACTGGGGACTGTCCCCCACCTGGAGAGCTGCTGCCTGTCAGTGTGGACAATACTGAGCCCGATGGAACAGTGGTCTGGCTCGACAGAAGGCAGCTTCCTAAGTTCCTCTTAATTCAGAACCATGGTGGCTGGCAGCGCCACGTGCAGCTTTAAGGTTTCCCTATCCCGAGACAGGCAACTGAGATCTCCTCCAAATATCTTGAGCGAGTCTGATTTTGAGAAGCAACGGTGGCGTTATTAATCAATGCCTTTTCAGAGGTGGCTCCCCCTTTGTGGGATCCGGTCCCTGAGGAAGAATGCCTGTCTGCTTTTACGTGCTGAGCAAAAAATAATATTTTTGCTGTGATTGCCCTTAAGTGGGGTGGGCAGGATGTGTTCCTTTTAAACACAGTCGCACCTTGGTTCTCGAATGCTTTGTGACTCTAACGTTTTGGCTCCCGAGTGCCGCAAACCTGGAAGTCAGTTTTGTGGTTTGCGAACGTTTTTTGGGACCCGAACGTCTGACATGGCCTCTGCGGATTCCAATTGAGTGCAGGAAGCTCCTGCAGCCAATCGGAAGCCGTGCCTTGGTTTTCGAACATTTTTGGAAGTAGAACGGACTTCCAGAACGGATTCATTTGAGAACCAAGGTACGACTGTACTGTCTACTGTCAGCTGAGCATTTGAGTCTTTGTTATTTTATTTCTACGATGTGAGTCTCTTTATGGCACTTGAGTGCAAGAATACAAAAGAATAGCAACTCCTCCTTTTCGAAGGAGGAACTTTGGAGCAAAACTCGGTTCCAACATCGCCCGAAGCCCTTGGCACCGGTTCCATTTAAAAGGTCGCAGCACTCTGTCTTCCACTGCAAAGACCACAGTGCTGTCAGAGAGCTTGACACAGAACGAGAGAACATGGTCTCTGCCCTGAGGGGCCTACAATCTAAAAACAGAAGAGAATGCAGGAAGGGGAAGGAGATGGCAGCAGGGGTAAACGACAGGCTAATACTAGAATATTAGAATCATAGAATTGTAGAGTTGGAGTCACTGAGTCCGACTCCCTGGAACGCAGGAATAAACTAAACCAAGAAGTAATAGACGAAGAGAAGAAGAAGAAGAGTTTGGATTTGATATCCCGCCTTTCACTCCCTTTAAGGAGTCTCAAAGCGGCTAACATTCTCCTTTCCCTTCCTCCCCCACAACAAACACTCTGTGAGGTGAGTGGGGCTGAGAGACTTCAGAGAAGTGTGACTGGCCCAAGGTCACCCAGCAGCTGCATGTGGAGGAGTGGAGACGCGAACCCGGTTCCCCAGATTACGAGACTACCGCTCTTAACCACTAAACCACACTGGCTCTCTAGTAATGTTTAAACAACTCAAATATGCCTGTCAATTAAAAAATGCAAAAAAACAGCATCAGGACCCTTCTGCAGCCCTGAAAAATTCTGTCCCTTGAGCATCTCTTGCAAAGGCAGCCTGCAGCTCAAAACAGAAACCTGTTCCCAATCCCAGGCTGTGCTCTGTTTTTCGGGACACCATCCAAGTATCAGCTCCTTCGAACGATTTGTGTCATGACGCGATATCATCATGAATAATATACACCGTTTCCCAGCAAGAGGCCGGAATCCTCTTCTCAGAGATGACACAAGGCCTTTATCGCAATGTGAAATCTGCCGTTCATCTGACGCCGGTGCCTCGCAGGCCTTGACGGGAGAGCAGGGAGCAGCAGGAACAAGTTCATATTCATCACCCTCGAAATGGGGATGTTTGGCAAGGTGGTGGGTGGGTGGGGGGAGGCTTCTGGGTCAGGAGAAATGGAGAGGGTGGGTCTAAGGGCTGGGAAACCAGGGATAGCGAGCTACACACAAACACATATTTAACTATCAGAAGAAATTAGGCCGCTTAATATCATAGGAAGCTGAGTTATATCAAGTCAGGTCCTTGGTGCATCTAGCTCAGGCCTGTCTGCACTGACTGGCAGCAGCTCTTCAGGTTTTCAGGCAGCGGGGAATTCCCAGGCAGACCTGCAGATACCAGGATTTGAACCCAGGTCTGCACTTTTCGAAGGAACGTGAGGGGGAACCGAAACACACCCATCCTTCAAAATGGATTTGGCAGTGCGGGTCCCCAGTCAAATAATGTGCCCCATGAAAATGCATATACTGGGTGTATTGGAAGTTTCCCAGATGCCAGGTGCATTTTGCGACTGGCGCAGGTCCAACTGAGACCACAGGGACATCTCCATCTGGCTGCCCCCTCCCGTTTTCTTAAGCAGAAGGGCTTATTTATTGCATTTATAGCCCATAGTTCATACACACCCCGCTCAGTTAATCCTGACAACAACCCTGTGAGGCAGGTGAAGAGGCTGCGACTGACTTCAAGGTCACCCTGTGAGCTTCCTGACTGAGTGGGGATTTAAACCCTGATCTCTCCAACACTCCTAACCACTGAATCACACTGACTCCCTAGAGTTCTTCTGCTACGTGGCAGCTCTATAAATTCACCAGGTAAATAAATATGGGGAAGGCAAAATGTCACTTAGAGAAGGCTCTGAAATATTTTCCTTGAAGCGTTTTATTCTGGATTGTTTGATTTGATATTTTAACGTGTTGTAAACTGCTCTGAGATTTTTTTCTTTAAAATATAAAGTGGGACAGAAATGAAATAAAGAAGAAAAAAATCTATTGCCAAAAAACAAAAGGCACTTAAGACATTCGGTTGTGGCGATCATAACCTAGGTTTAAGGTGCATGTTGGTGATTAGCTTATACACCTGAGTTTCTAACACTGAAAAGGCTGTGTTAAAAAGGCCTTCCTAGCTTACAAAAGTGCATTAGATTGGGAAAATCTGCCCTGCAAACATGTCAGCATTAGGCAAAATTGCATACAAAGGCATGTCAATTAGGAGAATTTCGCGATGAGCTTTCAGGATGACTTATTTTTGTTTTTATTTTGCATGGGGAGTGGAGGAAACAAGCAGAGGAACTAAAATGGACCGATTCGCCCGTCCCCAAGGTGGGAGCCACTGGCCCGAAAGCCGCCGAGCTCTCTTGGAGAGGAAGAACCGAGGCTTTTTGGAGAGCGCCAAGCCAAGCAACCTCTGGGCTCTTCGCAGCCTCCTTCCAAGGCAAACATTACGCAACCGCAGGAACCGCAAGAGGAACTGCCTCTCCCGTGATCTAGAGTAACCCCAGGAGCAGCGCTGGCATGCGAGGCCCTCTCTCCTGTCCCCGTTGCCGCAGGGACCCCGTGATGTAGTTCCTCAACTTTGGCCCACAAGGAAAGCCTCCCATTCAGGATGGGGTTTTTGTGTGTGTTGGGAAACTGTTTACAATAGTCACATGGAGGCGGAAGGGGGGGGGGAGACTCCTGGCAGCACATCAAGAAAACCAGCAAGGCAGGGAAGGGCTGGGAGGAGACGTTAACCCTTCTGAGCCCGCTCCCATCCTCCGGCAACAAAAAGCCATTTTGCTGATTTCTCTTCTTTTGCAAAGGGACCGCGGTCATTTCCAATGCTGCAGTTATTCAGTTGCAGTTTCTGTTTGGGGAAGAGACAGCTGTCAATGGCTACTAGCCAGGGTGGCTGTTCTCCCTCCGCTGTGGGGTGGCTGGGGTGGCCCTGTCCCATGCGTGGGGTACAAATACATAGCTGTCAACTTTCAGATTTGAAAATAAGGGATCAGAAGCCTTGAAAATAAGCCTCACCTGTCCCAGGGACAGTCTACGGGATATCTAACAATCCGGGATAGCAGCGGGAAACAGCGCTGGAATAAGGGAATTTCCCGCAAAAAAAGGGAAGGTTGACAGCTATGTACAAATAATAGAATTATTATTACCTCTCAGAATGTCAGTTGCAGGGAGTCATAGAATCATAGGGTTGGAAGAGACCCCGAGCGCCATTGAGCCCAACCTCACTGCAATGCAGAAATCTCTCTTTTTTATATATATACATTTTTATTGATTTCTTAACATATCAGTTCCAACAGTCATACAACACATCTTCTCATCTTATACAATATTTTAGACTTCCGTCAACACTTCTGATGATTTTTCCGTTCTTTATCACTTATTCTGCATTTCTTAATTTCTATACTACATTTAACTGTCCTTAACTAATCATTCTCTTCCTAGCCTTTCTTGCAGTATTTCAAATAATCCACCTTACAAAACTTCTTGCAGTCCTACTAGCGTAATCTGTTCATCACAATTACTTTTCAAATAGAGTCATACCTCAGGTTAAAGTAGCTTCAAGTTGAGTATTTTCGGCTTGCGCTCCGCGGCAACCTGGAAGTAACAGAGCGCATTACTTCCGGGTTTCGCCGCTCGCGCATGCGCAGAAGCTTAAAATGACGTTGCGCACATGCGCGGAAACGGCGAAACGCGGCCCGCGCAGACGTGTGTTATGTTTACTTCAGGATGTGAATGGGGCTCCGGAACGGATCCTGTTCGTATCTGGAGGTACCACTGTAGTTCATATATTTACTCCAGTCTTCTAAGAATATCTGATCCTGCAGGTTTCGAATCCTTCCTGTTAATTTATCTAATTCTGCATCGAGTCCAACCTCACTGCAATGCAGGAATCTCAGCTAGATCATCCATGACAGAGGGCCATCCGACCTCTGCCTCGAAACCTCCAAGGAAGGAGAGTCCACCATCTCCCAAGGGAGACCGTTCCACAGCTGGACAGCTCCCACTGGGTCTAGGTTGGTGGCCATCGCTGCCTCCTGTGGGAGAGAGTTCCACAGTCCAACTACTTTCTTGTCATATCAAATTCCTTACAGCCTAAAATCTTTCAAATTTAAAATTTGGAGGCAGGTTATTGGTTTGTTTTGTCTTTGTTTTTATCATGTACTTTGTGGTTTTAGTCTGTATTTTTGTGCTCTGAACTGTCCTGAGATCTTTGGATGAAGGGCAGAATACTGATTTAATAAATAATAATAATATTGGCTGGTGGGCCAGGGAAGGAGCTGGTGGTGGGCTTGACGGATCATAGAATCATAGAGTGAGAAGGGACCCTGAGGCTCATCCAATCCAACCCCCGACGATGCAACTGCCCCATACTATAATAATTTCAATAATACTTTATTATTTACACCCCACCCATCTGGCTGGGTTTCCCCAGCCACTCCACACAGGGATCAAACCTGCAACCTTAGCGTTATCAGCACCAATTCTGGGAGCCGCACAGCACAAGATCCTCTCTCTCTCGCGTACACGTCTGTTCTGAGCTTTGAGCTTAAAAGCCACACTTGGTTCCTGCGGGCTTTCAGCAAAGCTTGCTGCTGAATTTTGGGGAGAGGGGTGAAATGAGAGCAAGCTTCCTTTCCTATCCAAAGAAGCAAAAACGGAAGACAAAGGGTTGGCTTAGTTTGAGGCTGAAGGCATTAGAGCGCATTGTGATCTCGGCTGGCAGCAGGGAGCCACGAGTGGCTCGCAGGCGGGGAGCTGGGAGAGGAGAGCAGCGGCACAGCTATACCAGGGGCTGCACTTGTCCTCCCTTGACACACACACACCCCGGCCACGTGCAAGCATTCTCCTCGGCAGGCTCTGAATCAGCGAAGAGGCAACCTACGAAACAGGTCACCCTCCGAGTTTAAGGTAAAAGCTGGAGAGGGGAAGCTTAAACCTGGGGCTGCAATTGCGGCCCCCCATACCTCTCTGTCTGGCCCTCAAGACCCTCCCTCACTGACCCAGTTTTGCACCCCTTGAGTGCTTTTGCCTGGCTGGAAAGGTGTCCTCGAACTCCCATAATGCTCCTTGCTTGGCAGAAAGAGGGGTGCATGCAAATGTTTTTAGAAACCGCCCAACTGCACAAAGGCCAAATTGACATTTGCTGCCCCGCCCACCACTGCCATGTGGCCCCCGGGAGGTTTCTCAGAAGGGAATGCGGCCCTTTCATTTCTCTCCCCTCCCCCCCCCCGACCTCATTCCTGCACAGGTGAGACTGGGAGAATCCGCCCGCCTTCCAACTAATCACCTGCAATATGTTTGAATCAGGGCAAAACGGAAGTTGTTCTTTGTCAAACTATGAACTGTGGTTTGTCATCCTGGCTTGTTCGGATAAAGCTCCCTGGTTTGCACAGCAGTTCACTGAAGATGGATGTGAGAGGACGTCTGCTACAGCTCAGCCAGCAGGGGCCATTGGGAGCTAGCCATGGTCCTGACCTGCGCAGAAAGACCTTCCTTGGCTTTGCCTGCCCTGGCTCTGCCTCGATCTGACTTGACTTTGCCTCGGCCTGCTCTGACTATGCCTGCCCTGACTTTGCCTACGCCTAGGCTGCTTGAAAACGGCGTTTCCGTGTGCTGCGCTGGTGCCGGCTCGCCAGAGCAGCTTTGTCACGCTGGCCACGTGACCCGGAAGTGTCTCCGGACAGCGCTGGCCCCCGGCCTCTTAAGTGAGATGGGTGCACAACCCTAGAGTCGGACACGACTGGCCCGTACAGGCAGGGGTACCTTTACCTTTACTAGCCTGCTTGAAAGCCTCTCCTCCCTGCTCCCACTTCAGCTTCCCCCAGCAAGCCCCATCAGCCTGCACCATAGGATATGCCCTAAAATCCTTTCCAAATGCGCATTAAGGGTTTCATGGCCAACCCAGACAAACTCGGGCAAAGAAGTTGAAGTTGTGGGGAAAGTTTCCTTCGTTCGATCAAATGGCACATTTTTACATTTTCCTCCTCCCCTAAGCTAAGCATCCCATCGGGGTGGGGAGGTTTGTGAAATCCCGCTCCTTCCAGGAACTGCTGGCGAGCAAAGTTCCCAGCCTGATGTCTGTGCTGGTTATAATTTGCCATGTTCAGCAAATTGAGCCAAAATCTGTTTGCATTTAAATAAGGGAGGGGGGGATGTCTGGGAATTTCTCTGCCAAGACCGCTGGAAGGAGAGGGGGGGTAGTTTTGGCCTGCAGAGTGTTAAATGTTTTCACTAGGCTGAAAGAACCATTAAGTCAGCCTCCTGCAGCCTTGTCCCCTCCAGAGGTTTTGGACTACAACTTTCAGCAGCCGCTGTCCATGGGACAGAGTTTCTGGGAATCTATAGGGAAGTGGATTGTGGGGACCACAGAGCTCCCAGACTTGGCTAAAGCTTCTTCATCACTCTCAGTCTCTGCTCTCATGTCGTAAGGATGGAAGGAGAGCCCGGCTCCTGAATTGGGTCGAAAGAGGCCCATTGAGTTCAGCCTCCTGCTCTTACCATGGCCAAACGGAAGCCGCAAAAGCAAGACCTGAACACAGCCATTGTGTATGATGAATGATCCACTTTGAAAAGTGTAGTCAAGGTTGGAAGATTCAGAAACTCAACCAAGACCCATTTCCATAAAAACATACAAAAACTTTATGAAAACAAATCTCTGAAAGTCACAAACTATGCAAGTCACTACATAACTTTATGACCACTACTCCATAGCAATTGTTGTTCTATTTTTCCATTCACTGTATAGATGGGTTTATGAAGCATTTTTGTATCCTCCTGCTGTGCTGAAGAATTATTCCACGAAACAGTGGGTATATCCGGAATCACTGTTCGTCTGTTTGCAAACTACTTTGGCAGCATTGGATGCCATAAACAAAGCTCTGAAGCCTGTTTGCACCAGATAAGAATCTGATACATTGCTTCTTTCAGAGACTTGCATAGTCTTCAAAGACTTCTAAGACTTATGTTTATTTGGTTTTATGTTTTCTAGAGAATCCATTAAGAGTGCATATTTTGTGACTTTCAGAGATTCCTAAGTTTTCCGTTTATGTGATTTCATATATTTCATATTATATAAAGAGTGTATACAGTGGTACCTCAGGTTAAGTACATAATTCGTTCTGGAGGTCTGTACTTAACCTGAAACTGTTCTTAACCTGAAGCACCACTTTAGCTAATGGGGCCTCCTGCTGCTGCTGCGCCGCCGGAGCCCGATTTCTGTTCTTATCCTGAAGCAAAGTTCTTAACCTGAAGCACTATTTCTGGGTTAGCGGAGTGTGTAACCTGAAGCGTATGCAACCTGAAGCGCATGTAACCCGAGGTACCACTGTATTGATATTGTATCATTGTATTTGGTCATTGTGTTGCCTTGGACAGGCAGGACTTGAGAGCCACAGCAGTGCTCCTGAACTTCAGGAACTGACATCCAGAGGCCTCCAATGGTAGAGAGAGGACCCAGGCGTTGTGGCAAGCAGCTGCTGACCTAAGAACCTAAGAAGAGCCCGCAGGATCAGGCCAGTGGCCCATCTAGTCCCAGCATCCTGTTCTCACAGTGGCCAACAAGATGCACAGCAGACACCCACAAGCAGGACCTGGGTGCAAGAGCAACTTTTCCAGCAGCTGGTTTTCAGAAGCACTGCTGCCTGCAGCTGTGGTGGCAAGCATAGCCTTGCGGCTAGTAGCCTTATCCTCCGATGCATTCATTTGCCTTATCCTCTTTTAAAGAGACCCATCACCTCCTGGCAAATAGAAGGGGAAGAAATGGAGGCAGTGAGAGATTTTACTTTCTTGGGCTCCATGATCACTGCAGATGATGACAGCAGCCACGAAATTAAAAGACGCCTGCTTCTTGGGAGAAAAGCAATGACAAACCTAGACAACATCTTAAAAAGCAGAGACATCACCTTGCCGACAAAGGTCCGTATAGTTAAAGCTGTGGTTTTCCCAGTAGTGATGTATGGAAGTGAGAGCTGGACCATAAAGAAGGCTGATCGCCGAAGAATGGATGCTTTTGAATTCTGGTGCTGGAGGAGACTCTTGAGAGTCCCATGGACTGCAAGAAGATCAAACCTCTCCATTCTGAAGGAAATCAGCCCTGAGTGCTCACTGGAAGGACAGATCCTGAAGCTGAGGCTCCAGTACTTTGGCCACCTCATGAGAAGAGATGACTCCCTGGAAAAGACCCTGATGTTGGGAAAGATGGAGGGCACAAGGAGAAGGGGACGACGGAGGACGAGATGGTGGGACAGTGTTCTCGAAGCTCCCAGCAGGAGTTTGACCAAACTGTGGGAGGCAGTGGAAGACAGAAGTGCCTGGCGTGCTCTGGTCCATGGGGTCACGAAGAGTCGGACACGACTAAACAACAACAACAACAACAACAACAACAACAACAACAACAACAACAACAAAACCTGGCCACAGATCTTTTCCGGGTGTCAAGCCATTCTTAACCTATTCAGCACCGGAACGATGGCCGCGACCACGTTGAAACAACCAGTGCCCATCATGCTTCCTCCTCCCTACAGTTCTGGGCTACTAGCGCATGTTTGTGTTTGTCTGGTGACATGACCCTGCCAAGGCAGGAACCCAAAGCCAACAACGCCCCCCCTTCGTTAAATATTTTCCTGCTTTCAATCTGCAGCACACAGAGCTTACAAGGGGCTCCGTCTGAGGTACAGGGTTCTGGGAAGAGGAAATTAACCATCTGCAGTGTCAGCCAAGTTCACTCCCTTAAAGGAGAACCACATTGGTCTGCAGAGCGCAATAAAAAGAGAGAGAGACAGAGCACCCGATGACCTACTTTCCTGCAGGAATCAAAATCCCTTGCCTTGCCTGCTCCCGTTTCAAAACGCAAGTGGGTTTTGCACATAGGAGGGGGAGAGCAAGGGAGGGTTAAGTGATCCTTTAGACACCAAGCAGGGAAAAGGACATGTAAAACTGCAGCCGAAATTTGCATAGCTGTTTCCTGAAAGCTAGTTGGGAACAGCTGATTGCCTATGGCGAGGAAGAATCACCTCCAGGCGACTAGGGGAAAAGACACCTTGTGAAAGTGGATCCTCTGTTTCCTTTGCATTTTGTATTTTTACTGTGTGCTAACTCCTGCCTGGGACGATCTTAGTGCAAGGTGTCTAAGAAATGCAGTGAAACAAAAATAAATAAAAGCTCTGAAGAAAAAAAACAATTAAATACCGTATTTTCCCGTGTATAAGACTAGGTTCCCCTCCCTAAAAAATAATGTCCAAAATTTGGGGGAGTCTTATACACAGATAGATCCCCCCCATTTTCTTAAACCAGAGTCCCCCAAAATAAGGGGTGTCTTATACATGGGGGTGTCTTATAGAAAGAAAAATATGGTAAATAAAGCTTTGATAATTTACTTATTTATTTTAACATGTTTATCCTTGGAAAGAGATCAGGGCAGTGTTTGAAGGTGTGTTTTATGCCAATGCCCGCATTTTCAAACATATTTAATCCTAAAAATACAAACTTTTAAAAAGCTTAGGGAGGTTGTTTAGGGGCTTTTGTTGGGGAGTGTAATTATTATTATGATTAGCATACATTAGTATTGTTAACTGTTTTAATTATTTTTATTAGGACTCTATATGGGCTCTTGGATACCCCATAAGGGAAAAGGGCAATTTTTGTTTACAACACAGTCTAGAATAGCATTAGCTTTTTTTTTTTGCTGCTGCATCACATTATTTACTCATGTTAAGCTTGTGGTCTACTAAGACCCCGAGATCCTTTTCCCGTGTACTACCGGCAAGCCAGGTGTCCCTCATATTATATCTGTGAAGCTGGTTCTTCTTCTCTAAGTGCAGAACACTGGAAGCAGCTGGGGAAGGGAGCGGGAAGCTCGCCTGTTTACACAAATCTCCTCTCTCGAACTCTTATTATTTTCTCTGGCAGGGACCAGGCCAGGTCAGGCGTCATCAGATGGAAGCCGCAATGTTGATATTTATCTGCATCTCGCTGCAAGGAGGGAAACTGCAGATGTTGCTGTGAAGGACAGCCTGCCGTTCTCAGACACCGAGAAGATAGGGTGGGGAAACAAAACATCTCGTAGAGAGCAAAGGAATAAGGAGAGAGAGAACGTGGTGTCCTTTCCTTTGAGTTAATAACCTACTTCAGTTGGGTGGGTGTATCCTGTTTACATCCAATAGGGCAGAATGCTCATCGCCCCAGAGCCCTGGCAGAAGGGTCTGATTTGGGGGGACAAGTATGGTTCATACAAACAACGTTTCTGCTGTGAAAAGGAGACAGACAGAAGCTTGTTAGGACTCCTGCTGGATCAGGGGAAGTCTCCATCCCTGGACCAGCATCCTGAGCCAGACGTCTTTAGGAAACTCACAAGGAGATGGGAGAAATCAGCGTCAGATTCCTAGATGTTCCGCTGCCAGCCCACAGCCCCCTCTAGGCTGGATGCTCCGGGCATCTGGATATTCAGAGTATACTGTCTCCAAGGATGGAGGGTGCATTTAGCCAACAGAGCTAATCCCCCCTGAATATCAATCATTGGCAATTATGAGGGGTGAGATGGCAGGCGACTTGATACAGATCTAGACCAGTGGTCCATTCAAGCTCAGTACTGACAGCAGCTCTCCAGGGTTTCAGGCAGGGCTCCACCCAGAGACACTAGTTGTTGAACCTGTGTTCAAAGAAGGTCCACCTCAGAGCTACAACCCTCCCCCTAGAAACAAAGCAAGATTCTAGTCCTCATGGTTCTGAATTAAGCTCTGGTTTGAACAGACACAGGACGATGGTTTTCCTCCAAGCCAGGCTGTTATATCTACACTGATTGGTAGAAGCTCTCCAAAATTTCAGGCAAGGGGCATATCCAGTCCTACTGCCAAGAATTGAAACCGGAAACTCTACTGCAAAGCCAGGGCCTTCTTTCCTATCGTCTGCTCCCTCTCCCACTGTAGTGCCCCTACATTTTTCAGGCATGAACTGTCATGGGGGCCCCTTCCTAACCAGCAACAAAGTCTGGGTAACCACATTTGTTTGTTTGTTTGTTTGTTTATACTATTAAATTAAATTTATATGCTGCCCTTCATCAAAAGATCTCAGGGTGGTTCACAGAATAAAATACAAGATAAAACACAGGTAAATAATTCAAGCAAAGCAACCAAATGATAACCCACCCCCTTCCTACAGATACATTTAAAAGGCTGTAGGATATTAATCAGCCAAAGGCCTGGTTGAAGAAGAATGTTTCCGCCTGGCGCCTAAAACATATGTAATGAAAGCAGCAGACAAACCTCCCTGGGGAGAGCATTTCACAAGCAGGGAGCCACTACAGAAAAGGCCCCGTTCTCGTATTGCCACCCTCTGGACCTCTTGTGGCGGAGGCACAGAAAGAAGGGCCTCTGAGAATGAATGCAGAGTCCGGGACGGTTTATATGGGGAAAGGCAGTCCTAGAGGAATTGGGGTCTTCAATGAGGCTGTTCCCCGACAGATCACCACCCCTTTACAACATCTGTGCTACTGACTCTCAAACGTTGGGATTATTGAAATATATATAGAACAAAAAATTAATCAGTTTGAGTTGTGTGACACAAATTTGGTCTCTTAGACCCAAGATTTTTAAGCAATGTGCACTAAAGTCGCTTCCGGGTCTCTTCTGAGATTAGGAGCCCTGGAGCTTAAGTTCATTAATTTCATATTAGATCCGTCCCTGCACTCCGCCACCCCGACCCTCCTCTTGGGAAACTGTTCTGCATTTTTGCACCGTTTTGTTTTTTACTCAACACAGCAAAAGGGAAATCCCCAGGGTGCTTTGATTACTCAATGCTGAGAGAAAAGGGACCTATTAACTGGAGCAAAGGGGCTCTGGGAGAACTGCCACAAAACGTCAAGAAGGAAGAAAGAAAAAAACACAACAGCAAATGAAAAGGAGAAGTGGTCATGGTGTCCGTACGATGATCTCAGGGCTCGAACGGGAAACGGCAACGAGCAAGGATGATGGGAAACTTGCGGCCCTCCAGATGTTGACCTCCAACTGACATCATCGCCCCCAACCGCTGGCCATGCTGATGGGCCCTGGAGTCTGATAACAGCTGGAGGGCCACATGTCCCCCCCTCCCTGATCTGCAAAGAGGCACTTCCCTCTCTCAGGAGTGGATGCCTCTTCTAAACAGAGATGCCTCTCCATCTCTTGCATGTAGTAGGGAATTAAGATTCCTGCTGGAGTCTGCAAATTGGAACATCAGGCAATTATCAGTAACCGGGAGCAGAGGATCCATTGCTCCATAGAAAGCGTTTGATCTTCCCCAATATCAGAAGCAGAACAAATTGCTCTGCAATTGTTTTGCTAGGTGGAAAAGTTACACGCCTACAGGCCTGCCCAGTGATAACCTGTCACGTTCCTGCTTCACCCAGCGCAGACCTTCACTGGGCTAAATACAACGCATTGTGTTTTTCTCAGATCTGTGTCTCGATCGCTCCTCCCTGACTTGAAGGAGAAGTCACAGGGTCACTGGGGCTGTGGAGCCTCTGTGGATACAGCACTGCAAGGCTGAGTCACTATGTCTTCCTCTCACTTTCCCCGACCGGGCAGGAATTGCAGCACTGCGATGGACACATTTGGTGGTGATACTGTGATTGCAACATCGGACTGGGACCTGAGATCACTCCCTAGTGTGCATATAACATGCAAGACTTCTCCCAAAGAGTCTTTGGAACTGTACCCCTCATGGAGCTACAATTCCCATGACTTTGGACAAACTACAGTTCCCAGGATTTTGGGGGCGGGAAGTCACACGATTTAAATTGGCTTTAAACGCATGACTTTGAGAGACTCGGGTTCAAATCCCGACTCAGCCACAGAGTCAACTGGGCGGCCAGTCGCTATCTTTCAGCTTAACCTACCTTGCAAGGTTGTTGGGAGGATAAAACGGGAAGAGGAGAACAGAGTACACCACGGCTGAGCGTGGCGGTAGATCAGTGGCGTGTGGTCAGTGGACTAGGGGGCCTAGGCTAGTCCCATAAATGTTTCCCTGGCACCTCCTTCCGAAAGCCTGGGAAGCTTCTGCCTGGCTTAGGGAGTGAGGAGTGAGGCTCATGTGCACAATGTCATGACGTCGGCGCCTTCCCCATCACCCTCGCAAGCTGGTGACTCCAGCCCTAACAGTTCCTCTATGAAAAATTTCATAGATACAAACACAAGAGTAGATCGGATAAAAAACAGAAAGCCCCCAAGTTGGATCTGCGCGCAATAGCAACTCTCACTGCTTTTAGATTTGCCCAGAAGGGATTCAGACAAATGAACCGAGGGTGATAACGTAATCAATGGCTACTAGCCACGAAGGCTATGCTCTGTTTTCACAGTCAGAGGCAGTGATGCTTTTGAACACCAGTTGCTGGTATGAAGGACACTCTTGTGCTCAGGACCTGCTTGTAGGCTTGCCACAGGGATCTGGATTGCCCACTGTGAGGGCAGGATGCTGGGCTAGATGGGCCATTGGCCTGATCCAGCACAGCTCTCCTTATGTTGCTGGAAACCACAAGAGACGAAAGTCTCAAATGGGGGAGAGCACTGTTGCACTAAGGTCCAGCGTGTGGACTTCCCCTTAATAGGCACCTGGTGGCCTCTGTCAAAACAGGCTATTGGACTGGATGGGCCGCTGGCCTGATCCAGCAGGGCTCCTCTCATGTAAGAGCACCGGCATTTTAAGTGTAGAAAGCTACCTGTGGTCAATGATGGTCACATTGGAAGGCGGGATCCCTAGAACCAAACAGCTGTCCAGGAGTTCCTTCTTCCGGACATCCCCTTGGCTGTAGTAATTCCCTGGAAATACGAAAGAAGACAGGTGTCACACCCTGCAACACAGAATCCTCCCTCCTGTGGGAAACTGAAAGCACCAAGGGACCAGCAGCTTGCGTTAAAATAACGGAGCAAAGAAGGGAATATTAAAGAGATTTTCCTGAGTTTAACAAAACTGGTGACGTTAAGTCTGCTGCATTGTAAAAAGTTCAAGAATTCTACAGCACCTTAGTATAGGCTGCTAGGTTTGCCAGGATATGAAGGCGATAGGCTGCAGAGGTTGCTTTTTGGCGGAAGGCTAAGAGTAACATTTTGAAATTTGAGAGAGTGCTGCGGGCGCCAGTCACAAAATGGCCGCAGTGGGAGGGGCAGGGACATGGTATAACACAAAATGGCTGCTGTATCGAAAATGAGACAGGACCACGAAACGGCGCAGGCATGCCCCTCCATCTGTCACCGCCACACTCTCTCAGAGAGAGCAGCTCTTTGCATATCTCCTCTGTTCAGAACAGAACATAGGGCTGGTGTTATGTACTGAGTTGAATAGGATTCAGAATGCAGCAGTCTGATTGGTCCTAGAACAATAGGATCCAGAATGCAGCAATCTGATTGGTCCGCAGGAGCCACCCAATCCAAGTCCTGGTGGAAGTTAAACTGCAACCTGATTGGCCTACAGGAGAATCCCGGAATTAGCCAATCACGTGGGGCCCATTGTGTAAATAATGTATATAAAGCAGACATTTCAGGAGAACTTGCATTCCTCACGACTATGAGCTGAATAAAGAGCATGAAATCCACACTCGACTCCGAGTATATTTCAGCTGGGGTCCAATCCTGGCAACCCACTTAAACACGGGCATGTTTAAAAGAGCGTGTTTGATGTTGGAGAGGGGTAGCCAGTGAAAACAGGAACCGAGCAGGAAAAGCAAACAGCACTGAGGATTTCTGAGGGGGACATTTACTGAGACCTTTTGCAGGTACCATAAAAGGTGCTGTTGGGCATGCTGGCACCCAGGGGCGCTTGCGCTGGAGACCTTGCAACCAGAAAGCAATCTGAGAAAGCGAAACATATTTGGTCAACTGGGTTGAGTTAAGTGCTTGGAATCTGTAAAGCTTCCAAGGGAACTTTTAATGTCTATTTTTTAAAAAAAGATATCTATAATGCTAGGGTTAACTGCAGGTCTTGAGTGAACTTCTCAAATCCTGCCAATTCCATACCTATTTATAACATTTATAAAGTGCCTCTTCTGACTCACACACCAAAGTGTTCAAATTAGAGGATGTTGTTAAAACCTTAACATAAGGAGAGCGCTGTTGGAATAGACCAGAGGCCCAACTGTTCTTGCAGTGGTCAACCAAATGTATACAGGAAGCCCAAAAGTGGGGACTGACCGCGTTAATTTATAAAATCTCAAGGTAAAAGCAGCAGAATATGCACAGAAAGAATATATACGTATATATGTATTAGAGAAGTATGCCTGCAGCAGCCTCTCAAAAGCATATAGAGAGGAATCTAATTGCTAAATAATTCCAAAGGGAGGAGGATGTGACCACTAAAAAGGCCCTGGTACATTGGTCTTGTTCCTCCCTGTTATTTTTAAATTGCTATTTTTAGATTGGAAGGGAGAAGAAACTACTTTATACCAGGTCACTGGATTTCTTCACCTAGCCCAGTGCTGCCTACTCTGACTGGCAGTGACTCTCTAGAGTCTCAAGCAGAAACGGGTCTTTCTCATCCCCTGCTACGTGCTAATTGTTTTAAAAAGAAAAATCGGAGATGCCACTGGATGAGCTTGGGACAGGGGACTTCCGGGTTAGCGCCTCTGGCAATGGCGGATTTCCTCTGATCGGGAGGAATCCGCTTCATGAGAATTAGGGTCTGGACCGCCGCGGCGAGGCGGAGACCCACCAAAAACCACAGGCGGAGAAGCCTGTGGACGTGGGATTCGGCTGGCACCTTTTGCGCCTCCCCTACTCGCGGGGAAACCCGGTTTCGGGGATCCGGAGCGACGTGGGCTGAGTGGCGCGGTGCTTCGAATCGACTGCTCTTTTCACGGAGTGAAGCCGCATTGCTGTTGCCGGAGAGCGCTGACGTTTTCCTGTGAACAATTGGATTTTAAACAACTGCCCGTGAGTAGAACGGAAAATTGGACTATGAAATTTCTTAATTTGGCACCGAAGCGGGAAGGTCTAAACAGGAAGTCCGCCTTCCGCTTTTGTAAATAGATTGAAGCAAAGACATTGCAAGCTAGAGTCTGGAAAGTCGTTTGTAAAGGATTAAATTTCCATCAGTTAAAATTACTAAACCCCCCTTGGAAGCAGGAGAAGAGGGGGGAATCTTTTTAGATTGTTTAAACCTGCAGAAGAGAGAGTAAAGAAAGATAAATTTCCACCGTCTTGAACCTGGGAGCGGGGTGTCAGGACAGACGCTTTGGGGAAGTCCATTGACTGTGGACAAAACGGTTTGACAGATAGTTAAAAAAGAGAAACATATTGATTCCAATGTTCCCTTTTGCATTTAAAAGGAACAAAATATCTGAAAAAGGAAAGGAACTTTGTTGCTAGATCTGCTTTTAAAAAGACGGATACAAATAGAAATTGTTTCCCCTAGAGGGAGCTTGTGAAACTGTTACTAGAGTCGATCTGGGGAACTTTGCAGCTGTAGAGATTAAAGATCGTGGGACCAGACTTCGACCTTGAACAAGAATGTGCTTAGAGGAGGCTTTGGTGCTTGCTCTCTGCAAGACAAGTGCTTTATTGGAACAGTTACATGAGAAGATGGATTTGATGACTGTTGCAGTCGGAAATTTTGGACAAACAGTGAATACTTATATAGAACCCACGCAGGAATTAATCCAGGAATGTGTTTTGACAGATCAAGTGGTGAAGAAGATAAAGGAGGAGGTTGTTGCTGAACCTCAAGTAGCAGAAATGGAGAGAGCTGCGGCCCTGCAGGAACATAAGTTGTTGGATTTGACGAATGAACCTGGAGAAAGTCAGATTTGGAGAGATGGAGTTCTGTTCGGCTTGGAGATGGGAAGCTGGATAGATCCCCCTATGCAGGGATGTTTTGGCTTTTCAAATTTGGCTTTGGACCAGGGGGAGTTTGGAGTTGTGGGGGCCCTTAACTTTGGAGGGACTTTGAAACATGCCTCTAAATATATGGATTTCAGTGTCGACTATGGAGAATGGGCTGACTTGTTGAGAAGGGACAAAGATATTGTCATGTTGGAGTCTCCCCGAGAGAAAGGAAGGAAATTAAGAACAAGATCAGCAGAAGATAAAGTAAAGTACAGGTATAAACATGAAGAAGACCTGCAGAAGGGACATGGAAAAGACTTAAGAGCCTCGGATAGAAGGTCACCAGGTTGATGGACTAGATGGATGGGATAGAAAGGACTGACAAAACCCGAGACCAGGAAGAAGAGACGATGGATGAAGATTGGAAGAAAGTTTTAAAAATTAATTTAGAAAATCATTGAAAAATTAGTGAGTTTTAGAAAAATGTTGGAATGAAATTATTTGGCTTTAGTAGAAATGTTAAAAAGAATTATGTAAGAATATGTTATGCTAAAAAGAATTAGGTATAAATAAGACTTAAGTTTTAAGCTTTAGGGTTTTTTATGGTAAGATAAGGTTAAAATAGATTAAGGTAATTTAATGACAGAATATTGTGAAAGATGGAAAGGATTTGCTGAGATAATTAATAACTAGAATACAAAAAAGGGAGGTGCGAGGAGGTCGATGAAACAAGTTAATGAAAGATAAGGATTTGGGAATATTGGATTTGTTTTTAAATTTTTTGTTTGTTTTTGTTTTTTGATTTTGATGTATTGTGTGTTTTGTTTTTTGATTTTGATGTATTGTGTGTTTTGTTTTTTTCTTTGACTTTGGTTTTTATTGACTTGTATTGTTCATTTGCTATTTTTGTCTACCTTTTTCTTTCTTTTTCTTTTTCTCTTGTTTCTTCCTTTCTTTCTTTGTAATTTTAAATTCTCAATAAATATTATTATTTTTTTTAAAAGAGCTTGGGACATTTTGCAGTTATGCTGTACCCAGTTAAGGAACAGTATGTGTGTGGATGTAGTGGCCTCGCTGGCTTTTACTTCTTTTGCCTGACTGGAATGCGTCCTTGAACCCTAATAATACCTCTTGCTTGCCTGGGTGGAGAATAGACAGGAGTGTGTAGAAACTAGCCTACTGTACAAATGGCAAATTTTACATTTGTTGCCATGCCCACTCTTCCCTCTGGCCCCACCTTCCACTAGCATGGTGCCCCTGAAGGGTTGCCCAGGAAAAAGGTTCCCTGTCCTTGAGATAAGCAATGCTTAAAAAAATCTACCCTCTCATATACTTATAAATAAATAAATCTCTTATCATTCCATGTAGGCTGGCTAGTCAAACGTTGTTGTATGCAAATATATAGTAGTAGTTTCAATTTTAGGGGAAAGTGGTGTTATACCCATTTTACTAATATGGCAAACTGAGGAGGGAGCGGGCCCATCACCTGGGCTTTCCACCACATCCTGTAATTCTCACTGAGCTGGCACTATATAATAAAACAGTAAAAAATTAAGTATAAAATAATAGAATTCTCACTTATATATTCTCACTATATAAAATACATACATAATATTGAAATAATAATAATAATAACCACACTGCAATATATTATTTATTTATACAATAAATATAGATATAGTATTTATACAATAAATAATATACTGTATTCAGTAACAATGACATTATTATGATTAATAATAATCCTGTGACGTCAGAACGACCTGTCCGCGCACTTCCGATTAATATAAAATGGCTGCTGCAGCGTGATGACGCCATGCGCACAGCTCCGGAGAGACGGGAGCGCTTCGAAAACAGACGTCATGGTTGCTAGGCAACGCTACACTAGCCTCCTCCTCCTCACCTGTGGACCCGCAGAGCAGCCATAGCCTGGCTTGAGCCAAGCTGAGGATGGTGGGGGCGAAGAACATTGCTTCGTCATCAGGGTGCGCCGTCACGAACAGGGCGCGCGTCGCCGGTCCGTCGGCGAAAAGCCTCCGGTCGCTCCCCAGCCGCCACCTCGCTCCGCGTTGCCGCCTCAGCCACCAGCAAGAAAGTAGCCATAGCAAAGGCAGAGGAAACAGCAGGGTGAACAACCCTGTTGCCACCATGACGGGAGAAGCGGGAGAAAAGGGGAGCGCCACGCATAAAGAATCCGGCCAAAAACTCTTTCCGCGACGGAATGGTTCCGTCTGTTCTGTGCAAAAGGGCGCTCTCCTCAAGAGAGAAGGCGAAATGAGATTCACGCCAGAATCAGTCTGAAGCTTCTCGTGGGGTGGAGTGACCTGGACCCATGCATAAACAGCGCGGAAAGGATAGCAGAGGTTTGCAACAATCAATAAACTTCCCTGACTGCCCTTCAACAAACTTCTTCCCCAAACTTACCTTATGATCTAATAAAAGAGGATGTGCCTGCTGCATCAGGCCAAAGGGCACGAACTAGTCAGTCATCCTGCTCTCACAGTGGCCAACCGGATGCCCCAAGGGGAAGCTTCTCCCCTCCTGCGGTTTACAGCAACTGGCATTAAGAGGGATAGGCAGAGCACAGCCATTGTGGCCGATTAATATCCATTGATAGCCTTCAACATGGATTTGTCCAATTATTTTTCGAAGCCATTGAAATTGGTGGTCGCACTGCCTTCTGTGGGAGCAATTTCCATACTTTTAATTCTGCGCTGCTTAAAGAAGCCCTTTTTTATATGTCCTGACGCTTCCAACATGCAGCTTCATTGGATGCCCATCACTTCTAGTGCTTTGACAGAGGAGAAGAACTTTTCTTTATCCACTCCCTCCATGCCATGCATAATTTTATAGTCCATCAGACTTTTTGCATTAAGGAAAGTTACAGAGAAAAGCACTGGAAAATGTGGAATAATGCTTGGCTTGGATGCAATGGAATCTAGCCAACATCTCCCAATCCCCCTGTAAATGAATCAGGATGAATGCTCAATAAAGAGGTTGTCTGGCAGAACCCTGCATTTCAGTGTTATGCATTATACATCTTCAAGCCCCGACTCATTCAATACTCTATCCTAAATCTTATACTGATGGTTTAAAATAAAGCTATGACCAACTGCTTAAAAAAAACAAAAACAACAAAGGAAAATCCTACAATCTTTATGCATTTCATTGCTGGTCTTCCTATATATATTTTTTATAACTTCTATTGGCTAGCAGCCAACTAATTATAAGGTTGTCACATTTTTATTGACATAAATTATGTGCTTCCTACAGCTAATTAGCAGGTAAGAAAACAAAGGTGAACTTTTGACCATCACTATAATTCCATGCCCCCTACCACATTGATTTCTTACCTTTTATACTCTTAAAGGTACAGAGATGTTGTCCTTTAAGAAAGAAATGAACAGCAAAGAAAAACAAGCTCAGCAACCTTGATAATATGGCATATTTATTTGACCTTAAGAAAGTGTTTGTTGGGGGATGGGAAGAAACAATATTTCTGGTTATGTGCTGTCTGTTCTAATCAAAGTACAATCCAGGAAATGGGTATGGCGGTTGCCCAGTGAATTATGGGGAAAGAAACACCTGTAAGCTGGTGAGCACTCCTAATGCTGCTGTCTAGGAACCAGCATATCAACCTTTCTCAAGTAGAAAAAATATACAGTATTTTAAAGTATTCCCCATGCCCCTCAACAAAACACCCCAGGGCTGAATAGATGGAATTTGGGACTCTGGATTTAAATGGCATTTTCAGCACCCTCTTTAGATGAAATCTGTTTTTCTCCGCTTTCCTTCAAAATGTGACAAGCAATCAGTGCTGCATGGAGGCGTTCCTCATTCTGCTGGGTGGTGGCTGTACTTTTGCACCCCAAATCCTGTGCACCCTGCATGGGTGACCGACTGCAAGAGAGGAATGGGCTCCTGAACCTTTAATTGCTTGCTTAATTCCCTTTTCCAGCCAACTATTAAAGGTGCAGAAGCCCCGCCTGTGTGACATCCGACCAGGCGACTTCATTTTTTATTTTTGTGTGGTTTCCCTCCTGGCTCTCCATCGTTTCCCGGAAGTCTTATCTGATGCGTCTCTCGCTACACCCTTTACCTCTATATACTCCCCGACCTCTCCCTCAGAACCCCGCTCCCTTCCCCTCCTCTCTCTTATCGCGTCCGCCCCAATCCTGCTCTCCCATTGGCCGGCTCCTCAGAGCCACGCCTCCCTCGGCCCTTTTTCGCGATTGGCCGGGGGCTGCCGTCCTGCTCTCCCGGAGAGCGAGCGTTTGCTGCTTCGCTGCCGCGCAGGTCCTGAAAGAGACATAGTGAGCTTTCGTCCCCCAAGCACCCGTTTCAAAATACACTTATGGAGGGTCAAGAGAAATAGAGAGAGGGTGGCAATGCACCCTAAACCCTTTGAGTTGAGGTGTATATTCTCTCCACTGTTATAACGATTTCGCATGGTTGTTACGATGGCCGCTCTACGGAGCTGCCAGGACTCTTCGCGGTGAGGGAGAGGGAGGCGGGGGAGGAGTGGGCGGAGCCTCCGCGGGGCCGGAGGGAGGGGGAGGGGACGGCGGGGAGGTAGGGAGGGAGTCAAGATGGCGGCGGTGTTGCTCCTGAAACCGCCGAGGTGCTGGAGGAGGAGGAGGATGGTGAAGATGGGGATGAGGTAAGGCGGCCGGGGAGGGGTCGAGGAGGCGGGGAGGGGCCCGCCATTAGCCCCCCCTCATTGGCAGGGGAGAAGAGGGAGGGCGAAGGCAACGGGTGGGGTCGGGTGGGGGAGGGGAGGCAACTGACAGGTCGGGAGGGGTGACTGGAGGTGGGGGGAGGGGAACCTAAGGGGGGGGCAAAAGGGAGGAGAGTAACTTCATACCCCCCCTACCAAAAAAAGGGTGACTTAAAGGAGATGATGTACCCGCCTGAGCTCTTACTCAGAGTAGACCCATTCGAAACTGGGTCTACTCTTGAGTATGGCTAAGTGAGGGGTGGGGGTTGAAAACGTGCAGAACTGCAAAGAAGAGTATGGATTCCCTCTAGGAAGGAAGCCTCCCCCTAGTAAGTGTGGCGGCCCTATGGGGCGGTCCTTTAAAAACATCCTCTTATAATCATCATCATCATCATTAACTGAATTTTAATGACGCCAGTGTAATCGAACAGAAAAGCTCACTGGAGTTCAAAAGAAAGACGTGTTATCTTCCAAAGTGTTTACATAGGGGTGGGAGGGGTAAACAGGCAGTACTGTGTTTAGGGGGGACGGAGACGGCGTGGTGAATGCACAGCTTTGACAGTACTTCAATGTATTTATGAGTATAATATTTAAGGTATTTACCCCAATTTATGTGTAGTACTTCACGTTGTTCTCACTGCACATGTAATAGTTGCAACTGGTGAGAGGTCATTTTGCCTGCGTTGATTTCAAAGGGTCTTGAGCGGAACTGAAGTTTGATTCCAGCCTAAGAGACAGCAGGGACGGTTCAAAGCATGTTGATTGAGGATTAAGACCCCTTTAAGCTCAGCGGGGTCCTAACTATGGTCCTAACTACATTAACTCACAAGGGGTGTGTGGGTCTTACTCCCAGGTAGGAGGCTTATGGGGTTAGGATTGCAGAACAGAAGTGTAGCTGAAAAGACTGAACTCTTAAGCATGTTTTCTTGGATGTAAGCCTTGGTATTTGTGTGTTTTTATGTTGAAAACCTTGGAGGGCAGTTTTTATACATTTAATCATAGACTCATAGAATTTTAGAGTTGGAAGGGACTCCTGCAATACAGGAATCTCAACATGAGACCCCCACATCCAATTTGAAAACATACCAGATCCTGCTTAGCTTTGCAAATGTTCTAGCAGTTTAATTGCTGCCTATGGGAGTAAATAGACAAGGGGGAGATTCCTTCTTCCTTCCCAACTGAGTGGACAGTGCAGCCCTATAAATCTCTACTCACTCACTGGGGCTTGCTCCCAGGTAAGTGGGTATAGGATTGCAGCCAAATTGCTCAGAAGCTTAAGCATATTTATTCAGAAATAAGCTCCTTTTGCTTTGAGGGGGCGGGGCTTCCCCCTAGTAAATGTGGCTTGTATATTACTCTAAACTCTACTCAAAATGAACATACTGAAATTATTAAGGTAGTCATGTCCATTAATTTTGGTGGGTCTGCTTTGAGTAGCAGTAACCTTGGAGGGCAACCCTGTGTGTTTTAGGATGGCAGCCTTATAGGGTTAATAAGTGAGTCTTAGGATGGCAGCTTTCCTCCTGCCTGGTGAGGTTGACACCACCAGTTTCTTTTGGATTGACCCCCAGGTTGATGAAGCCTGCGATTGTTGCTCAAAAAGCAAGACCGCTTATGTTCAGCTGGCTTTTATTCATTACTCCTGAGAAAGTGCACCTTGAGTTCCTGCTTTGCGGAGTAATTCTGTTCACACTTGCTCAGAAGTAAGTCTTACTAGGCTCAGTGGGCCTTACTTCCAAGTAATTAAACATAGATTGGTTGCAGTCCCAATGCACAGTTAAACTGTTGATAAACCTCATGGAAGACAGTTGTGTTGGCGTTTTACTTCTGTGGCCGTCCAAATAGTTCTGGCCTCCCAGCTCCCACCAGCCTCGGGCCAGTATGGCCAAATCTCTGGGATGATGGGGTAGTAGTGGGTAATGGTTAAATTATCCTACCAGGACTTGGGAGACCCATGGTTCAAATCCCCGCTTGACCATGAAACTCACTGGCTGTGAGCTTGGGCAAGTCGCTGCCCAATGCCCTCATGCAAACCTGCCTGGGTTTTGAGATCCTTGGGGGAGGGCCTTGTCTCAGCCCTGCCACCCTCACAGGTGTGCTTGGTTGGGATGCAGGACAGGGTCTTCTTGGTGGCTGCTCCCAGACTTTGGAACTCCCTAGAGAAGCTAGAGTGGCTTCCTCCTTGTTGTCTTCCCACCAGCAGGTGAAGAATTCCTTGTTCCCACAGGCTTTTGAGAATTGAATGCTTTGAATGAAACAGCTGTTGCTGTTTTTATTGTAATTATTTGTATGTTTCATGTATGTATATAGCTTCATCTCTATCTATGTTTAATTGTTTTTTAATGGTTGATTTTTCTGTGATTTTAGCGGTTCTTGTTTTTATCTGCAAGCCACCTTGAGTCCCACCAGGAGAACAGGCAGGGTATAATTATATTTAATAATAATAATGAAAGCAACAATAACAACACCAGCAAATCCCATCAGTCACAGCCACCTGGCTGGGGGCTGATGGGAGTTGTAGTCCAAGACAGTTGGAGGACACCTGATTGGCGCATATGGAGATTGGAGTAGGCATAGTTTAGGGGGAGTTGACATGGAAAAGGAGTGGATTATATTGGTTCTGGGCAAGACTAATATAACAGGGGGTGCAACTTGTAATCTTGTCTGCATTGATTCTGCAAGTGAACTCCCCTGAACTTCATGGGGCTGACACCTGAGTAAATCCATATAAGATCACACTGTGCATCCCCTTCAGATGTCAGTGAGAAAAAGAACTACACAAGTTTTAGAAGACATCTGAAGGCAGCCCTGTATTGGGAAGTTTTTAATGTTTGACGCTTCGTTATGTTTTATATATTCTGTAAGCCTCGCAGAGTGGCTGGGGAAGCCCATCCAGATGGGCGCGGTATAAATATTAACAATATTATTATTATTTAAAATGCACTGAACTGAGCTTTTCCTTATTTTGCTTTCTTTCTTTTTCAATGCCATGTGCATTGGCACATGGATGCCAACGTCTCATTAACGCTGCTCTTCCAGTTTTATCATGCTCTGTCCGGGGATGTGTCTAGGCTTGGGGAAAGAGGTGGAACAGCTGAAGAAGTCAACGTGCAGCGTGGGTGTGGGGTCAGGGGTGTTTTGCTGGTGTTTTGGGGGAGAACAACAGCAACAAAAAAGAAAATAATAATCCCAGTGCAACTTGGGCGAGTATAGGCTGAAGGGATGGAGGGGCTGTTTCTCCAGGTGATAAAGCTATTGGTGGCTGCTAGCTGTGATGGCTGTGTGCAGGGTTTGAAATTAGCAGGGCGCCAGGTACTTTTTGCCTCCAAAGATTC